CATCAGCCGCCTGGCCACCAATCTGAAAGTGGAGCGGCTGATGATTTTTGGTAGCGACCTCTGTAGTTGTGTTACTGCACTCTCGCCATACTGTGCAGGCTCACATAAGCTCGCTGCCATTGGAGAAACCATGTGAGAAGCGCCTTCGCTTCCGTGGACTGCAGTAAGATGTTCATTGGGTTGTGTAACATGGCAGGTGACAGGGTCAACAGGGTCAACAGGGTCAGATCCTCCTCTGCTGCCCAATCATCGCAATGCACAAGGAATCAACCCATGGAGCATATTCTTTCCACAGCTGGAGACACATTTCTGCCCCCTCGACTGTCAATGTGGTGCATTTCCTCAAAACATCACTCTATCACCTCGAAACATGCAGCGAATGGATTCAGAAGCCTCCAGAAAGAGGAAGTACTCCAAAAAGTTGAGGAATGTTCTCACAAAGTTTGTAGGACAGTTCAGACGCAAATCGTCAGATGTCTCCGCAACTGCTCTGGCGACACCGAGCGGGGGATCACAGCCTCGCGTACGACCCGATATTCCTTCTGAAAACATCCCACCAGCCGCCGATTCACACCCTGGAGACAACCCAGAAGCCCTAGCGATTACGACTGGAAGACCTGCAGAGCCTGCGATCTTGCAACCTGGCGAGAGACACGAGTCTACTGTTGCATCAGCTCGTGAAAAAGATGCTAATAAGAGCGTATTTGAGGGTTCTGAGAGTATCCCGTGTTTCAATGAGGCCGTAAAAAGTTTCAAGTCAATGTATGAGGATCGGTACAAGGCTATATTCGATGAGGAGAGCTCGATCCTCGACAGAACAAACCTCAAATCCGGCTCCGATCTTGCCGATCAGCGATCTCAATACCCCATGGGGGGGATTGAGTCACTTATTCAACGCTTCAAAACGTATCTTCCAACTTTGGGAAGCGTACAAACGCTCGCCATGGCATTGAGTAGATTGGATCCCCACGGTATTGCCCCTCTCGTTGCCGCCAGTGTGTTCTTTGTTATCCAGGCAAGTTTCTACAAGTTCCCTTACTAGTTTTACGGGGACTTGGTATTAACACTACTTAGGTTTCACTCAATACTTTGGATCCTTCTTCGCTTGAAAAGGTTGCGACTTTGCTGTCAAAAACCAGCACTATCATGAACAAGTGGATCCTGTTCGAAGTTGCTCAAGCTAGAAGTGCTTCAGCTTTCAAGAGCGAGCACATCAAGGAGCTTACAACATCCCTGCCAGGCCTATATTTCAAAGCATTTGAAACTATCAGCCTTATTCACAAAGTCCCCAAGACAAATGTCCTTTGTGAGTCTCTCCGCTCAATACTGCTGGCCAATGCTGAATCATTCCAGCACTTCTTATTCAAGATCAAATCCCTGGCATCGAGAGAAGTCTCAGCGAGCTGGAACGATACGATAGAACATGTGCTACGCAGAAAGAAAGAGTTGATATCGATTTGAAGTCACTGGAAGAAAATTCGAAGTTACTCAAATGGGTCAAAGGCGACAAGAACCCAGAGCCTTCGCACAAGAGCGTAAAATTTCAAACAGGGATTGAAAAAGGAGAATCGCAGGCCGCTGCCTGGTTTCTTAACACATCTGTGTTCAAGTCATGGAGAGATGGTCTTGCTTCGGAAAAGGCTGAACGAGTCTTTTGGCTGAAAGGAATCAGTAAGCATTCCCATCTATACAAGATTCGTACAAAGCTAAACGAGTGCTCAGTGGGTTCCGGGAAAACAACTCTCATGTGAGTGATTTAAAGATCGAATCTGACGGTCCACCAGCTTACTTATCACTCCTGACCATAGTTGTCGGTTGATCTCCTACTTCGAAGTATATCCCATTCATGAGACACGGGTGGTATTTTATTACTGCTACGGCAGTGCTACAGAGAAGCAAAACCAAGGTCCTAGTTATGAAGAAATCATACGGGGCCTATGTCGCAGACTAGCATGGAACGACGGCGGCGAAATTGCGCAGCCTGCCAAAGAATTCTATCAGCAATGCACCAGTCTGGACGATCAAAAGCCTCACACGAATAGATGGGAACAACTGCTCCGCGATCTCATCATTCACAGCAAAGAGCGGATTCTGTTCATAATCGATGCACTTGATGAATGCAGTGCCAAAGCAGATCGACGGAAGTTCCTCAAGTTCGTTAGAGATATGCAACAACATGGAGTATACATGATACTCTCGTCGAGGCCACATGCTGAAGTTGACGAATACTTCAAAACATCAACTATTCGATACTCTGTTGTGACGACAGAAGCTAAAGCGGACATGGAAGTCTTCATAAATGATGAGATCTCCAGAATACGAACAGACCCTTCCCATTCACAAAGTGCGTTTCGTAAGTACAACAACCATTCTTTTTTTCCTTTCTTTAAATCTGGCAAAGCCATTTCTCGATCGGCCACGTGTTAAATTGTTATCAACAGTAGAAAACGAGAACCTTGAACTTTTGAGTGCCACATTGATCAACCAGGCCAATGGCATGTGAGATACCATTGATACTCAGCTCTCTGGCAAAGTGCACTCGCTGACTGAGCTACCTAGGTTTCGTTGGGCGCAATTGTGGTTGGGAGTCTTCTTCAATCCGAATCACGAGTCTGTTGTATTGAAAAAGACCGCAAAGGGAATGCTCGAGATGCTGCAAAAAGGAGCAGCACTACCCACCAACGGTGATGGTAATGATATGGCGCAGGTTTATCAACAGCTATGGGATATAAATGGTGATGGCGACGAGGATCGGAAACTCCGTCAAATACGAGCCTTCCGCTTTGTCCTCGCGGCAGATGAACCTCTTCAAACTCAAACACTGCTAGACGCAATTCGTTTCGATCCAGAAGCGCCAACAGAACTCGCCAAGGAGATTGATGTGGTATACCTCCGCAAGCTGTTCCACAACTTCCTCCTGGAGCGATCGGGACGCCTCGAATTTGAGCATGTTTCGGCCAAGACCTTTATTTTGAACATGCAGGACCCTGCTAGCAAGCACGTTATATTTGACGACGACCTAGAGAACCATCGCACCATCGCAGAAACCTCATTACTTCTCTTGAGAAATCCGGATCATGAGCTTTGGAAAGAGGCTCATGTCCATTGGAATTCGAATGAAGTGCGCGCCTTTATCAGGAGACATCAAGATTTTGACGAAGCCTGGGAGAGGGCTGTATTAGCAGTCTTTTCGAGCCGCTACGATGTGGAAGAGCTCGCAAGAAAATTACGGGATCCTGATCTCCGCCTTGAGTTTCGCCTGGATAAGGAGCGCCTTAATGCCTCTTGCTTGGCACTGTATGTGCTCTACTCATGGTCGAAGCACTGCTGCAAAATCCATGACAACGGTTTGAGTGCATCATTCCGGCGCCTGCTTCTGGACACTTTGAGAGACAGGCCAGTGACGTTGAATTACTTAGAGGCAATGAGAGTAAATCAGCTTCCCGCGGCTGCCGATATCGACCCTCTGATCTTTGCTCTAAGTCATGGATTATCTCCTTTCCATTCTCCTGGCGGAGGTATTGATTTGACCCCGAATCTAGGCGACATCATGGCCCGAAATAGTGTCGGAGAAACAACGCTGCATATTGCAGTTCGAAAGAATGACCATCGCTCAGTAAAGGCTCTTCTACACATTCATTCAGAAGCGGATTCCAACGTGCCTCTACTATATTCTGTGGACAACGAGGGAAACAACGTTCTCCACGTTGCAACAAAAGACGAAATCGTTATGATCTTGTTAGAATTCGAATCTAAATGGGCGAAGACAACCAGTCTCCATCCAGATAAGTTACAAGATAGCGAGCTATTGCAGACAACAAATGAACGACTCAAAACACCTCTGGAGAACCTTGCATTTTACTGCAGCGAGGATTTAATCATGGCGATTATGGAAAGGTTCGAGGTTAAAGCTTCCCGAGTTACCGGAGCCCTGCGCCGTCGATTATGGCCTACTGTCATACGCCGCGGATTCAAGCGCGTAATTCGTCTTCTCCTGGATCGAGGCGCAGCCATTGATGATATTGCATTGCCATATGGCACGTCGCTATCAATAGCCGCCGCTTGTGGCAATGAGGATATGGCGGCTTTCCTTATACAGCAAGGAGCGGATCTGAATGGTCCTGGGGGAGACTATGGAACACCTTTAGGAGCAGCTGTTCATTTTGTACAGGGAAGGGTAGTTGACCTTTTGATGCAACATGAAGTCGATTTGGATCAAGCTGTACGGCTATCACCCGATTCCGATGATAAAAAATGGAATCGTGTGGGTGGTAGGTTCATGAAAGTCGCGAATGTTCTGCAAGAGCGTGGACGCAGATACGATCCTGACAACGTTGGTGCGTTGAAAGTACAATTTTGGGGATGGTAAATCAGCCATATTGAGCTGGGGACCGTAGATATGCATGGTCGAAACACTACAACCAAATACCCACACCTCCAGGTAATTGCATGATTAGGCCGTATGCCTGATCATTTTAGGGCTGTGTGAGTGTCGTTGTATTTGTGTGGAAATTCGTCTCTATCGATAACCAATTCAAATGTCTGTTGAAAGAATCACAGGAATCATGACAAACGAAGTGAGAACGTGAAAACACAACTGATAATGACCGTTTTGATCTTTCACCTCAACAGGCCAATGGGCCCATTCATCATGGCTCCACCTCAATATCACGTTTACTATCGAACCTTGGTTTGATGCATGCATTCCATTCATCCTGAGGTATCGCCATATTTACCTGGATACTGACTTTACGCCACGCTCCCATCAATTGGCCGGATTTGCTCGCCCCTGACATGCAAGTCGCTGCCAGGTCAAAACAGCAGTATTTCCACTGCTGACCCGCGCTGACAGCCTTAAAATGTTGCCGTCATCCAACACTTCGTACTGGCGATTCTGGTCCGAGCCCACGAGAGACGGCACATGTGCAAAGGTGAGCGGACCGTGCGTCAGGTTACCCGAAGTCGGCGTGATCTCAACCACATTGGTGACGGGCCCGGCATAGGAAAATGTGTGGAGGCCGACGAGGGCCCAGTCAGCATCAGATTGACCTTCTTGGTAAGGGAATGTAATAGTCGTGGGCCGGTAGGCGGGTTCAGTGGCCATGCTGTTCATGGACATGTATCCAGTGTTGGTGTAAAGGATGATGCCGACTGCATTGGCCCCAAGGCCGTCGATTGGTATAACCACCGTGCCGTTTGGATAGACTCTGCAAAGACAAATTATTAGCTTATATCAAAAGTGAATAGGAACATCATATGTGCCATATATTTTAGAGATGGGACTGTACGTAGTTCTGTTCAGCAAACTCCATGCGCCTGCCAGGACGCCAATGATGGGCGGTTGTGCTGGAACCATTTCGGCGCATTCACGAACAATTGGCTAATATAGTATCATTAATCCAATATAGTGCAAGACTTGTAGCAAACAACGCGTTGCCTTTCGTCCATGGCGCTGGGCGGACCTTCTCTTATCTAGCATTCCCGCCGATGCAGCTCACACTGCTTGTGCTAATGACGAAAGTGAATGCTATACGATCCATGCATTTTTCATCATGAGTCTTCCCTTGGATATTGTCAAGTTTGTTCTCTGATTGATGCCACTGTATTGCACACTCAACAACTTGCGATGAAATGATAGTGGCCACTCGTACTCGAAAGTTGCATAATAACCAATTGAGAGTCAGGGCACAATAGCCCATTGCAACCATGGATGACAGCATCACGTCAGCTACGTACCCCTCTTGGCATTTGCCGTTATAAATTTGAGTTCAATGTAGCATTGTTCGGGTATCATTTCCACCTTTACCGGTAAAAGTGCAAATGAACAGCCGTTTACCTGTCGGTCCTGACCGCATGTCCGTAAGATCGGAACAAATCCTCCTGGAGCTTGTCTGTACTGGTCGTAAAGCTTGCCAGATCATTCAAGGTATTGGCAGGGGTATGAACCAATCATATTAACACTACTAACGGGTATGATTCCAGACATTCGGGAAATTGTGCTTGGATGAGTAGAAGCTTTCACTGCAAATGGACCGCGTCATGTAGACGAAGTGCCGACCTGCGCGTAGCGTGTAAAATCGTTTGGGTCGTCGCCCAATGCATTCAATCCTTGTCCCCTGCGCGGTGCTAGGTAATTGGGGCTTTCATCAAATGCTCCAGATGGTCGAATTGATGCGACTACTGTTCACGTTCAATTGAATATCTGAATTCCATCTAGACGCAATGATCAGTTTGAAAAGTGCATCTTAATCAGTGTGAGCTGCATCACAGATGTCACTAGCGAGTTGCTCAGCCATTGCGTACAAGGTGGCCTGAGGATGCCCGCCCAGAGGTATGGGCACGATACTCGCATCCGCAACCCTCAATCTGTCGACACCAAGGACTTTTCCATACCCATCAACCACGGACCCCATAGCCGCAGTACCACCAGAATGGGAGTGCTGCATCCCCGTGCGTCGAATGCGTTCCTCGAGTTCTTCATCAGTCGAATCAATAGTGATTGGTTGCAAACCATCTAGACCATCACCTGACGGCGGGGTCTCTCCCTCGACTATGGGCTTCATATGCTCTGTTGCCAGCATCAGTCTCAGCGTTTGGCGTGTAGCATGGACGAGCGTGTCCGTATCAAATGGTGTAGAGAGGTAATTCGGCCTGACTAGCGGAGCATCATCTGGCTTGGCTGATCGGATTGACACCGAGCCACGGGAGTTGGGAAGAAGCAACATCGTCGAAGTGGCTATATGTGTCCCATCGACTGGAATTCCGGGTATGCCAGGCGGCACGTATGCGGTAAGGATCTCATAAAGATTGCGCTTTTCCTTGTTCTTCGCATTCTCATGTCGACCAATAATCTCTGACGGCAGCGCCTGGCTAACGATCCAGTCCCATGGCAGCGCTTTGTACAGCGCAGGGTTCTGCCACAAAGGGCTGCCTAGGGCGTAGCCCAGAGACGGGTCTCGCAGACGGAAGGCCAAGTAAATGGCAAAATGGTCATGAAGGTTTTGCCCAACGTGAGAGGACTCGTGCACCAGAGGTATGCCATGTTCTTTTAGCACGTCAGAAGGACCAATACCCGACAGCATCAGAAGCTGGGGAGTGCGGTAGGCGCCGGCGCAGATGATCACCTCTTTTCGCGCCGACACCTTGCGGCCATCTACCAGCTGGACTCCCATCGCAGTCGTGCCCGAGAATATGACCTTGTGCACCGCTGTTTCAGTATGCACATCGACACCGGCCAATGAATACGCTGTATTCGACGGCTGACGCATGCCCTCACGGGAGTTTTCATACATTTCAGTGAGACCTCCGATGAAGCCATCCTTCTTTTCCAGGTTCAGTGGTACCCCGAGCTCGAGCCACGCATCTTTGACCGTCTCACGCAGCGGATACTTGCGTTCGCCAGACTCAGAGGCCGAGATGGAGGTGACGTGCATGTTTCCGTCAAAGCCGTGTTCCTCGGGGTCTGCGGCCCGATCGTAATAGGACTCGGACTTGCGAAGCCACGGCTTGAGACCCTCGTGACTCCAACGCCGATCGCCGACAACGTCGGCCCATTCGTCATAGTCCGCTGCATCGGCGCGGAGCCAACCACCGTAATTGAGAATGCTGCCGCCGCCTAGAGCTTTGCCGGCGCTAAGGGTGTGCATACGGTTGGCAGTTGTCGGAACTGGCTCGCTGGCAGATGCATAGTCGAATTGACCATTCTGCAGCGCCAGACCACTCAGAAATCCAGCTGCCGCAGGCTCACCAGAAGGGTCAGCTCCAGCTTCGAAGAGAATCACTTTGAGTTTTGGGCTGCTTTCACTAAGGCGGGAGGCTATGACGGATCCGGTCACGCCACTTCCCACGACGATATAGTCGGCGCTCAAGTCGCCCATGATCTACGGTAGGTTGAAAGGTTTCCGGGGCGATTATGTGAAGAATCAAATACAATTATGGCGGGCAGGAGCGAGAGGGAGTCATTAGAAATAGTCTTGGGGAGGTTTCGTGATCTTTGTCACTGAAGAGCATAACGCATAGCGCTAACAGGCCGCTATATTTAGAGTGGGGGATTTGTGCGCCAACGGCCAAGAATGCAAATACTGTCATATGATTGAGCTTGTTGGTCTCCAAATGATGACAATGTTCCCACTCATATGCAAGGGCGTATAACTCGACATGTGCGGATATCTGGAAGGGCCAACAGATGACATGGAGACCCTTAGTTGCTTAAATGCGCGCTGCGCCGCAAAGACATGACCGATATTAAGTTCCGATGTTTACAGACTGAAAGATAAGTGGATCACTCATCATTGTTCCACTGAGCTCCAGGCAGATCATCGGATAGTGAGTGTAGTATATTGCTATTATTGTATGACAGGGAGATTTCATCCTGGCATGGTATCAATAATCTTCAAGGGCCACATTTCCTGCTAAGGCAACGCAAACATCCAGCACTTCCTCTACAGCTACAAACATGAGTCATTCACTATCATTCAAAAGACCTTTGAGCACAGTGTTGACTTCCATAATTCATCTGGGCGTGTCTTCGATTGCAATGACCGTGTTTGCAACCCTGACATAGACTTCTTTCATCGAATTGTTCATTGCTTCGCTTCGTATAAGGTGGAGATTCCATGGCCAATCCCGACCACTTCTTCAGTCTATACGCGATCCTGCTCACGTATGTTTCATCTGGCTGTATGCGTACAGGGCTTTTGCAAAATCTGCAAAGCTGGCTCAAGACTCTCGTATTGTACTCGCCACCATTGTACAATCGTATCGTGATGACAATGTGTTTGCTCGACCATCTACTTCCTCGACAGTTGTTGTGTCTACGTACGAAATTTCCCATGATCTTGGTGTCGTACTCCTTGATGTATTCTGAGTAGTCATCGTTGTGGTGAACATGGTGAGAAAGATCGACAGTCTGCAATTCCTGCAGCACTCGCTCGTGCAATTCCGGGTACATGCTCCACCCTTCACCTTTCACTTTAGGTTCGGCCATTGATCTGATGTTCCCAAGACACAATGGAACTGTGGAATGATAATAATAAAGTCAAGACGAGCCACTTCGAATTTCTGGACTGATTCAATGCTTTGCCCCTGATAGTGTGGCAACACCTCTTGCGGCAGGAGGCCTACCAGTCGAGTGGGATTGGACGATCGGCAAGACGTGACGAAACAAGCGAAAATAGGAGATTTCTTTTCCTTCACATTGCCGAGACGCGCAAATTACAAACGATAAGGAATGTTCCAGTAGCGTCTGAATCCGCATGGGCCGTTTTCTTTTACAGTTCAGGTTGACTTGCAACAAGCAGGTTTGTGGTCGTAAAGACGATGGGCCGGTCATTCGGCGGCATCGGAACGGACTTGAAAAGAAACAATCCACCAATCATCAGATCAATGAGTAAGTCAGTATTTCCAATCGATCCAACGATGCGTCCTCGATAGTCACCGCTTGCTGTGCGGCATATTAACCTTTGCGAATGGAGAGTGCATGGCCATTGCCCCCGTGAACCTACCAAAAGATCCCGTCCTGTCGTTAACACAAACAAAGGTCAGGTGTCATCATGCTTTCTTTGTGATACAGCACTTGGGGTATATAAGTGACATTTGATCGAGAATTTCCCAAGCTCTATTTCTTCAGTTATCTCCGCTGCAAAATAACAGAGCTTCCTTTCCGCACCATCGTCAAATCAAACATGGACTCCACCACAGATTCCGAAAGTAGCTCGACACAGGATCATATACGTAAGTTTCTCACAGCAGTGTTTGAAATGTTGCTAATTGAGAACAAGAAACGCCTCTGGACAGCAAATCGTCAGATATTGTCAGCGGTCCAGCAACGCTCAAGAAACTCGACGCTACACCGACCCTCGAGTCTCTGCAGACAGACGAGCAACGTCGTGTACTGGACATTGTTGCAGACTTGCGCAAGTGTGGACTTGAAAGTGTTCTTTCACTTCCCCAACTCGTCGTTTGCGGCGACCAGTCCTCTGGCAAGAGCTCACTCCTGGAAGCGCTCACTGAGATTCCCTTCCCCCGCAATGACAATCTCTGCACGCGCTACGCAACGGAGATCATACTTCGCCGCGCAGCGGTCGAGTCCTTGACGATCAAAGTCATCCCTGACTCTAAACGTCCTGTCACGGAGCAGGCGACAATCAGGGCCTTCAAGGCATTCATAACCAGTTTTGACGAACTACCCGCGATCATGAACCAAGCCTCTGCCCTTATGGGCATTGACGGTGCATCGGCATCTGGCCCGAGGACGGGAGCGTTTGCTAGGGACGTCCTGAGTGTGGAGATAGAGGGTCCAGCAAGGCCACAGCTCACGCTCGTTGATCTCCCCGGCCTGATTCAGACCAAGACAAAGGGGGTTAGTGATGCTGATATCGACATGGTCAATGAGATTACCGACCACTACATTTCGCAACCTCGCACTATCTGCTTAGCTGTCGTCTCGGCCACGAATGACTATGCCAACCAAGGTATACTGACCAAAGTCCGGAAGGTTGACCCTGACGGAGAGCGGACGCTCGGCGTGATCACCAAACCCGATCGCCTGATACCAGGCTCTGGCCTGGAACAATCCTTCATCACTTTGGCTCGAAATGAAGACGTCTTTTTCAAGCTCGGTTGGCATGTCATCAAGAACAGAAGTTTTGAAGAAGCAGACAACTCTTTTCTAGAGCGCAATCTCTCCGAGGATTCATTCTTTCGGAGATCAAATTTCAAAACGATGCCAGAAGAGCACCTTGGTATCGCGGCCCTGCGGGATCGCCTCAGTTCGGTCCTGTTCAGTCATGTTAAGCAGGAGCTTCCCAAGCTTCGAGAGGATCTTCAAACCGCCTTGTCCGACTCGAAGAGCCAAGCAGGTATCCTTGGCAAACCCAGAACCACCGCAAGTGATTGTAAAGACTACATGATTACACTCAGTCTTGCTTTCTACGATGTCTGTAAAGCTGCAGTCAATGGTCACTACCAAGGAAACTACTTCACGCAGAATCCAGATGCGACCTTTTCTGTCACATCCCCTGCTTCTATCCGCAGACTTCGGGCTGTGGTACAGGTGATGAACACCACTTTTTCAGATACTGTCCGCACCAAGGGTCACAAATATCACATCAACAAATCTTCCAGCGCATCAAAGACTGAGCCTACGCCGCCAGGCACGGAGGACGTCGACCCATATAATCCATTACGAAGAAATCTACCAGTCGCACTATCCAAGTCCGAAGCGCTAGATTGGGTGCAGAACGTGGTGCTTAGATCACGGGGCCCTGAGCTTCTGGGCAACTTCAACCCACTGGCCATTGGCGAACTATTCTGGGAGCAGTCTGCAAGATGGAAGCAATTGGCTCTCGATCATATCGACAATGTGTCAATGGTCTGTGGTCGGTTCCTTGATGCTCTTCTCAAAGACCAGTCTCCAAAAGATATGCAACCCCGCGTATGGTCGGTCATGATTCAAGAGGTGCTCGCAACTAGAAAGGATGCATCGATTCGTGAGCTCGACCAGATATGGGACGATTTGCGACATTTCCCGATCAATTACAATCACTACTATACTGACATGGTGAAGAAGCAGCAGATGGAGAGATCCAAAGGTAGCCTTTCGGAAGCAATCAAGGCCGCGACTTCTCATACGCGTTTGCCCAATTGTAACTCCGACCACACTACCGCAAGTGTTGATGTCGACCTTGCCTTCTTGAAATATTCAGAAGACATCGATCCTGATATGAATCAAGGTTCTTGTGAGGATGTCCTAGACTGTCTCCTTGCCATCTACAAGGTATGCCGAGTTCTCCCCATTGGAACTTCTGCAAAGCTTACTTGTACAGGTGCAACAGAAAACCTTCATTGCAAATGTGACCACTCAAGTCATCGAGCGTCACATTGTCCGTGACCTGGAGGGTATATTCTGTCCAGTGTCCGTTCACCTCTTGTCCGAGGCGGAGCTTCTAGGTCTTGCGTCTGAGCCAATGTCGACACGAACACAGAGGAGCTTTCTGGAGGATAGGATCAAGAAGCTTGAAGGTGGTCATGCCATACTAAGAAGTGTACTGGCAAGCTCTGTTCTTTGACTATTTTCACCATTCTCATGATTAAGCTTTCTCGTACTCGATTCCTCGGCGTGTTTCCCAGACCTCTGTCAGGAATCTTTCTAGACGGTAACTCGCTGGACCAGCGACCAAGAGCACGGACGAGTGACGTCCTTTAGATCGTCCGAGGCATAGAAAGATTTCTCAGAACTTTTGAGAGATCCTGGCCTTCAAATTTCAAGCGCTTTTCAATATGCGACATGCAAGTTTCCCTAATGCTATTTGTATCTGCACCAGCCCTACCATGCCGCATCAATGACATATTCATCGTTATAATGACTTGCCAATCCAGTGATATAAACCTATTGAGCTAACACCCCATGTCACAAGTCCTACGAGCACGCAGCCACTGAGAAAGAAAGTCGCAATGATCTGTCCGGGTTCAGAACAAGACTGGTGCGGTTTCGAAGAATATATGACTTACTTGGATGGACTGAACCGAATCCCCAAAAGACTTGGTAAAGTCCCAGAATGCAAGAACGCAAAGACCAGTGATGAAAAAATACAGGCTTCCATTCAACAGCATGGCAGGTATCTGCCAAAGAAGCTTTTGCGAGAATTTTAACTCTACAGCTGGTGTTACAGCTCTGCCAGCGGCTGCATGATTGGCCGCGGAGTTTCGTGGTTCCCCTAGCAATTGGCGTACTGTTTGCAACCCTCCCGGGTAAAGATCAAGGCGATGCAGACTGGTTATTTGCTGGGCCGCGGCAGCAATCGCAGAGATGGAGAAGATCAAGGCGCCATACCAAGTAGCCTTGACGATCACTATGCATGTCGAATCCGGATGTTCACTAAAACACGCCCAGCTGAAAGCTCCTGCTACGATGCTGCTCACTACGGAACTCTTGCGCATTACATTTGTTAGCAGCAACCATGCATGTGGCTGGAAGAGACTTACAGTAATAATCATTACATTCAAATGTTCCACCATATGCCTCAGCCAATTTCTCGTCAATTGATTTTTCTTCCTGGAATCGGGCTCGTTAAGTATGGCTTTGATGGGTTCAAACGTGGTTTTCCATGCTGCGCCATGCGGGGTCGCTGCAATATTTGTGCGCCTCTTCGAGAATGGCAGAACAGAGATTCGGGTTTGCTTTCTGATGCCTTTCAACCTCATGCTAGGAAAATACCTAGGTACGCCAGGGAAACGCATCGCCGCTTTCATAAGAAAATACGACCGTATGATGTTTTACAGAAGTACAAACTACCTAGTGTGTACTGATTTTGTCGTGGTGATACTTGGTCGCACAATTGCCATTGAAGCTCAAGAAGATTAAGCATGAAGAAGAGGTAATCAACTAGAAATGGATCTGGACTGATTAGAGTCAATGACACTGGCAATCATTGAGGAGGATGGGTGTCAGATATTACATGCATCTCAATTCAAAGAAAACTGCCTTGCATCCTTCAAGATAACGTGCCGATAGCGACATTGGCAGTAATCAGCTCCGCCATCCAATAGGAGCCAGTGAGCCACAACGGCTGGAAATTCAAGGGTCAGCCTACACCACTGCAAGAGCCATGACCAGGGTATTTGGAGGCATCCAGCGCGTCAGCGGCCGCCTGAGAACGAGGGCAAGGCTACCAGTCGGACGAAAAGCACGATCAAGCGGGGGTAATGGCTTTCGCATTGTCTCTGCCCTATTGAGTCAAAGCAAAACAACTTCAAATCTTCCACACTCGTAGGACAATTTTCTAGAACACTGAGGATTCCGCCGCCGATATCCTGCTTGTGCGCATCACTGCACACAAGCGTGATATTTCAAGACCCCAGCTTGCCTTATTTCTCGTTGCAGCCGCAAAGCGTACAGCCAGCCTTATGGGGTCGAGACACTCCAAGCTGCGCACAAATGGCGATTTCAAGAATGCGCATCCAGTAGCAACCTCGCGCTCAAGTCGAAGGGCTGGAAAACGTGCCGAGAAGATCCAGCAGTCACCGAGATCAGTCGTATTGATCACGTGGGGTCGGAATGGCCAATCTTCGTGGAGCTTCCACAAGTGCATCCTCATCGCAAACACCGAGATCAATCAAGTAACCGAGGAGACAATCGGAACGCACTGGGACTGGGGCTCCATCGTCGGGGGTGTCAAGATAACGGTAAACCCTCCGGTGCAACAAAAGAAATTCTTGGAGGAAGATATTTTCAAAAAAGGGGAGAAATATGGCAACACATATCATATCGTGGGGACCACAAACTGGTCTGATGACAAGATCAAGGAGCTGTGTAAGTGCTTAGGGCTTTCGTGGCTCTACAAACAAGACTCCGTCGTTGTCGCTTGCTGACGTTTTCTCGCTCAAGATACGCGTATTGGGGAACACTACAACGTGATCACAAATAATTGCCGCGACGTCGCTGCGGGTGTCGCTCGTTCACTGACGATCGATACGGCTCGCATGACTGTTGCAGAAGCCATGTTGAGAGAGTGGGATATAAAACGGAACAAAGTGAGAATCTCGGTACCATTTGCTATTGCTGGTGCTCCCTTGTGGATGTTGACCGAGGAACAAATGCGTGGGCGACCTACAATCTCTCAAAGGTATGCTCAAGGTTAGGGCAGTGAATTAATTCAAGTGCCAAAGTCATGTTCATTGTCTTTTTTTTTTTTTTTTTAAACTTGCGTTGTAAAGGTGTACATGTACAGGGCGTTCCGTTTGGTTTTTGGACGAATAAAATGGACATGCTGCCAACCACTCGCGATGAGCTTGTTCACAGCGAGGTTATGTATAGCGCCGATCAGCAGTTCTTTCCTTCAACTAAAATGATGCTTTTGCACAGCTTTGTCCCTCTTCAGGGGCTGCTTGGTCATTTGGACGCATTGCGGGCAGCTATTGCCTCCGTCTGAATGCACCAAATCATATCACCATCAGGTAAGGCAATAAGCTGACTTTTATTATTAAGTGAGTATGATTATGCCGTGGCAACTTTTGGTGACTACCGCGACTCGGCAATAGCTTACTCCTGAGTCAAAAGAAAATGCAACTCCCTACGAGGTATCTTGTCACAACCAGGGCTATTGCCTCCAAAGCACATGAGACCATCCCATGGATACCAGCTGTCTCATACAAGCAGGACGTTTTGTTCCGATTTGGAAATCACCGCAAATTGAGTTTCCATTGGAGATTGCCGGCCTTCAAAATATGGAAGACTACTGCAGGGGGGCAAATCCTAATCAGAGCATAGCGATGACGATGCCCCAACGGGTGCTCAGTTTGACAAACTTTTGTTTGGTACGGAATCGCATATACAGACAAAACAATTATTTTGTTATTATTACCTATGAACGATTAGTCAGTCACTAGGAAGCGTGTATTCCATTGTGGTGGACGGCACATATTCTAACGATATCGTGGCCTGGGAGCATTAGCGCATATATGCGCCGGGGATTGCACTGACCTACAGTGCCATAAGCCCAAAATCCAGAGGCTGAATTTCTTGCATATCTTTTCTTTCAATTGAATAGGGGAACTCGAAAAATGGTGCTTGCTTTTTTTCCCCGGCCGTCCGGGCTGGGCATGATCCCGCCTTCAGTCAAGCCAGCCGAGTCCAGCGTCAGCGGGATCAACGGAACTGCGAACGGGATCTTCTTGGGCATTGTGGCGGAACTCTTTTATGCATCACGAAATGAGAACAACTCTAAACGTGGACTGATGAGAGCTTCTTTTTCATTGCACAAACTCTGTGTGTTTATTCAAGCTTGGGATGCTGGGAAGATTCGAGGTCAAGGTGACTATAGCAATCACCCTAGTTGCCGCGCCATTTAGCAAGCATCTCATTTCAATATTGAGGCTATTGAGGTCTCAAATGGCTGCATGTCTCGAGGAGAGCGTTAGATGCAAGGTCCATGGGGAAGTCCATTTCTTTTGTTGACATTCGTTTTTCATTCTGTGCAGATATAAGTTGATTGATAGTAGTCGTGTCTAAACAGTAATCTAATGTTGAGGCACGCGCAAGTCATTCTTTCTTTCATTACCGACTACAACTACATTCCTTACCAAGATGCACAATAATTTTGTCGTGATTCTGGTGGTTGCTGCATGCATTGCAGTAGAAGCTACTCCATTAGCAAAACGACAATCTGATTTACAATGTCTTACTGACGATCCCGTTATACTGGCTTTGCAGTCTCTTTCGGCCACTTCTTTCTGTTCATCATTGCTAGATATATCGACGACTACTATCACGACCACAATCGCATCAGATGCCCTCACCACTACAACCGTGACAACAACTGCGACAGGCACAACCTCTGTACCGGTACAGGTGTCCACGGTAACTTCGTAGGTTTGCAATTGAGTGTCTGCCTCGCACCTGAACTGACAATTGCTAGGACTCAAACCTTGACAAGTTGTTCTTTGAATCCGCTGCGCAAGCGCGGAAAATGCACCAAAGGAAGAGGCCATGCGACGACACCTACTGGCAAGCCAGGCTACAGTACAAAGACGGACAACAGTGGATACAAAACTACCGAGGCGCCAACCTACTCGGAGCACGGCTACCCACACTATGAAACCAAGAGCAGCAAAAAGCCAGAGTCGGAGTCTCAGTATCCCCATTACCCGGAGCACTATAGCAGTCAAAACCCAGAGTACGAGTCACAGTATCCTGATTACCCTGAGCACTACAGCAGCAAAGAACCAGAGTACAAGACGCAGTATCCTGAATACCCTGAGCACTATAGCAGTCAGCAACCAGAGTACAAGACGCAGTACCCTGGTTACCCTGAGGATTATAGCAGCCAAGAACCAGAGTACGAGACACAGCACGCAAGCCCAGCGGATGTATACCCAACGGCTGCGTACCCTTATTCGCATCCACAGCCAACCTATGGCGTTTCTACATACCAGAACTCAGACACGTCCACTGACACCTACCCCACCTCTCATGTTTGGCCAACTTACGGAGCATCTTCGTACAAAAGCTCAGACACACTCACTGATACATATACTGCGCCTTATACCTGGCCGCCGTTGTATGACTCTTCATCAGGCATCATCTCGGATACCTTTACTAGCACTTCACCTACGAGTACTTCGTCCACCACGAGTACCTCGACAACAAAGACGACTATTACCAACATTCCTACCGAACTGTCAGTGTTTGATGCAGCCGATCTCTCGTTCGGCTGCAGCTGCTTGTCTCTCCCGACATCGAGTGTAGTCGTGACCGTGACCGACGCAGGGGCCCTCACAGCTACCGACGTGGTCACGGTCAGCACCACCACGACAATCTCGCAGTCCGTGTCGATCGTGACCACCACCACCACCACGACGGAGAGCGCCTGCGCGACGCCGGCCGTGTGCGGCAACGCCGGCATCCAGTGGGCCGAGTACCGCAACTTTGTAGAGCGCGCCAACGACGACGCAACCTATAGCAACTTTGTGCCCGAGGTCTACAAGGGACAAGCCCCCGAGATCCCCGGCACCTATGGCAACATTGGCCCCATTGAAATCACGTCGACGCGGAGCCGGCTCATCACCATCTACAACACTCCCCGGGCCTTCCCCAGCGCCTTCTTTGCCCTGGACCACAAGGGCTACTTTTTCGCGCCCGTGTCGGGGAGGTATATATTCAGTGTCACAAACGTAGATGATGCTGTTTTTCTTTGGCTCGGCGCCACGGCCTACAGCGGGTGGACCCGGACCAATGCCGACGGGTTCGGCGTGTCCAACCAAGGGAACGGCTTCACGCGCGCCTTTGCCGATCTGACCGCCGGCCAGTACCTGCCCGTCCGCTTGATGCTGGCGCAGAGCGAAGGGCCGGCCTCGTTTTCCTTCTTCATCACGGCTCCCGACGGCACCAATCTCGTGTCCCCAGACATTGCTAATAGTCCCTACCTGGTCCAATTCTCGTGCGACGGCGTGACGGCGCCCGCCTTTGCGAATTGGACCTTGGAGACCTAATGGAGTAGTCCTTTGGAGTCATAGACAAAAGAATACATGACATATATTGAGGATGTAAGAGTAATATTCAGTAGTTAAAATATTTTAATACATCACATTCATCTTTTCTTCTAAACTTGTCGCGTATATTACGCATTCTGTGGGAAGGGATACTAGAGTGCTAATAGGAAGCCGGTTCAAATTCTGTCAAGCATATAAATGTTACGAAAAAAGCAAACAGGATTTCTTGGAAGCAAAAGATGCCAATGATCAAGTGTGATAAAAAAAAAATCAGAGCCCTTTGTCTATCCATGGCTTTTAATCTATGAATCACATGGTAGATGCTCTATCTGGAGAACATTGATGGTGAGAGCAGAGAAAAGATAAATTCGAGAGTGTATCAAGAAGACTAGGGCTTCGGGCCAGAAAGACTCCAAGCACAAGTCGCGATATTACCGTGACGGGAATCACATGCCGTTTCCTGCAGTAAATCGGGATCGCAATGATGCCTTTCGCTTAGCAGCGGACAAGATGGTGACTAGCACATAAGCTGATGATAAGGACTGGAGCGGTCCACGCCTCCAAAAGTATTGCGTTATATTAGGGGTCAACCATAAAAGTGAAATTCAAAAATATTAAGCACAAGCAGTTTTGCTGCTATATGTAAATATGGCAGCACAGCCAAGTCACACCGCCCATCTTCGCGTCAGCCCAATCTGATTGAAGGAGGAAACTTTGTTTGTAAGCAGTTGTCAGGAGCAATCATTGGTAGCATACAACGTGTCGTCGGATTTTGAACGTTACTCGGACAACGTGACCTGTCCCTCGCCCCTTTGGCAAAAGTGTAATTACAGATTGAGGAGGGGGGCGTGTCTCTACTTACTCGAAAATCATTGGACACTTCCAGCTTATAATATGTAGGTACTCATTAAGTTCTTGACTAGGAATCATGGCCAAATCGCTAAGGCTAGCCAGGTTTCATTGACAGCGGCGACAGAAATGTTTAAAAAAGAAAAAGGTCAGATGCCGGAGTGAGAGAGCTCCGGGGGCATGTGTTGCGAATAGAGCTGATCCCGTAGCTATGGATAAGCTTTCTGTAGCCTTTCTATAGAGTTCGGTCGGGTGTGTGAGTAGCGCATTTGTCCTTCTCCCCATCGAGCCACTCTCGCTACCTACTCTCCGAATCTCCTTTGGAGCCCACCAATTTCCGAATTGCCGACCTGTCAGTCCAAGACGGACTAAAGCAAGAGAAGAAGGAGGAGGGGAGGTGTGGTGCGCGCTCAGCTAAGGCGCAAGGCAGACAGCCTCGCTCGGCCATTTGTTTGAGTTAAGCGAATAGCGAGAGCTGAAGAAAAGCAGATTGCAACCACCGTGGTTGAGCGCCATTGTCTACACGAACATGACCTCTTGATTTCTCGGCAAGGTGTGGTTGATAGTTGGCAGGTTTTGGGGGCCGCGACGGTATGGCCGAGGTCATACTTTGGTGGCATGGTAAGAGCAAGGAGAGATGACAGACGCGCGTACCTGAATGCGTGAGACCGACGACTGATGGGTGTGGGCATAGCGGAGAATGAAGGAGGAGGATGGATTGTGCTACCGACGCAATGTTTGCGTCGATCCAGCAATGGGAGAGCCTTGGCTGAGCGAGCACCTTCTACCCTCCCCCTTCGTCTTCTACGTCTGATGTGTCGGCCACCAGGCCAGATGGCTTCGACGGGCGGTAAAGTGTCGAACATTGGCAGCCAACACCACTGCTCAGGGGTAATCGTTCCTATGCAAAACATATTCGCCCACATAAACTCACCCGCAATGCACCTGAAGGGCACGGAAGGGGGAGCCTGCGCGCGCGCGAACTCTGACAAGCTCATGGACCAGCTTATCAGCATCTTTAGCCTCGTCTTAGTAGTGACCCTTTTGGTCGTCGACAAAAGAGTAGACATGGGCAGCTGTAGTAGGCCATGTAACTTAGAGCTGCTCAGCCTCATTCGGACGACAGGGGGACGAGCTTGAGAAGCTGATGCCCACTCCAAATAGCTGAGGTCCCAACACCAGTATCAATACTACTTTCCGCCGAGCTCCTACCTGCGAGTGCCCATGTCGACCACCTCGGCCACGGGCCATAGAGAGCGATTCTGCCTTGTGGGTATTGGGTGGACCAAGTTTGGAGCAGAGTGAAGGGTAGGGCTGAAGGGGGGGCCCAGCCAGCGGGACCTATTTCTTCTAGTGTATGGCCGTGGGCCGTGACTCATTACCAGCCTATCTGAGCATCGTGCTAACAAGAGTGTCCCGCGACATATCTCTTTTACTTTCATTCAGGTTAACGTTGTCGCATACATGTATGTATACGTTTCAACGCTGTCGCTCTATACAACGTGGAAGCGGCAACGAAGTCTTGAGAAGCTTTCACGTTGCTCTCGTTACACATTCAAAGTCGATCTTGCCATTGATTGAATGGGAAGCGTAATACCGGTTGCCTCCGTGGCATATTTTGATCAGGCTCCGCGTGGCGGCGCAACTGCGGGTTTGCGCGCAAGGCTCTACCTGCCAGGGAAGTGCTGCTGCAGTAACGTCCCAGATCATGTGGAAGAGGGGGGGAGGACAAGCAACCAGGCGATAGAGTTACCCCTTGCCAATTCGGGCTGACTTGGGGGCTGAAGGATTCTGCCAAGCAGACGCTGGTAGTGTCACGACACGAAGAATGGGAAAATGTGAGAGAAAGAAAATTGGTATTGAAGGGGGTGGAAAGGGTGTGTATGTGGCTTGTCGCCTGTCGTGCGTCCGTCAGAACTCTGGTCGGACTGAATGGTGTGATCTTGTCGCGTTACACATGTTGCGATGCGAATCCGGGGATGACGCGGTTCGAGATGTCACAATGACCAGCTTCGTCGCCAACAGGATGATGGACTCTTGCTGATCGTCCGAGGAATCGTTACCTTTGTCTTGTTTCCAAAGGATACATGGCTATTCTCAAGATAGAGCACAGAAGACTGTCATTCACGAACCTCGTCGGAAGTGTTATTTTTGGCATCGGAGATGGGATCTTGCCTGGCCAATGTAGAGTGTGGGAGGAAGGTTTGGCCGCGGATTCAGACCAGGACGTCATGCTTCTATTCTCATACAGGGTTCTGGTTAGCACGTGCCTAAATGGAGAAACACGACAAAATGAGAGTTGTGTCAGTCGTGAAGGCAAATTGTCGTGGTTGGCGGCGAGAACCAGGAAAAGCACCAGAACCGTCACCGCCGGCGTCGCGCGAAACTCGGACGATAATGGCGAGGCCTATCATGACGACGGTGATGATGATGAAAATAATAGGGCGGTATCGATATGGTTCTGGCAGCCTTCACAGCATCTATCTGTCGGCCGCTGGCATCAACATTTTGGTGGGTGCAGGTACCTAGGCAGGCGCGATAAGAGACAGATCCGACTGACCGACACTGGCCAGTGGCAAGAGATGCATTTAGAAGCGGGGGAAAAGAGTCCAGGTCCTGAATCCTTCATCATGCCGTGTAGCACATTTGTGTGGCAGAGCCAGCTGAGAAATCTACTGCCATCTGTCATGAGCAGAAGTCTTGTAAGCGCATTTTTTACACTTTGCATTTGGCTGCCTGCGGCAACGATGCAATAGACCTGCTCGAGTATACTCTGTGCCTGTAGGCAGCTCGCGGAGTAACTCTTGGAGGTTTAGTAATGTGGAGATACCCAGTAACTTTGGCATGGGTGTCTGGGCTGGCCGAGTCGTAGGTACCGCATCAGGTAAAGAGGCATGCGGGATACACCTTGCCTTGACCGTGCTTGCGCTCCAGCAATTCGGACCACTAAACTTGACTACTCTAGAGGCCGCTTCTAGTACGGTACATGGCCGGCCAGTGGGCCTCGGAGAGCCAAAAGTCCCCCGAAGCATCAACCTCTAGAAATATGCTGGACTCGCTTCTGGGCACCTGCGCAAAAAGCCTAGCCCTCTGTCTGCCGTCGACGGTATCGCAAAATTCGACGCTTGAAACAAGTTCGTAGTGCCCCGGGCCGATGGGAGAAGCTTGCGTGGGCTGGAGGTGTACAATTCATTGTAGATCGGATTGGTTGCAAACTTGCCTGCATCCCATACACAATCATTTGTGCGACTATTCAATATTGTCGAGGCTCTGGGGCTGTGAGCTGGACCACTACCCGACACCCATGTAGGAAGTGGTAGCGGGTCGGATTACTGTGCGTGGTAGACGGCAGGTGGCAGCCTGCACAGCCCTTGACAGATGGTTCCATGTTCCCCGCGATGAACAGACAGATGTTGAAGAAAACAATCAACTACTAGGTAATAGCTTGCAGCTGCAAGTGCATGTGTGCTTTAGCCAATGTGGCTGAAGCCAGTAAAGGTCCTACATTGCTACCTACTAGGTACAATTGCGTAGTAGGACGAACCAGAAGAGCAATGAAAGGACTTTGAATGCTCGCCTACACTGCAGCTTGCTTTCCAATCGAGCCAATCTAGCGACCGTCCGAGACCGCTTCTCGATTGACCACTTGCTGGTCATGATGCCCTGACATTGATGCAAGCTCCTCCAACGACGCACAAGTGACATCAATTGTCATAGGAGTCAGTCCAGTCACGAGGATGGAATTCTAGGCTGCCAGGCTGGAACTAGAGGGGACTGACTACCTAGGTACCCTCGAATGAGGACTCAGAAGGTTTACCTGCATTACCTACCTCCTGCCTGGAGGTGTAGATCTCTCGAGCTCAAGATGCACAACATTTCTAGAGCAAAATGTGGGTTTCAAGTCTGTAATGTTGGCAGTCAATTGGCTTGCAAAGGGTGTCTGTTCATCAACAACGGTCGATGCGGAACTACTGCATCGTCTTCACCGTGCTGCAGCAACCATTTCATTCATGCATGCATACAGAGAAGTCTCTCTCCCCCACCCCACTGAGCGGGGATGGAGTTGCATTGCCATGGACGACAGACACTGCCTACTACGTACACCACCATTAACATGATGACTCAACTCTAGTCCAGGCCCGAGAAAAAGAAAATCAAAGAAGAACTACTACCAAGTCCGGAGATTTTGATATGGTCCACGGAACACCTGCTGAGACATGCCTATCTCACATTTTACCTTCTTACCTTGCCTAGGTGGTTGCCACAGAGGTGGATAGCTTACCCCAGGACCTTACTACTACAGCTTGGTTGCTTGGCCAGTGCTTGGTCGCCATAGATTGAACGTCGCATTCCATTCCGTCGACGCGCTTGTCTCATCTGGCGCCTGGGAAACGGAACATGCTATCTTTGCCAGTGAACTCTTTTTTTGGATTCCCCTCCAGCTCCAGATATGACCAGCAGTCACCGAGGAACGAATACCTACATTACCTCCTAGGGCGGTAACCGATCATTCGGGTTCCCTCTTGTTTCAACACCATGTCTTTAATGCCATGCGCCAGGAGTCAGCTTGGGGGATGGAAGGATTCTTCTTGATTGAAGAAGCATGGAAGCTTCATTGGTTTCCTGTCTTGTGGTGCATTCATTCCCCGGCTTCCTGCGCAGCAGTCCTGGCAACCTGGGTTTAGCGGACGGCCTCTCCAGTGGGCCACCACCGTCACCCGTCGACTGAGCCCGCTCAGCCTCTTTTGGCTGCGGACGAGTCTTGATGGGAAAGGTATGGCAAGTGGCAGTGGTAGGGGAGAGGGGGGGTCCAATGTTTCCCAGGTCACGGTTCACCATTCCCCCGTCAACACCATACCTACCGACTACTCGTTCGGCACACCCTGAGCAACGAAAAGAATGTGTCATCGGCCAGTACAGGCTAGGGCGCGCCAATCCGTCCTAGCACCAGAATAATCTGTATCTGTCTATGGGTCAATGGCTCTCAACTCGTCGTGATGGAGGGGCGTGCGATTATTAGACGTCCCTCCGGGAAGCGTTCCTGGGTACCTGGTAAAGGTAATATACGTACCTACCAGCCATACATACTGCCACCACCACTATTACCTGCCCTCATAATGTTCCCTGCCCACCAAAAAACTTACAAAAAGTCCTGCACGAGCTCCCTCATCTTCATGCTCTATATTTAAGGCCACAAACTCCTCTCGTGTCTTGGACTGAAGTCTAGCTTCCTCCTTCTGCTCATTCTTCATTGTCATATCTGTTTCGTCAATCCCCTTTTCCTATACGAACATTATTCAGAGTTCTGCTAGGCAACAATCTGCTCCACTACAGAGTAGGACTACTACGACTTGACTTACTACTTATTCCTCAAACCTCCCACGCGACCTCGACCTCGAACAACTTCACTTGACTTCTTCTTCCAGATGTCATGTCTTTGAAGCCACACTACACTTGCGCAAAATACTTTCCCATTTGTGACACGGCCGGTTGACAACATCATCGTGGCCTCAACACCCAAGATCCTGATCAACAACACCGTCTCCAATCGTAGACACAAGACGGAAATATACTCGACCCACCAATACCATACTAGTAGATCGCGAGAAAGAAGCCCTTCGCCAGAACGTGCCATTCGCGAGCACCAACTCTCACGAAGGTCTCGACTCAAACCAATTGTTGTACAATCCGTTCCACCGCGCATCTCGCGCTCAAATACGTTACCAGCCTCCACCATGTGTGAGAAGCACTCCTACTACAAGGACGGCCGAAAGGTCGACAGCCAGGTAGAGCAATGCTCCAAGGCTGCCCGCCACGGCCCCAATACTATCTGCGAGGATCCCGTAAAGTTTAGACACCCAGACGGCGAGACGCCACGTCGCAGCTCACAGTACCTCTCGCCGGGCTTTCCTCCTTCACCACCCTCATCTGATGCATCCTTTGCGCCTTCGAGCGACGGGGAACGATCCCACAAGCGCCGCTCTGGAACCTACATCAATGGCGAGAAGATTAGCCGCAGCGGCTCTCGTCGCGAGAAGCGCAGCAGTGCCCACGTTACCTTTGTCGAGCCCTCCACGTCTCCGCGCTCGCCTCTGAACTATGACACACCAGCTAGCAGCCCTTCGCGGTCACCGACTTACACTTACCATACTTCAACATCCTCCGCCTACCCGTCCCACGATCAATCACACTATAGACATCCCGAGGTGAGGATGGAAGTCAACCGTCCTCGCCGCAACAGCACTGCTCAATACGAGCAGAGTACATCAAAGTCAAAGACCTCTTCGAGCAGCAGCAGCTCCGAGGAGGAGCGCCTGCGCCAACAGCTCAAGCGCGAGGAGAGGAAGAATGAAGAGACCAAGCGCCAACTCGCAGAGGCCAAGAGACAGGCAGAAGAGGCCGAAAGAAGAGCCGATGCAGAGCGCAAAGTGCGAAAGGACGCGGAACGTGAGCGAAAGCTCGAGAAAGACATCAAGCGACAGAATGCAGCCATTGACAGCCGTCCCCCGGTTGTGCAATCGACGGCGGCTCCTGTTTACCGTCGAGGCTCGGTGTCGATCAAGCAACAGAACACTGCACCCATTGCCGACCCCTACGTTTCCCACAAATACTATGAACGAGAGGAAAGAAGAAGGCGCAAGGAGGAGGAGGAGCAGCAGCAGCAGGCCAGGTTGAGGGCACGCCTGACTCCTCACACCGCCCCGCGAGGTTATGATAGACCAACAGTTGTGTACCATGGACGGGATACATATTAAAGTGCCTGGTTAAAAAGACACACATGTACTTTGGGTTTTATAACAGCAGGCGTTAAGGAACATTGGGGGCAAAAAGATACCTTGGGATTTATACAGGCTGACAGCAATTGTCGAAGGCATTCCGGTGTAAATGTCTTGGTTTTTTGGAATTTTTTCTTTTCTTTTTTGGACCTTTTTGATCTACCAATTAGATAGATGGAAAAATATCATTGGATAAGTCAAAAGCTTCTCAATCTGTCCTCCACAAGACTTGATGAATTGCTGCAAAATAGTGACCACATGTCACCCACCTCACGCATCAAAGATACAACGCCGAATAACAACACTATTACTTGATGCACTGACAATTTGCGGGTATCAGTACAATGCAAGACTACATTGGCTCCTTTTTTTTTCCTTCTTTTTCTTTTCTTTTGTTATGATTGCTTGGCCAAATCAGCCACTCAGCAATGAGTCGCAAATTATTCAGCAAAGCTCGTATTATAGAATACAGGCATGGATGGCCTAGACATTGTAGTCACGCAACACATAGCATCATGATATGTACAACTGGGTTTGACTCATACGGGAGTGCAAGAAAAAAGATGCCCCTCAATGCCCCGCGTCGTTCGTGCGATGCGATTGCGGGGTCATCAGTCGCATGCCCGCCCTTCTTTCTTTGCTCCTGTCCCTGTGGCTCATTTCTTCTTGCTGCCTCAATTGGACAGTCACACGGGACTCACCTAACCCAAGTGCCTTGCCTCTCCTCTCTCCTCTTTTGCTTGCCTTTGCTGCCTGTGTGCTGCCTAAAAGATGGTGGTTTGGCCGTATGATACTATCCTAATGCAGGAGTCTCAGTAGTCCACCCACAGCTGGATTGGAGGAAAATGGGGCCAACCAAGCGCAATGATGGGAATCGGTGCCGGCCCGCTCCACTTTCCTTGATCTTTGTTCCTTTCTCTCGCCCTCGCCCGCTTAGGACCCAATCAAGAACACCATCACACGCGACTGGGTGACTTGACCTAGTTTGCCGCAGCGCACATTGATGCGAACTGGCCACATGGGAAAACGAGGGGGGCCAGTAAGAGAGATGAGCAAAGGGAACTTGCCGAGTGGTTAGGTGAGACTGGGAGAATATGAGATGGCCGAAATGAAATACCGCATGTGTTTCATTCTGATAGAGACACGCCATAGTTGGGCATTCATCTTTTTTGGCTCTCCCTATATGACCGAGCCCGCGCAATTACAAGTGCTATAGTCTACTAAGAGTAGAAGAGCATAAGAGTAGAAGAGCACACACACACACAACCAAACTGTTAGGCATCAAGACGGAGAAAAAAAAAGTTCTTGGCTTCCTGGTTCCTAGGGTCCCGGAAGTGATGAATGGGTCCCCGAACAACCCAACCCCTGGTTCCTCTCCTCCCTCCCACCCAAAAGTCGAGCAGATTCCCTAGATTCCGTCGCAGTGGAAGTGGGCAAATATAGAGCACCCCGATTTGAAACCCTTGCTTTGCCTAAATAGGGGAGTTCGGCAGTCGTTACTTTTCCTCCTCCTCCCAGTAGTACCCAGGCACGAAGGGAGAAAAAAGTGAGACGGAATGCGCGAATATCGTGAACGGCTGATCCTCAGCTAGATTGAAAAATCCTTCTCTCCCTCTCTCCTGTATTCCATGCCAAAATTAAAGTTGGCAGATCTTTAGAGCCCAACCGTTTCATTTCCTCGTCACCTAGATACCCAAAGAGTGACCGATTGAAAAACCCTGGCGCATGATTGCGCAAGCTCAGTTTTCAGCTGTGACGAGAATCATCGTACCGCGCCCAGAGGAGGGGAGGAAATGGATGCAAAGCAGCCCAGGAGATCTTTGATTAAAAGGTCTGTCCCCCGGCAATCTGCCCGGAAGCACTTATCGATACGACTTACTACTTGACATTCCGGTGCGACACAGACCCCTGATGGATTATACTCCGAGCCATTCGAGTTATCCACTCAACAACGATGGATGCACAATACGCACAACAACCAACGCCAATGCGGAAGACTCGGACAGAGACAAGCCAAGTCAAAATGATAGCAAAATTCACGGAGTCCGACTTTCGACAAAAGACCACGGTCATCTCCTCGCGATAAAGGTTTAGCAGATAGCTTCTTGATATTTTGTTTCATTGACTGGATTGGGAATATCGGAATCCTTCTTGAATCCTCTTCTCCAGAAATAGGCCGACCCGAATAGGCCGCTGTCTTTTTTGCCCTCTGCCTTAAAAATAGGAACCACGTTTTCGAGGCCGACGAGCGAGAATTTCCCGCCAAGGACGATGATGAAGAAGCAAAGCAATTCCCACCTGTAGATAGGTAATTCCCTTGCTCGCCATCATCAGACTTTCGTGTCCAATCCATCGTCTCGAGAACCTGATTCCTTCGAGCCATCATACGAAAGATGAGAAAATGGTCATTTACATGCCGGGCCAATGTTTCGGGTTCGATGCATCTTGGTCCACGAGAAGAGAAACTCGTCTCCGTGCTCTAACCCTAGGCCGACCACGTGCCCTTGACTTCGCCCGTGAGTACAATGGGCTGCAGGTCGGTAAAGTTGGGAACGTCGGCAAAGATCTCCTTGCCTCCCTCGGTGGCCGCCGCGGTGCCAAACGCACCGGCGCTCTCCCACTGCAGGATGGCTTGGATAACGTAAGGACCCTCGGAGTCTATTAAAAGAACGAGTTAGTTATCTCTGGGATTTCAGGTCGTGGCTTGTTTCATGATATCATCCGTCTCAATGGGCCGCTCAACAAGTCATGATTCGCAATTTGTTTGTGTAGAGCAAGAGCCCGCGATTGACTTGCTTCAACGCAGAGCATACGAGAGGAAAGAAAATGACGCCATCTTCTATGAGGCACTTACGTTCAGTGATAGTCCAGGACTTGAGTCCGCTGGGTCCCCAAGTCTTGCTGACCAGGGGCATGTGCTTGTCGAGGTAGTACTGGAGATCGAACTTGACCTCTCCGCTCGGACGCGGGTAGGCGACGGTGATGATGGCAGGCATGTTGGTTTTTTTTAGAGTTTCTCAGCTGTTAAGGAGTGCTATTTATAGTGAGGGAGTAATAATGTTACTCGGCTAGCAAGATTGATGATGGTGAATATTTCTGATAGTTTATGAAGACTGAAGCACGAATGCACGTTGCCAAGTCGCAATCTTTGTTGCGGAGGGGTTTCCTTTTCTCCTCTTTTATCGTTGCGGGCATCTCTGGAGGGTCCCGAGGTATTCTAGAAGAAGGCTTCAACCCCACTCCTTGCATCACGTCAATCGCTCCGGTGGCGCGGAGTTGCCCTTCATAGTGGTGGGGACTATAGAGCAAAAACGCGCGTGTCAGCATCAGCATCAGCATCACGTATGCCAATGCAATGGATCGGATTTTCCCGGTGCACATCACATCCACAAAGAGCATCTCGTCAATCTTGTAGGTGTGAAACACAGCTTTGCAAGTCAATGCAATGACATTGCCCGTAATTCACAATGCTACCCTCGCCTTAAGCTGCTTTCCACTTTGGGGTATTGCATTAACCATATCGGATTGAAGCTATAAATGTTCCACGCGTACGCCACCTTGAGATATATTGTATAGCATCATTTTCCGACGCGTTTGACACTAATTCCTGCTCGTCGACACATTCATGACCAGTACGACAGCTCCCCCGCCAACATACCCGTCGGCTGTCTCCCCATCTGGCCCGTCAGGAGCGTCGACTTTTCCCTCTTGAGGTACTCGCCGTCCCCGAGCTTGGCCGTGACGCCCGCGCCGTCGCGGTCCCAGGCCAGCTGCCCGCGGAGGAAAACTTTGCGCGGCCAATTGCGCACCTGGACACCCTCAAACGGCGTGTAGTCGATCCGGTGGTGCAGCATGCTGTTGGTAATGGTGATCTTGCCTCGCCCTCCTCCTGTCTGGCGACTGCTGCTGATGCTCTGGGGACCGTCGGCTTCGGATTGTGAGACGAGGGGCGTCTCTTCGGGATACCAGATGACAATGTCGGCGTCAAAGCCGGGCGCCAAACTACCCTTTCTGTGGCCTAGGCCATAGAGCTTGGCGGGGTTTGTAGAAGTAAGCTCCACGAACCGCGGCAGCGAGATGCGGATCTTGTCGTCGCCGAACCCGCCGCCAGGCCGCGAAGGGTCAAAGGTCCGGTCAAACAGCAAGGGCAGCCGGGTCTCCATGCCCGGCAGACCATTGGGCACGACGCGGAAGTCGCCGTGCCTGTGCCCATGCTCGTCGGGCGCAGAGAGGCCCTTGAGCTTGCCGCACTCGTGGTCAAAGGTCGCGGGCGCGTGGTCCGAGGACACGACGGTAAAGGTGCCGTTGGCGAGCCCGAGCCAGATCTCCTCGAGATCGCGGGCGTCGTGGCGCAGCGGCGGGGCGCAAATGTTCTTGGCGCCCTCAAAGTCTTCGGGGCCGGACCGGAGGCGATCGCTCAGCAGGTACAGGTAGTGCGGGCAGGTCTCGGCGTGGATGGGCAGCAGCCGTCTCTGTGCGTCATTAACGTGTTTCACGGCCGTCGGCGCCGACATGTGCACAATGAGGATTGGTGTGTCCGTAACCTCGGCCAGGCTGATGGCGCGGTATGTGGCTTCGGACTCTGCAATCTGTGGGCGAGCTACGGAATGGAAAAAGGTGCCCGTGTTCTTCTGCTTTGCGAGTCGCCTGATCATTTCGTAAGTCTAAGTTCTGTGAGGCAAGAGGGCGAATTCTCTCACTTTGTTATTTGCTCGATGATGTCATTGTTCTCGGCATGTATCATGGTGGTGATTCCGAGCCCGCGGGCTCTCATCATGATATTGAAGAGGTCGCCATCTCCCAGCTTCATTGGTTCATCTGTATCATGTGATAAGTTCTTGTTCGTTCGATGAGGGTGCACTGGTACACTCACAAGTCATGTAAATCTTGACACTCGTGATGCCCTCCCTCTCCACGAGTAAAGGTAATTCTTCTTCGAGGACTTTTTCATTCGGATTTGTCAGAATGACATGGATGCCGTAGTCACAGAATGAATTGCCAGCTGCCTTTTTATGGTAAGACTCGAGAGCCGGCCATATGCTTTCTTCGTGTCGTTTCTGGCTGGCAAAGGCTATGACCGTTGTATTACCACCTGCAATGGCTGATTTACTCCCCGATTCCCAAGTATCCCCTGTCGGCGAATTATCTTGTTGAATATGCACATGCGAATCCACGCCGCTGTTTTCGTCATTAGTTTTATGTCCAGTCAGACATGGAGACGCGGTTTAATGTGCTTGCTCACCCTGGTGTGATGTAGGCGCCTTCTGCATCCACAACCTGAGTCTGTGGCCCGGACGTAAGATTGGTTCCGATGCAGCTAATCTTGCCATCTATAACGCCCAACTCGACGCCAAGAGGAAGAACCTCTGCAGCCGTAACCTGGAGCAGTCAGAATATTTTTGGTTGGTTCGGATTTCCAATGTATGCAACTTACTATCCGCCCATTTCGAACTATTAAATCGAGATCACGTTTCTCGCTCATCTTGGGTAATATTGCGAGGCAAAAGTGAATGGGAGTGTCGTGGTCGATTTGACAGACTAGCCAGCAATCCACAACAGAATGAACAAACAGTTTGAGTAGTCGAGAATCTTGCACAGGACTGTCTGAAAGTCGAATTTATCCCGGCCCTCAAATAATCGACTCGGTGGTCAAAATAAACGTAATACTGCAACAAATAAATGTCATCAAGGGCGACAGGATATCTACATGAATTGTGGCTACTTGCTGCTACTGCTTCGGGCATGACCCGACGGCCCCGCCTCTACAGCGGAGTGCTTATCACTGTAGCGCCTTCGGAAGGCCGGACGAGCCCCCGATAAATGGAGACACCGGAACCGGAGCTTGTATACTTTGGATGGGATGTCACTGCGATCTAAATATGTTGGATGATTATTTCAGTTTCCATCAGAACAATTTCCAGTGTGAAGCTTTCAAGTACATCAATCAATAAGCGGGTGTGTACACGCAAAGGAAGCAAAGATGTCAAGCAAAGCAACTCCCCGGACCATCACAGTCGCTGCGGCGCAGATGGGGCCCAACCAAAAGACAGACTCTCGTGCCTCCATATTGAATCGCATGCTCAAGCTTATGGATGATGCCGCTTCCCAGGGTGTCAAACTTATTGCCTATCCAGAGCTTGCCCTGACGACATTCTTCCCCGTACATTACCTGACGGACGAGGAAGAAATCGCCAGCTACTTTGAGCCTACATCCGCAGCAGAGCCGTACGCTCTCTTGTCGTCGCCCCACGTCAAGCCGCTGGTGGACAAGGCCAACGCTCTAGGCATTGACTTTTACCTGGGCTTTGCCGAGCGGTGGACGGGAGAGGACGGCAAGACGACCGACTTCAACACGGCCATGTACTACTCGGTCGCAGCAGGCACTGGTGTGGGCAAGTACAGAAAGGTTCATCTACCTGGAAGGACTGAGCCACTCCCTGATCCAAAGGCGTTTCAACAGCTCGAAAAGAAGTACTTTACGCCTGGCGATATCGGGTTCAAGGCCTTTAGGGCCCCGGGGCTCGTTCCAGATGCCCTTAAGGCTGAGGATGTTGGACCAGAGAGCGAGACAGTAGCCAAGGGAGACCCAATCCTGGGCATGCTGATTTGCAACGACAGAAGGTGGCCGGAGGCTTGGAGACCTTATGGACTGCAGGTATGGATGCTCACGCCGTCACCGCAACGGTAATATTGTCACTTTGACAAGTATGCTAAGTATAACACAGGGCGCGGAACTTGTCATTGAAGGCTACAACACCACAGCCTGGGCACCGCAGTACGACGGAACCCCCGAAGAGCAGCAAGAGACTGCCGAGTTCCACCACCGGCTGTCCTGCCAGGCCGGAAGCTACCAAAATGCTCTCTGGAGTATCAACGTGGCCAAGTGCGGCATTGAGAACAACCAGGGTCTGATCGGATGCAGTTTGATTATCGACCCGAATGGCAGAATTGTTGCCGAGTCCAAGACTATGGATGATGAGCTCATCGTAGCGACTATTGACCTGGCCAAGTGCCAGTACCAGAGGGGCCGTGTTTTCAACTTTGAGAAGCACAGGAGACCGGAGCACTACGGCATCATCTTGGATCAAGTTGGGTTGCAAGAGATACCTCTTTTGTCTGGGGCATGATTTTGAGTGATACATAGATATTAAACTGGAACAAAATTGAGCTCTTGTCCGCAAACAGACCTATTACGGCTCCTCGCGCATTATGCGCAAAACAGAGGATCCATATTTTCGAAAATGAAATTCGAGGGAATGCTCAAGATTATCATTGATGATTGCTGCTAATTATATGATGAATTACTAAAATGACTGTACTGCCCATACCAATGCCATGATTACCAATGGTACAGTCGAGAATGGTGAGCCAAGAGAGTTGCCGGATGATGTAGTGATTGACGATCCTTCCGAATTGGAACCTGATCCAGGAGAAGACTGGGATCCCGAGTCCGAACCTGAGCCCGAGCCCGTAGAGTCGGACGAGTCTGATGAACCTGACGAACCCGAGCCAGAACCTGAACTTGATGAGCCTGACGCATCTGATGAGCCGCCTGAAGACGTATCCGAGCCTGAACCCGAGCCAGTATCAGTTCCCGAGCTGGAGCCAGAACCTGATCCTCCGCCCGACTGCCCTGCTGATCCCGAGCTTGAGCTTGAGCTTCCGCCGTCCGAACTGTCCGAAGACCCAGTCCCGCTCGAGTCACTAGAGGAACCGCTGCTCCCTGTGCCACTTGACGAACTGCCGCCTCCGGAACCGCTTGAACCACTCGAGCCGCTGCTGCCGCTGCTGTCTGTGTCTCCACTGGTACCCGAACCAGATGATCCCGTTCCAATTCCAAAGCTACCACCACCCGAACCTGACCCTTGACTCGCGCCTCCTATGATCCGTTAGACAAAGCATTCTTCATACCAGCAGATCAATTACGAGGGAGAACATGAGCAATAAAGACTTACCCTAGCCGCCAAGGAGAGCGGTAATGAGAGCAGTGATGAATTCCGAGACCGCCGATACAAGCTAGCGATGACATTTTAGCAGTCTGTGTGACAGTTCCAAAGAAGGGGTGCTGGATCTTACCGGTTGAGCATCAGCAATAAGCTGCTTGGTCTCGGTGATAAAGTCTTGAGTTAGGAGGCTGTTGGCGCCATTGAGGAGGTTGCCAATGATCTTGATGTTGTCCGGAGTCAAGAGGCCAGAGGCGGCATCGACCAGACCGCCAATGTCGAGCTTGCCGAGCGTATCCAGAAGAGGTGAGATCTGTCCAATGAGCGAGCCAAGGTCAACTTGTCCGAGAGCGTCGCTGGCCGTAAAGACAATGCTGCGCGTGGTATTGGCAAAGGGTGCCTCGAGCAGGTCGGCGAGCCCCGTCACGACGGTGTGGACGTCGTTGAGGAAGTCGGTGGAGAGAAAGGTCTGCAACTGCTTGAGCAGGTCCAAGAGGCTGCTGAGAGCATCGCCCAAGTCTAGGGTGTCCTGTCTGGGAGCAAGTGCGAGCTTGGCAAACTGAGCAAACTCATCGCGCGTCAGGAGGTTGGCAGTAGCAGCAAAAGAATCGGGGGATGTTTTGGCAATTGCCGCCACAGGCATGGACGCGGCCAGTGCCGTGGTGAAGAATCTGGAGAACCGCATTGTTGGGCTCTGTTCCTATGCAGTGATACCAAATCTAGACTGGAGGAGAAAGGCAGAGCAGAGTGTTGTGGCGGCTTGAGTGTTTCAAGGAGGTGGAAATCATGCATCAGAAGAGGCATAATATAGTCATTTACTCGAGACGGGGACGATGCTGACTTGCCTCGTCTCCTCACATCCCCTCTTCCCTATGTCCAACCCAAGACAAAGTGACTTGAGCGCTGTTTGCTTGACAGCTATCTAGTCTGGTCCCTCTCGACATTTCCTTGGCATTGCCGTCCGAGGCAGACTGCAATCATCCGAGAGGCAAAACATTATCGCCAAGACATTGAATATTTTAGGCGAGGAACACAAGCCGTCGTTTGTTGGCATCAAATGCAACGGTATGCTCATGGCCTTGTCACTCTTGGCACCTCTTACCTGCCTCGGACAGAATTGTCATGACAACTTATTTCCTCTCCGAGCAATGGAGGATCTGAGCGACTCTCGCGAGAGCGGGGCAATATACGAATTGGACACTGGGCACGTCCACAGGATGTCAGCTGCGATGAGTGCAATAATCGTGGATTGTGTAAGTTCGTGATATTCACATGATTCGTGCCAGGATCATGGAGGTTAATTCTCATAGCTATAGACGTGCGGCTAATACAAAAATCAGATATCAGACGGATTCGTCCAATCATTTTCTCTCTCCATATTAAGCCGTTGCATGCCAGGGACCAGCGCAGTGCAACCTCCCGATAGATGACATACATGATCGACTACAAGTCTGCGGGGACGTATGCCGAGGCCAGGTCAGACAGACAGTCGAGCAAAGTCTGGGGTCCCCGCATCTTTGGCTGCGCCTGGGGTCGATGCGGAGATGGGGGCTCAGAGAGGGAACTTGATTCGGGTATGCAACTCGTCTCGTCTTTTTACTTGACTCGTCCTACCCTCGTGACCTCAACTTGTGGCACCCATGCAACACTGCCAGGGCCGGAAGCCTGACCGAAGCGAAAACTCGGTGCATCTGCAGGAGGCAGCAATCGGAGATGATATCCCGGCTTGTCAATCACTCGGCCGAGTCGCAATGGCGACACATTCTGGATGGATTATCAATACGACCATGAATGAGCATATTCGACGATAATCGAAGATGCAATGTCACTTTGGACAGAATCCTCGGCTGAAAGGAGTGTTGTTGTGAGACCTCGGCCCAATTACTCCATTCTTCGCTATGCATCCTTCTCCCAATGCCAAGGCTACTATAACCTCCAGTCGGAGTGGAACACCACGCCGCCACAGAAGATACACAGGAACAGTACTGGAACCGAGGGAAGTGCAAGATTCATAGTCTTGAATGACGCCTCCGAGTCTGAGATAGGTAGCACTAGTTTGATGTAAAACCTATCAGCCAAGCTGCCGCGTTTAGATCTTGCGACAGACTGAGCTTGAAGCCATCATTACCAGTCTCTTCTCGGCACTCATCTCAGAGCTTGCATCGATTTGAGAAGGACGCAATTCCTATCAGTAACATTGCTGAAATTTGCGCAGACCAAAGTCATGTTGCTCAAGACTGTCGTCAGCGTTTTGCTCACAGCGGTCGCCTCGGCGTCGCAACACCACCAGCATCATAATGCAAAGAGGAGCGATGCATCGTCAACGCCAACGGCAGCGTCCAGTTTTGACTCGGCCAAAGTATCCTCGCAGCTGTAAGCCTCAGTATACCTTCAGAGCAGTCACTTATGACTAACAAGCGGAACAGACAAGTGCTTCTAGGCGGTATGACTGTGTCGGCCCTCGTACCTATCCCGACCGTTACACTTGGAATTTCCATTCCCGCCAATCTCAGGAATGAGATCATGACTGCGGTACCTGCCGACGTTATTGTCAAGTTGATGAACCCGACGTATCGTGAGAGCGTAGCGTCCGACTTTGCCGCAGGCAACACTCCCAGCTGGTACCAAGTGAGCTCAGTCCATTCAATAGTGCAATTCATTATCAGGCAGTAGCTCATTATAGATGAAAGACGCTCGATCCCGAACTCAAGACCTTCTTTGAAGGTATAGCCAAGGATATCAAGACGGGCGACGCTGTATTCACCGTCTCGTCGACGCCAACAGTCACGGGATCAGGGTCTGCAGAGGCCACGGACGATGCAGTCGCCTCGAGCTCCAGCTCTGGCATGGCAGCTGCTCCCACGGGTATTGGTAGGGAAATGGCAGTGAGCGTCATTGCTTTGGCTGGAGCGGCCGGTGTAGCTTTGATACTATAGTGCAAGGGTACAAATGGGGTGAAAGCACTTGACAATTGGGACACGGTGACTGGCGATGACAAGATCAGATAATGTTTCAATCAACAAGCTACCTATATAGCAGAACACAATTAACCTTCCTTTCACATACGACCATACGCACTAGAAAATACGGCATCCCGTCCGCTCTGCCCTAGTCAAACTGGTGACGGCTGGATTAGTACTCAGATCGGTGACGGCTGGGGAATCCCCGGTGTTGTATGTTACTTTTTTGTTGAACCATCTATTAATAAATTAGATTATCATTGAGTAGTAAAATAATAAACTTGTTTGAAAATTAATTTTTAAAATTCAAAGAAATTGAATGCAAAGATTCTCACCCGCGACAATCTCAAGGGAGAGTGGACCAATTGGCATGAGAAGTTATGGCAGAGATGCGCCGGATGGCCATATAGTTCAGTGAGAAATATCTCTGTGGGTTGGGAGGGATATGATCATGCAAATGATCACATTATCAAGCGTCTGGAATTGCCCTTGTTTGCTGGGAATCCAGTTCAACAGGCATTCTGATATTCTCCGGTATATCAGGAAGCATAGGGACCCCTCCTGCCGACTGATGTGGAGATTGAGGCGGCTCATCCTGCTCAGTGTACGGTCCCGTGACTGCCGTTGGGCCCAAGTACTCGTATACCAGTCCATGTCGGTGCACTCTGTTCGCCACGGGACCGCCAAATTCACTGTCGTTTTTATGGACGACTGATTTTAGCCTAGCCCCGATGTTACTGATACAACCTGGCTTTTGGCGGCTCTGTACACGCTTGAGCTTTTGCAATTTCCGTGTAGTCTGGCTTGAAGGACGCAAACTACTCCATAAAGCCATCGAGTCCCCTTGTGGACGTTGTTTCTCTTCGATATCCACATTCTGCGCGGCATGCCACGGCTTGTACCCGAGGACATGGTTTGGGCTGCGCGGTCTATCTTCTTTTTTCTGGGCTGATGACGTCTCCTTGACTTGCCATGTCAGGGAATCAGATCGTGACACCGTACCACTGTTCAGTGACCTTGAAGGTGAGTAAACCCGGGCTCTTCGACGTATGAATATATTGTGTGGAGGAGGGTAAAGGCATGGTCCTTTCTGCCGAAGTAGTACTGGATTTGGCTCGGGTATCGGTATCGATAGTCCACTTTGCTTAGTCTCATCCTTTTCAACGATATTAAAGAGCACATGACGAGAGACCTGAGGGGCCGGTTGGTGGTGAGTTTCCACTAATGGAGAGCGCGGGGGTGGAGCTTCCGCCGCAAGGGAGTCAGATATCTCTGATACTTGATAGGCAGTATGGGAGTTGGCTACGGCCGGAAATGAGGAAGAGAATTCCGATACTTGATAGGCGGCGCGAGAGTTGTTCACAGCGCTGGAGAGTCCAATTGAGCCCCAACCAGCAATCCCGTAGGGATTGACGGGATTGCCAAGCGTTTCGGATCCTATACCTGTATCTTCTAGTTCTACTCGAGGTGAAGTGTCCATCATCTCAAATATTGCAGTATCTGGCATTTCCGCCATGACGGGTGTCGTGCTTGAAGGGCGGCGTTGAAGTTCTTTGGATGGTGTAGATGGCATTCCTACAAAACTGAAATTTCGGCGCAAAGGTGATGGCGGCAGAGTAGAGCACATAGCCTCGGTTGATCTCAGTGTCATAGCTTTGCCGTTCTTGTTGTCACCCTGCCCCTTCATCCAAGCCACAATTCGGTGGCCGTTTTCGTCGCACTCGAGCGTCTTGACGCTCATTCTTCTGTGCCATGGAGAGAGTCTCTGCCACAGTGGTACTTCGTTCTGACGTTCGAGATATGTCTTTGCTCTTTGGTGCTTCCCTGGGATGCGGATGGTCTTCTTCATTCTGCCGTTCTGAAATGCTGTGTCGTCTGAGGATACCGTTGAGATCTCTGATTCCTCTTTTTGTAGTGCGCTTTTCCAACGGAGGATTGTTTTCAATCGTCTGTATTTTCCGGCATATGAATTCTTGCGGCTGCCGCTTACAATAATAGTAGCTGTTTGTCGTAGAGACGGGTGACTCTTGCTCTTTGTCTGGTCATTGATTCCTGAAGTGGGGTGGCCAGTGTCTTCTGCTCTTTGGATCTGCTGCTTGATCCATCTCAACTCAAAACTACTCTTCTCTACAAGTCCTCACAGTTAATCACCGATTCTAGAATGCTTGGAAGTCCATCATCCGTGACGCTCGCCAATTCGGGATGCTGTTCTTCCAGGGCCTCGGCGTAGAGTTCTTTGTCAGACGAGCGGTATGAAATGACAAGAAGCCTAAACAAATCATTCTTCTTCAGGTGGGCAGAGGATCCAGGCTTGCTCATATCTTCCCATAGTCTTGAGCATATTTTGTGTGCAGCTTCGAATTTGAGATTATGCATATGAGAAAGTGCTAGATTGTAGAGAAGTTGATGCGCAACTGGTCGCTTCGTTCCACGGAACTCGGCAAGATCGATGACGGCATCCTCGATCCCAGATCCTTTCCCCTGAAGAAACGAGCAAATTGCGAGCTGAGTGCGCAGGCGACTGTGATGGGCATCATCTGGTGCGGAAATCTTGTATCTATCCAGTGCTTGCTGAAATCCTTGTTCAGCTTTTGCAAAGTCGAACTTGCGAAGAGCCTTCTGCGCCATCTTGCTGAAGCCACCCGCCAGTGTCCTGTCAAGATTATTCGCTTCTTCATCAGCCACTACCTCTGGGTAATCAACCTGGAACGGACTTGATGGGAGATTGAAGTTTCCACTTGGGGTACGTGAGTTCCTACGACTGGGCAGCCTAGTCTGCCGAAGAAACGATTCAATATGGCGCCGTTTTGAAATTGTTGTTGTATGTTGAACAACTGAAGAGGCGGAATCTTGGTCCTGAGTGGCGCGTGTGAGAAGCTGACTTCCAGAAAATATCGTACTGGCCTGGACGCTAGCACTGGCATGAAAGTCTCCCACAGCTCTGACAAGATTGTTGAGGTTTTGAACCACATGAGCATCAGATTTATCTAGTTCGAATAGGGGATTATTATCTGCAGCAGCGCGAGTTGAGTTTTCGAGATATCGGTTGAGCCGTTCGAGTTCCTTCAAAATGATTGTTTGAGAAGTATTGCTCCGCAAAGAAAGCGATCTAAAAGTGTGGCATGTTTACCATATCAGTTTTCCACGACAGGTCTGCCTGGCAGTGTTGGAGACTCACACATTGATCACTTGTAGCAATGTCTGTAGTGCTAAGTTTGACAGGCGAATTTTTTCACGGAATGCAGAGATCTCACGCGTGTGGAAATGTATCTCGGTCGCAATCTTTCCTCGACGGAAGATCGAATTTGAACGCGATGGTCCACCAATTCGCTTGATGAGTGCATTCAAGTCGTCAATGGCTTGTTGTGAGTCCCTGATTGCGTTCCGACTTTGTTTCCAGACGTCTTCGTCGATGGGCGCCAGAGCCATGGGATGACGTTGGCAACCTTGAAGAGCCCTGCTGATTGAGCGGCTGAAACCAATGAGATTATTGAGTTCGACACAGAGTCCAGAATAGCCAGCGTCGGCATAGTGAACGGACTGTAGGAATCGATAAACTCTAGCGACGGCATCTGTCAGTGTAAGTACTGAGGCTGTAATGGAGAGAGGATCCATGGTGAAGACGACGTCCAGACTACTGATTATCACACCGCTGTCTTTAGCAACCGTGGAAGTGGTTACGAAATAATGATTAGAGCAGTGTCTTATCGAGATCGAGGATGACGCCAGGACATCACCAGTTTGTTTCGTCCATTCTCACCGAACGAGCCGACCTTCGGACACCCTCCATGATCCCGCCCAATGTGCGGGCAATTCGTAGTCAGGCGCACCGCCAGAAAGGTGAGCCAGCCTTGAAAGGTGCCTCGCGATGCGGCATATTAAGCGAGTTCTAAACCTCCCAATCACAAATGGGAGCTACCACGAAGATTCTTGGAGGAAAAACCCCAACGCCCGTACTTGTTACACAACACTTGCGAGGGGAGTGCGACCGACAGCGATTGACGAAAAGCTCGTAGTTGAGAGTCAATTTTCCATGGACCTTTGCAAAGCTTTCCTTTCCTCTACTTCTTTCTTTAACAACTTTGTTATTTTGTTAGTATGTGCAACTGTCCCGAGATGACCAATCCCAAACTAATTGACAACTTGAGATGCTTTTACTTGCGATGCCTTTGAGACAAAGTAGGCTGAGAAGTCTCTCCTCGAACTATGTAGTGGGTGGACTGGTAGCCTGATGCACTTCAAAATCACGATAGCTTCATTTTCAATTGCGCTTCGAGCGCTAGATATAGTGAAATGGCGCAAAGCACTTGTGCAACTACATTATGCATTCCCTTCAGAAGCTAAGGAGCTAATTCACTCTGATTTATAGGCCTGCATACTATTGCCACCTCTTGGCAATAGGGTAGTGTCAGATCTAGGTATGATTTGGATGCTGATTCACGGAACGCAAGAGCTTGGCAGATCACGACCTAAACTAGAAGAAATCAACATATTGTGGTAGATGCACGTATGTTAACATTTGTTTCAGTGCGTTCAAGACAGATGGCAGGATTCAGAGCTTAGTATACCGTACCAGGGTGGGTGGTTCTGAATAAGTGCCTCCTGATATAAGGATTATTGCAAATTACACAGGCAAAAAAAGAACACACGATAGGTTTGAAGTCACGATTTACAAGTACAGGTTCACAGTTTTACTGTCATACTACAAAAGTCACAATTGAATATTTGTAAGCCGTTTATTTTTATGCATAAGATTCAAAAGAAGGGGTGAAATCACGATTCAAATACTCGCACCCAGATAATGGCACTGGCCAGTACAGCAGCCAATATAGCAGCCCATACAGCCCATACATCTAACCTAGTCAATTATAGTGCAGTCAGTCAAATACCATACAGTCAGCCAGTCAATCCAAAAAAAAAAAAAAAAAAAAAAAAATTCCAAAGTCCAACGCAGCTGGCCCCAAAGTCCAATAGGTCGGAGCTTCCAGCTGGTGACGGCTGGAATCCATTAAGTCTTGTCGGCTCCAATAAACATTGTTCAAAACCTTTGTTTCCCGCTACGATAGTGATTTGGCGACACGGTAACGTGTCATAGGCGATCGCGAAAGTGGCACCAAATGTTCTTTCCACTGGATTAGTACTCAGATCCGCCACGGCTGGAGAATCCCCGGTGTTGTATGTCTTTTGCCAATTTGTTACTTTTTTCTTTCTCTTTATTTTGTGAAGTGTGGACAATGCACAGATAATGATCAAAATAATTGCCGCGTTGGTGAGACTGCATGATTCTTTTTTTTTTCCGCACTGGGGTTGACATGCAGAGAAGTGGCACGGGCTGAAGAAAAAAACCCTGCAACCGCTGAGTTGAAAGGACCTCAGCCCCTATTAACCCGTGGCGCAGCATATTATTGGTGACCATATGAGTCAAACTATGGCACGGTAGTTCATAACTATCTCCAAGGATTTATTTTTATGGCCATCTCCAGTGTTTGACGTGTATTCGGGTGCTAGTCAGGGCTTCAATTGCTTTCAATACATTTGCTTATCGCTTTCCAAGGGTTGCTGGTCTGAATTGTATCAATAATCAATCAGTATGAAAGTGTGCATATATCATCATTTTAGCATGTCTAGAGACAATTATCTGATGACGACGCAACTCCAAAGCTTTTAATGAAGGTATTTACAATTCCGGGGTCCCCAGAGCGCCCGAGACCCATAGACGCTAGCTGTGCCGCACATCTAGACTATGTCGCCGGACACGGGTCGTCGTCAGCCTTCGCGCCGTACTATCACCAATTCCACCTAGTCGGAGTGGAAATGCTTAAAATAAGTCTAGGAGGTAAGCTTACGGTGACAGTAGCACGGTTAGTCAAATTGTTTAAATTGCAAGACAACGTCCCATTTTCCCCCTTCAATCATTTGGACTCACTCGACTGTTCTCACGCCTTCGTTACTTTCTCAATCACGCTCGCTGCAATGAAGTTCACTCCTTTTTTGGCCTCGGCAGGCCTCTTGCAAGTTCAAGCAGTTCTTGCTCAAACAACCACCACTGGAACGCCTACTACTGTCACCAGTGCTACTACGACATCCTCAACGGCAACTTGTACAGCTTCCCTCATCACCAAGCTGTGCGACTATACAGAGCCTGCTTCAGATTCTGCCGTCGCCGAGGACAGCGTAGAACACTGCTGGGAGTACTGCAACAACCATCCTCCCTGCAACTTTGTCATATTTGCTGCAGGAAATCCAACAACAGGCTCAGGAACTTGTTGGTTGTATCCGGGCGAAACCTACGACGAGAGTGCCGGCAGCTCTGACTGCAGCAGCCCTTACCTGTCCGTCTATAGCCAGCCCACTTGCTCTGGCGGAAGCACGACCACTACTGCCTGTGCGGCTACTGCGACGCCATCTGCCATTGCTGAAGTTTGCGACTATCCGACACCCGATGATAACTGCTTCTCCAGCTGTGTTGCCAGCTCAGGCGCAGTGGACTGCCTGAGTCGCTGTGTCGAGGCCGACGACTGCAACTACGTCGTCTTCAATCCTCACAACGACGATGATTCTCAATATGGGTCGGGAACTTGTTGGATGTACGACAGTGGCTCCTACAATGCTTCGGCCGCAAGCACTTGTAGTGGCGATCCCGAGCAATACGTCTACAACAACGTGTGCCCCAAGGCATCATCTTCCTCCACCACTCTTTTGACCTCCACGACCACCGGTACTGCTGGTACTGTGGCCGCAGACTCTACTGCTAGCTCGGCAAGTGAAAGCCAGACTTCGGCAGCTATTGCACTCTCGCGCCGCAACCCACTGGCTGCAGGCATGCGATGGTTGGCCCGCGAATAATGGATATACCACGAATACATGTCTGAATTATCAAGTCCAAAGGGCCTAGGTACATGAAAATAATTTTTAATAAACAGAATTGATCATCTTCCAAATCGATGGCAGACAACTTGAGATGTGCATGAAATAAGATCTGCAAATTGTCGCTTTATGATCCTAGAACCTATGTAAAGGTATCTACCCATGTAGGCGGCGCCAAAGCCGTGACGAACCTTATAGATTCAGTAACAATGTCCACACTCCATATTGACTTTGAACGATCAATACATGATAATAATAATTAACGCTTGTCCGTTCAGTATTACTGCGTCCAAAATCAATAATCTCGAGGCGTTAAGCGGAGTTTCGAAATTAAATGCATGGGTAGTACCTACGTAATGCATAACCCCTTGTAAACGTTATGCCTGGGGTATATACCCACTCAAAGGATTTGTATATTATATATTATAACTCCGATGTTATATTCCGCTAGTGGATTTCCAACCTTTCGCATCCCATCTGGCGCAAGATTATTAGTACGCCTATTTTCATCTGTCGCGCTGTGGGCTTATGATAAGCATAAAGCGAGTAGCGGTAGCGCCACGAGTCAAACTCCTATATGATCACAATTTTGATGTAGAATATCAGATATGGCTTGCACACTGTCAATGCTTTGAGTGGGCAAAATTGATCTGCGCATTGGCGAAAGACGAACGAAAAGAAAGATTGATATACTGTTAAGCGACTATACAAAAGAGCATCATCTAATACCGGCGACTGAATCTATGCATTCTTTCCAATAACTCCCCTCTTATTGGCGAGCCTCTTTCTCATATCATTCATGTATAGCTTGACCGGATAGCTCCGTACCGAGAGCGGAAGGGCTGGGTAGGTTGCCTTGACCAAGAACTCGAGCATCTTGTAGCGGGTAGGGTGTCTCTTGACACCGTACTCGGCCCGGATGCGCTCCGGCAGCCACTCGGCCGTGACCAGACGGACGGCTGGGGTGAACATGCGCAAGTGCCATGGTGCCTTACGCAGGTACAACAGGTCACTGGCCACGTCCTTGGCGTGCTGTGTCACCTCGATAGTGGCGATCTCGTGGTCCCAGTAGGCCCAAAAGTCCCGGCGGGTTCGTGGCCACATCTCGGGCGGCACTTGCAAGGCGCAAGCCAAGATGGAGTATTCGCGGTAGATCTTCTCGTTGAGTTCTTCGTTCTTGATCTTGCCAAAGACGCGCTCGTAGACGGACAGGCCGCTGGCGTACAGGGTCGCCGCAACCCAGAGCTGGAGGCCCGGGTCGAGCGCGTTGTAGGCCTTGCCCTTGTCGCGGCCCTCGTTCAAGGTGCCGTTGACATTCTTGTGGACGGCCGTGATCATGTCGACAATGGTTTTTTTCTCCTGCGGGGTGCCAAACGCCATGCAGTACACAAAGGTCATGGTTGTTCGGAGTCGGTCTTGGACCCGGTAGGCAAAGTTGCTGTGCTCATTGACACCGGCACCAACTCCTGGGTTGGCGACCTGAAGCAGGATTGCTTCGGCGCCGGCGCCAAGAATTATGCCCTCTCGTACGATGAGACTAATGTGTTCTGAGGTAAAATCCGGCGAGAGGAATTCATCTTTTGAAAAGGCGGGATGATGATCGTGTTTCTCGTCGAGAGGGGCTGAAGTGAAGGAGTCATGGGTTGACGATGCACTCTTGGTTTCTTTCATTTCTTCCATGATTGAAGAGCCAAGTGTTGCTTGAATAGCCCTCGGGAAAATGATTAAGCAAAAGATAGTATGCTTGAAAAGTCTGCGTAGCTACAGTGCAGCTAAAACGAATTGAATAAAAGAAGTTGTCAACCAAGCATCAATGAGACCAATACAGATAAAATTCAAAGGCCTCGATCCAAGATGGACAAGACTTGAATTGCGAAGCCAACTTTCAGGAAAACACTATGCGAAACGGCATGCACCATCATGGTTAAAATGAAAGTGTTTTCTCGCATGACTCTATCGCGGCTATCATCACCACCTCGGTATAGGATGAGACTGTGTTAAAAGGGCCTCGGAACCAAACATACGTTAAGAGATCTTGCTACATGGTTCGCCAATAGAATCGACATGCGCTATCCCTTATCAATATAGAGCCACACACATATTTCCATCCGAGGGACACGCACGAGAATTTCCTTATTGTACTTTATCCTACTAGGCTTACTGCATGAACAGCACAGGTGATCTCGTCTTCACATGTCTGTAATCTCCCTCAAGTCCATAAGCAGTAATAAGAGTATGATTGACCTGTAAGACGGAATACATATCCGCTCCCTGAAAGGTGTCTCAGGGCAACATCACCCCACACCCCACGCACCGACATGCCTCATCTGCATGACGATATGCGTTCGAGCATCTTGGAGCTCATACCCCTCATTACCTCCTTGCTTCTGAGGTCCGAAAGCTTTCAAGTTGTCCCTCGGCTTCTTCCAGACAGTCGATTGTGGGGTAATCAACGAACCCATGTCTTAACAATGCACGTATACTGCGCGCGCCGGATTGTAACGTCTTGGCGTAGCTCAGACCCTGCATTGGGGCTGGAGGAACGACAACGACTCGGCCGAGTGGCAATTGTTGTACTTTGCCATATTATTGCCATATCTGGGGTCATGGGATATAGGGTGACAATACCGTTTTGACTCCAAGTCTTGGTGCTCAAGCCCAAGAGATAGGCGAGACCCCGCGTTTCTTCCCTGAGGCTGTTCATGGTGGCTTTTCAAGTTCCCCATGGGGTATCATGTGTCGATCAGAGCCGGGTGGGTATCTGTCATAGTTACACGATGGGATGATATGAACACGGAGCTGTCAAGCAATGCGCAAGTGTTTCATGCTTTCCATTTCCTCAGATAGACGATAGCTTTTTTCAAGTTCGATAACTTTCCCATGTGGATAGTTCTTGCTCTGGCGCCATGGGTGAGAAGTACCAAAAGTTCACCTTCCCAGCATCGGGCAAGAAGGATACCGGCTTCGAACACTTGGAAAATGTCAACTCAGCAGAGCCAGTAAAACTTTCAAAGAGAGCAAAAGCAAAAAGGCATCTCAAGCGCTTCTGGTTCTGTTACTTTCTCGGTGGTATCATCTTCTTGGCCATTTTCTTGCCCTTGTTGTAAGTCTTTCGAACACGATCCCAAGTTTAATCCATGTACTGATGTCTAGCACAGCTTTCTCAAGATTATCCCAGCAATAGCGCAAGCCATTGTTAACAACACCGACTTGCCCATTTACAATGGCTCAATCAAGGCCATCTCGAACGATCAAGTTCTCATTGGGCTGCAGACAGCGTTGGACGTTCCCGCAGGACTCACCGTAAAGTTGGACGGTTTCGAACTCTATCTTTACAATTCCGATACACAAGGCGGGATCAGTCCATACACTTCTGTGGATCTTCCTGGGCAGAGCGTCAATGGGCACACGGTGATCCAGATTGCGAACCAGACTGTCAATATCGGAAACCGGACCGAGCTAAACAAGTGGCTGACCAAAACCGTCTACAACAAAACCACAGACATAAGCGTCACTGCCGACACTACAGCCCACCTGGGTGCGATCAAGGCGGCAATCCACTTACAAAAGACCGTCAGGATCGACGCCCTCAACAAACTAGACGGTGTCAAGCTGGAATCTGTGCGTGTCGTTTTACCTCCCGAGGACGATGGAACAAACCTCATTGGCAACTTTACCCTGCCCAACTGGTCGCCGTTGACCATGGGTCTGGGTAACCTGACCTTTAACGCCTGGGCCGGCGACACCATCATTGGCAACGTGACTATCCTCAACGTGGAACTGCCTCCGGGCAACAGCACGCGATCCTTCCGCGGCCAAATCTTTATCGACACACTCATTCAGAATCTCGGCAAGATCATCAGCAGCCAAGCCAGCGCCATTACTACGGGCAACATCCTCGTCGGCATCAGCGGCAACAGCAGCACCGTCGACGGCGAGCACATTAGCTACCTCGAGGACGTGCTCAACAATATCCGCATCGACACCGAGGTCCCCATCATCCAGGCGCTCGGTGACCTGCTCGACAGCGTCTCGGGTGAGGATCCCACGCTGGACCTGAGCGGCATCGTTGGCTTGCTCGGGCAGCTGTTGGGAAGCGATGGACCCTTGTCAGGCATATTGGATGGGCTGAACTTGACGCAGATTATCAGCACGAGGGAACTTGGCAGGTCGGACAAGGAGATCTTGAAGTCTCTCAAAGGTCCGCTTTTAATGTCGTTGGCCAAGAAGCACTTCTGATTTCTTTATTGTCTTTATTGCATTGGATAGGTTTGAGCTGTGATTAATGTAGCATGTAACACGTATAATTGAAACGTCTGATAATTGAAATATTACGATAAGTAGTATGTTTTTCAAAGATCCTGGATCTAATAAAAAAGGAAGGAAAAAAAAAACCTTTTACTTGCGAGCAAATGTGGTGTTTTGATACCCAATATTGTCGCTTTTCAGACTCCATGAATCTACGACATATTTCTTCCGAGAAGTGATGAGATGAAAAGTATGGAAAAGAAAAACATGATTGAAAATGACTAATGGCTCGCCACAACGTGGTATCGCCTTCCATGCATTCAATGTATAGAGGGTGCCGACAGAAACTCTTGTGCCGAGGCTTCGGCAATCATGCCAGATGAGGAGAGCCTGCTCTGTTTGTCAGACAGTGGCCGAATGAAGCACTGATCAGCTTGGGTGACACAACACCCTCTACGTATCACCCAAGAGTAGGCGGACTTTACACATCTTTCTCATTTACACCGATACAGGAGCTTCTCTATGCTTTTCAAGCAAGGAGAATAAAAAGATTTCCTTTAGCTGTACTTCAGCTATCAGATTCGCACACTGGGAAAAGCACTGCCCTCATAAGTCAAAGTCCAGTCACAATGACGACAACCCATCAAGAAATCACCCAAGTCGTAGTGCTCAAGGCCGAGGCCGCTGGTGAGCCCATTGCAAACACAGTGGTCCTCACTCAGGTAGCCACCGATGGCGACGAGATCACTGTTGCAACTACCACCAAGTCCGAGTGTCCCAAGACTGAAGACACGGTCAACTATTCAGACACCGTCCCCTCCTATTCCGCACGGCAAGTGGCCGAGCACAAGTCCGCCACGGATCTGTGGATTATCGTGGATAATGACGTATACGATGTCACGAGGTTCCAGCATGAGCATCCTGGAGGACATAAAGGTAAGCATTTACATGGATACCTTTTATCACACCATCGAAATATGGTTGACTGACAACAAGACAAGTAATGGCCGGCGTGGCTGGCAAAGATGCCACAAAGAAGTTTGACAAGTATCATCGACGCGGAATACTAGAAAAGTACAAGAAAGATTTCAAGATTGGTATATTGGCGACGGAACCCTTGGGCCAAGAGACCAGGAGTGGCCTATTTGGAATTCTCAAGGCTCGAAAGAAATAATACTCGAGACCACAAACCATTGGATAATGGAAGATTCTATCCATGGCTCAACTTCTGCGCAACATCATCATTTCTTTTTTGAACCGTTTCCTCTCAACAAGCACGAAAAGGAACCCCACTAGCCTCCTCAAATCTGCAAACTCAACTGAACAGGCGCGCCCCCCTGCTCTCCACTCTTCAACAATGCCTCCAGCATCTCGAGATCCGCCAGCGCCTCCTCGGGGGATTGCTCCGCGTCGGGCTTGCCATTCTTGATGCTCCGCGCCCAGGCCCAGACCTCGGTCGCGACGCCGCCCTCCTCGTTGGGCTTGTGGACCGTCGCGGCCTCCTTTTCGCCCGCCGCCCGCACCGTGACGTTGCCGTTGCGGTCGACGCTGACGGTGCCGCGCTCGCAGGCCACGGCAATTTCGGCATCGTCAAACGACGAGCCAAAGCTCATGCTCAGAAAGCCCGTGGCGCCTGAATCCAGCAATAGTGTTGCGTCTACCGTATCGACAGGCGGGAGCCACTCGCGCAGCTGCGTCGTAAAAGCCGATACTTTCTGGACCTTGACGCCACCGCCCTTGAGCATCAACCGCAGAGCTGCAATCTGGTGAACCCCGCCATCTAAAAGGAAACCTCCAGAGAATTCAGGAGTCTTGCGCCAGGGAGTTTCAATATACTGTTGGGAGGAGCACAGGTCTTAGTCATTGCTCATTTTGGGTCATAAAGGAGTCAACCCCAGAGTGAATTGACAGAAATTGGGAAGCCCATAAAGCTTTGTCTGAGTCATACTCTCAAAGACATGCCAATAGCGGAACTAAACAGCAGCGATTACTAACCTTGGTCCCGAGATTGACAGTAAAGTGTAGGCGCAGCTGGCAGCCCAGGACGCGGCCAAGCTTGGCGATCTCAGAAGCGCCATGCAAATACGAGTTCAGGTAACGGAACTGCTCGGCGACGCCAAAGGTTGCCTGCCCCTTGAGCCCACGATAGTGGTCCATGAGCTGCCTGGCCGTCTCGACATCCTTGGCGAGTGGCTTCTCGGCCAGGACATGCTTGCCAGCATCGAGTGCCTGCTTGATAAAGTCGGGCTGTGATGGAATGGGGAGCGCGATGATAACGGCGACAATATCGTCACGCTTCAGCAAGTCGGCGTATCCCTCTTGGCTGTCATTGCTGTATAGAGATACTCCCGAGAGGCCTTCTGAAACGCTCTGGGCAGATTTGAGAGAGCGAGAGTAAATTGCCTTGAGTTCCAGGTCCTCGGATTTCTGAACTGCTGGGAGATGCTGTTCCCTCACAAAGATGCCTGTTGATCATTTAGCGTGGGGATGCTTTTGGGTGCAGAAGTCGAATTGTATGAGATGGAAATCCTACCACTTCCAATTATAGCCACGCCAATGGAGCCCGTCATTTTGACTGTCAATACTGGGTGAATCGAGTGAGTCTTGTGTTTTATTTTCGACTTCTCTATTCTCGATTTGTTGTTTGAACACGAGTTCAAATGTTTCCGTGTCGTCATATTCGTCTGAGAGGGGTCGTAGAGTGTCTCCACCGCGGGGACAAATAGCGATTGTGTAACACAAATCTCCCTGTGATAACTCTTCTCAGGGGTGCCTTGGTCATGAAGCCGTTGGTTAATTGCAACATAAAAAAATGTCACCATGTTACCACAAATTTCAACACTACTGATTTTCAACCCATATCCATTATGTCCTGTCTGTCAAAGACGCTAGTCTAAATACTCAAACAATGGCTCTTGGTCGAGCGGTAAAGTGATGCTCTCCGAAATGGTCTTCGGCTCAAACTTCAAGCGCAGGTATCCTTTGGCATAACTCCAAGAAAATACATCCTGATGCCCCTAGCTAGACTATCAATCTACAGCACAATCATACCGACTCCGGAAACAACCATGGCAACAATATACGCAACAAAGAAGGCGTTTCCAAATCCAAACAGACCCGGAGTGTTGAAGCCAGGTACACCCACACTCGACGAGCTAGCAGCGGCAGTGCCTTGCTGGCCAGTGGGACTAGCAACACTGCCAAGACCATCCGTTCCAGCTGATGCAAGCAGGGCAGAACAGGAGCTGGCAGTGGAAGCACCCTGCACCTTGGCAACACCGTTGAAGTCGCAGGCCTGCTTGTCGGAGTTTTGAGCCAGGTAGTACTGGTTGGCGACAAAGCCTAGTTGGACCTTGGGGTCACAGCCGCTGATAGCGCCATATGTTCCGGTGGAAGCATTGTGTGCAATGGCGTCGCAGTATTTACCATCATCCTCACCGCAAATAAAGGCAAACGCCTTGGCATAGGAGTCCTCATCGTCCGTAGAGACAGCACAGCCAAAAGCAGCCTCCTCGCACGAGCAGAGCTGCGGGTTGACGTTGGGAGGAAGGGGCGAGGACTGAGGAACCCAGGTGACATCTGCAGCAACACTACCAGTGGTAGGGCAAGCAGGTGCCTTGTTGGAGGGGGTGTAGTCGGCCGACTGGGTCAGGCTGGGTGTCACCTTGGCAAGCTGAGACGAGAGCGAGTTGTAGTCGGCCTTGGTAGAGACGGTGTTGCCATCGAGAGAGATGAGTCCATACTCATTCTCAGACCAGAACCACTGGTAGACAATACCGCCAGAGAAGACTTCAGTCATGTTGCCATAGAGCACTTCCACCTCAGTAAAGGGACGCTCATCTGGCGACGGGATGCCTTCAATACAACCGTACTCGGCAAAGAAGACGGGGACAGGGTAGTCGCTGAAGAAGTCGACGCGCTCATTGTAGCTGGAGCTGACATAGTTGCTGTCTCCGCACCACGAGTAGACGTTGTAGCCCCAGAAGTCGATGCTGGAAGAGGTCGTGTCATCTGGTTCGCAGGCAAAGTATGCGGCCAGCTGATCTCGTCCGGGCACATCGGCAGTAGCGTATCCAACGCCGAGAGAGTCGCGGTAGTTCATGGACTTGATATAGGACTTGGTGTCTCTGACGGCAGCCTTGACAAAGGCGGCAGCGGCAGTCTGGTTACCGGCACTGATGACCTCATTGCCAGCAAAGAAACCAATGACGTTTTGATACTTGCTGAGCGCGTCGACAACGCTAGTGTATCGAGTGTAGAGCGGCACGTTCCACTCGGGTTCGTTACTGTTGATGGACTCGCCGGGCTGTGATAGATCAGCAACGACATAGATGTCGTTCTCGGCGAGCTGCTGCATGCAGTCATCGTGATCCGCCGTAGGGTCGATGGCGTAGACTCGGATGACGTTGGTGAAGATCTGCTTCATAAAAGGAATATCTCGAGCGCAGGAAGAACCATCGGCAAGAGGGTCCTTGTATTGAACATTGTCATTGTTGCTGGTGCCGTTTGGCGAGAAGTTTTCTTGATAGGCAACTCCCTTGAGCAAGCTGATAGTGGTTTAGTCAGTTACCTGAAGTATAAATGATAGTGCATGACCAAAGAGAGCATCCAGGTAGTATTCAACAGACATGGCATCGCAGCGAATAGTGATGACTTACAATTGCGTGCCATTGTTACTGTAGAAAAAGTGCTGGCCGACAGCAGTGATGGACGGGATGGTTTGCCAGGCAGCGTCTGCAGCGAATGCACCCGAGAAGAGCGATGCGCCAATGGCCAAGCCAGAGGCGGCAGAGAAGCCCTTCATGGTGGGATAGTTGGGGAGGAGGGTTTTGCAGGGCCCAAAAAAGTGAAAGTGGGAAGAAAACGAATGACTTGAAGCAAGAAAACGCTGCCAGAAGCAGAAGTGGTTGAATAATGGAACCGGGGCGGGTTTGTTGTTTCCTCCAACGCAAACAATGATTGAGTGAAAGGAAGGAAAGAATGTGTGAGAGGAAAAGAAAAGTCTCTCCCCAAGGTAGGTGAGAAATGCTGACAGACGCGAATAATTAATTGGGTGTCACGGTTGGTCAATTGATCGGTAGTCTACCACCTACTAGAGGAAGGGAGGGATGGATGGTGGGATGGAGGGAAGGAAGCGCGGGCAATCCTTTGCTCTAACGTTGGTAGGTGTGAGCGAATAGTGATGCGACTGGTACTCTTCTGTGCTCTGCTGCGCTGTGCCTCTTTCTCCAATCTCGTGTTATTTCCCTACCCACATAAGTATCGACTCGCTCGATCCTGATCTGGTTCTACAGGTAGGTATGCAACAACTACATCACATTAGCTGATTGGTATTATTGAGGCAACGACCGGCAGCATAGCCAGATTCGGAGTACGAGCTTAGAAGGGGCCCCCCGTATTTCCAGCGAGATGGACCGCTGTAGGGTGGATGGGCTACAGGGGTCAGCAGCAAAGGAACCAGTCAGAAGAGGGCATTTGATGAGCGCTAGCCCGTCTGGAACAAAGAGGATGCTACAGATTTCCCACTAAAATAGGCAACACTTTTAAGGCTCCTTGAAAGCTTCCTTTCTCGCTTGCTTGTTTAATGGGGCTTCTGAGTCTTTTCGGTGGACATTCCAGGGCCCATGTGCCTGAGTAGCGTCTGAAAGCCAACTGCGATCGAGGCGCTTGGGCACAAGAGGGCAAGACGATGGGCACAATTATTTCTTGGAACGGTTTGGCGTTTCCGAATTATCCGTGTCAGCGGTCCCCAAACTCACCAATCTTTACTGTGTAGAAACACCCGCCTTGGCAAAGCCTGGCTGGTTTCGCTCCAGCAAGCTCCAGTTTTGCCCAGTTATGTTGAGCGAGGAGGCAGTGCAAAGACAAAAATTCATGTTTGATCGAGAGCATGAATTCTCCTCTCGCGCGCCAATCTCTACCCGCCTTGGAGTACTCTCATCCACTGTAGTACTCACTCGGCTCACTTCAAATGTTTGATATTTTCACAAGTAGTGCTCTATTCCGTCATTGTGCGTCACGGCCACCCACCACAAACGCGAAGGAAGCAGGTATTCCCGTCGTCGTCTGCCATCACCTTCCATGGAGATTGGATATTAAATTATGCTATGAGCGCATGCGGCATAATTTCTCGCAGCCTGCCAACTGTGCAAACGTTCAGATGAAGCTTCCCTTGGGACCAGTTTCGTTGCCTTGCCTCTCAATTTCCCTTATTCCCTAGCATCATTCCCGAACCCCGGGGCAAGAGACAAACACTATTTTCGCATCGAAATTCCACTGCCTACTAAACACCGTCTTGTCTCAAGTAGTATGTATTCATGTCATTCAATTAGCCAGCAAGCAACGAAATGACGATCAGGGGTTAAAAAGATAATCACAACACCCCCCAAGCAGTCACGCCCAAAGCTAATGTAGCAACACCCATGGAGCGAGCTGCAGCCACCCTGAATCCTCGCCTGGCACCATACGCAGGTACAGCTCCAGGTTGCTCGGCTTAGTGCCGCCGTGAGATGCCATTCCGTTGTTGTGGCCTCGGCCCGCCTTGGGTACTCCAAAATTCCACTCCGCCAAATTCGCTGGCTCCTCACCTTGGCTGCCAAGCAATCTGTCAAGTTGTTCCCTTGTCACCCCCCAAGTACCCCGGACACAACTCGAAAGGCATCTGGCTATTATTTCGTATTTTGTCTTTCAACCATTAATTTCGTATTGATGATCCAATCCAGTCACCTGATAGTTCAGGCACAACGCTAAAAACAAAAATTCCGACGGCGGCGCCTTATGGCGTCCTCAGCTCTATCCAAGACATCCAAAATGTTTACAACCCAGACCTAATCCGCCACAACCCAGCCTATGACTAAGAGAAACCATACCAGAACAGTACAGAAGAACAAGCCGCAAGATTCTGCTACTGTCGCGACTATTGAAAACCCGACAATTGGGACTATATCCTCGCCATCAACCTGGGTACGAGAGTCGGCATTGACTGGACACAATCTCGACGCATCCATCTATCGACCATCCGAAACTCTGACGCTAAAGCCATGCAAAAAATTTCCTAAGGCCTCGCCAATTATGGCGCGGCATTTCGGCAAAGGTTCTGATCGTTCTAGACGAATTGTCTTTGCATGTGCGCCTTAGATGTCCTTTGATGATGCGTATTTACTTCTCTTCCTGAGCAGATGGCCCCACTTGAAGAGAACATACGGAATGGGAGCCAGCAGACAGGAGATGCAAGCCAGGATGGTGAGCGTGTATGCAGTTCCCATGTTCTTGTAGAACGGAATTCCGACCACTGTCATTCCGCCAGCGCACACGTAGCGCACCAACGAAACAAAAGTCAACGCAGACGCCGAATACATCTCGTAACTATCGATGATGTACATGTATGCACAGATGAATATACCCATGACGCCGTATCCGAAGAGACACACGGCAAGGATGGGTGACCAGATCGAGATGTTCTTATTCGACGTCCAGCCCATCCAAAAGAGAGAGACTGGGATGGCAATAGCGGAACCAAGCATGGCATACCAAAGACGAACCTCGGGGTCGAACTGACTGCCATCTCCGCCTTGGGCTTCTGCCCTCTTGACGTGTTTGATCGTTATGCGGTAGATGATCGGTATCAGGATGAAAGTGAACTGCAAGCCGACAAACATGGCAATGAATATGATGTTGCTCAGTCCCTGGCCAATCTCATAAGGATACTCAAAGATCCACGGCCAGCCGATCAGGAACGTGAAGAGCACGATATAGACAACGGATAGGTATAGCGTCATGGCCACAACAATGGGCTCAGGCAAGAAGAGGAAGGGCCGTGACATGCTAATCTTGAGTCGGCTAAACAGCGTAGCATCGACAATTTCGTGCGCGGATCGGTATCGGTCGTCGCCAGTGAGTCGACGAAGGTGTTCAGCCTTCCACTGGAGGATAAGAGGGGCGTACGTCTCGGGCATGAACAAGAGGACCAGTACTACGATTAGTCCAGCCAAGATCATTGTCGTCCACTCGGTCCACCGCCAGGAGACCAGTGGGCTTGGGCCGATATACGCACCCATGACAGCACCAAGCATGGGACCGCCAAAGGCAGCAATCGCGTACAATGGGAAACCCCACGTCTTTTCGAGACTGTTGTACATATCCGACACTGAACCGCCCGAGCACACCAGTGGCGTCGATGCAGCCAAGCCAGCAAAGAATCGGAAAACAATCTGGGCGCCAAAGTTGGGTGCCAAACCGGACGCCATGATCCATAACATGAAGATGATCATGGACCCTGCATATACATAATTCCGTCCAAAGGTTTCGGAAAAGGGCCCAGCAATGAGGCCGCCAAGGCCTTGTCCCAGAAGATACATGCCTATTCATGTGTCAGTTTCTTTGGCGCATGACAACCACTCAAATGCCCTGATAATCACACTCCGGAAGCCAGTACAAGTGGTAGGATGAGCAACTTACCAGTTGCCAAACTCTCTGCCACATCGCTAACTCCCAGATCAGCCGCAGCCTGGGGTAAGATGGTAGCATCAATACCACTGGCACAACCGACAGCTCCTGCAATCAAGCTGATTTGCAGTGTACAGCAGACTCGCTTGGTGACTGTCCAATTCCTGGGGTTTGCCGGATCATCAGGGCCTTCCCAGCCGACGACGAAAACTTTGGACCCCTTTCCTTCGTGCGTGGCCCGGTCGCGGGCGTGAATGCCCGTGAGAGAGTGGCCGAGGGCCCCGCGGGCACTATACTGAGTCGTCGCTGTTTGAGTTCTGTAGGCGGCCGTGCCTGGATCTTCATCCTCGTCACCAGTACTGCTCGATGTGGAAGATCTCGAAGAAATTTGGCGTTCAACATCGCCCTCTGGCCGCTGAAAGCCTTCTATCGATTCCGTCTTCTCCTCAAACAGTGCCGCAGGTTGAGATTCCTGCCCAGTGATGGCTCCATCGCCATTGTGCTGCTGTTGCGGCTGCACTAGGCCACTATTACGTGTTATCAGTGCTGCTCTATCGCGGCCTCGTTCAATCTGTGCTTGCACAGCGAGACCGATGCGCCGGGATTGAAGGTAGGACTGCATCTTGCCTGGGTGTCTTGTTATCCCTTGTGAATCAATCCCTTGACTTCTTTCCCTGGCGAAGCCGTTAAATTCAGAGCAGACCAAACCCTTTTGTCGTCAGATCAAAGGCGGAGCGGAGGTGATGGAGTGATGACCAGGAGCAGCAAGGGTCACACTTTATATGAGAAGACCGCCGAATACGGCCTTGGAAGCCAACTTGGTGGCCAAGGCAGGTAAGCAAAGGAAAAGAAAAATAAAACATTTCCGGCACAGAATATCCCCTGTTTGATTAGAAATTCGCCCTATCTCTAGACTTATCGTGCTCCGCTGTGGAGTGGTTCTCGTTGGGCCCGCGTTGTCCCGCTGGGCACGCCGGGCCTGGATATGGCACGGCAATGACACTGAATTCATGAAAACAGACTCGATACGTTCTAGCCGACGTCATATTTTGCGAGTCTAGTGGAGCAGATGTGTTTTTTTGCATACTGTTCTTGCCTCTAGGCACTGCAGGTAGAGGTTGGTTGACTGGTTGCCAAAGACTAATTAAACGCCGCCGGGGAAACTGGTCAATGTTTGTAAAAATTCTGATCAGTATATTCCATAGGACTCCACCAATGGCTACAGCCTGAACAACATTACTCGTCAGTACTATGAAAGGATCTGAATCCCATCAGGCACACGGTCCTTATTGCAAAACTCCTTTGTGTAATGCAGTGTTTAACTTTTGTTGCCCATGTGAGATATCGCGCGAAGTTCGTACGAAGAATTTTCGATAAGAACACAACCTCGAACAGACGCTAGATCGTGTCAGCCAGCCTAAGTGTAGGAGAACCACGGGATTCTATCAAAAGGACGGGACAATCATTCTGGCCTGCAAGGTATATTATGGTTGAGTCACCCAGGCTTGGCACAAGATGAGATCGCTGCCTCTTTCCTTTTCTACCACTCAGCAAACCTGCAGGCAAAGACCGAAGAGCCGAAGCGTGTTAGGCGGCTCAGGCGCTCCAAGCGTTCTTTCCGCGTTCTAAGCGTTATACCCGCTGATCCCGATCTCCCTATCTCCTCATACCGCCTACCTATAGCCAGCTGAACCAGGAGTATCCCGATATCGTTTCGTAAAAAGAGTGTTTTTATTTGTCTCCCCACAGAAAGAACTCAGGAAAGCAAACAAGGGGGGGAGGAATATCGGGTTCTGGAGTATGAGGACCACTGTTTAAACATGTGCCCAATTCCCTTGTTTGATCTTGCTGCGATGGTACTAATTCCACTTCAGCCCAGGAATGTATTTCTTCATGACCCGGTCCGCGAACCACTCGGGGAACCCCCACGCGCCGTGAGCCTCCCGCACCCCGCGGCTCATTCTGTCGACGTACTCGGGCATGGGGGCAGCGGGCCGCACGTTGTTGGAATCGACATAGACGAGGGCCGAGACCATTTCTCCCGCCTCATTCGCCGCCGTTATTTGACCATAGTTTCCGCTTTGATCTCCGTCTGGGGTTTCTGGTTCTCCTTGGTCTACTGTGTCTTTGCGAGGAGTCGAAACCAAAAGGACCTCCAACATGACTTTTTGATACGCCCAGGGCACGCCCTCGCACAGATCCAGTTCCTTTTCGTCCGCGGGCGGCAGACGGTACAGTACGCCATAAACGCCGGGATCCTTCTCTTCTTTTAGTATCTTGCTCTTCTCTGTCGCCTGCTGTTGCTGCTGCCGCCGGACTACATTGGCGTAATGCCGCTCGTTGATGATCCAGTCCCAGCCAGACAGATGGGCCAGACCGACGGCTGTTGCGCCGGGGCAGCGCCGGGCCATTTGGGTCGACGACAGATTGGAGCCGTAGGCAAAGTAGAGCTTGGTGTCGACGCTCTCGCCGGCACCGGTGGCGGTGCTGCTCCCATGGTTGTCTCGGAGCGGACCTGAATGATTATTTCGATGAGCTGATGCCATTGTAAGGTATGGGTACCTCTAGTCGATTAGTGATTGTAATGTAGCAAGTGCAATGTTGGCAAGCAAGACAGCGAACAGGCTGTGGGAGTATTTCTATTGGACACCAAGGCAAGTGAGAGAGAGGATGGCCAAAAGCCAAGGCAGAAACAAGGTTCCCGAATAAAGAAAATATCAAGGCCCGAAAACCCAATATCGCTATTCTTGCCCAGGCAGACACTCGAGGCTGAAGGGCTTTGCCACTTGATGAATTCTAGATCAAAGCAGCACTTCTTCAACTGCTCTCGGTGCGACCCCCACGAATTATGAGTCTGCGGGGTCTTGTGCACTGCCATCAGACACCCCTCTCCTGATTCGCTTGTCATACTCTTGGCCACAAGGCAAAAGATGCTGCCTGAACGAGATATGTATGACTACCTTGGCGACTAACTACCTTGATGGCTACCTTGATGATGTATAGATAGCATCGCCCTGCTCACGGGTCATTGTGACAGTGTAATTACCACTGAGGACAGAGAAGATCAAGTCTTGCCTAACTGGTAACTAGGACAAGAAGCGCAAGACATGACGTTTACAGTCTGAGTATATATGTATGCATCGTGGGCCAGGCATTACAGTATTCCGGTTCTCTTAAAGTCTTCATGTGCAATAGTAATACATCCCGTCGCACGCTCGATACGATGGAAGAGACTACAGGACGAATCGTTTACAGTGGTACTTGTCCGACACCAACATGGCAATAAGAGCATACACGCAATACATGGTCGAGGAACAGGCAGTGCTCAACAAGAAAAGCAGCTTCTAAATTGTCAAGGCAGCGGCAACGAATGATGACCATGTTACGAATGATCAGCGCGAGTTTCACGCAGCTCATCCATCCTGTAGCCGTCGCTCTGGATCATGACGCCTGCGTAGGTACAGTGTGCTGCAAAAACAAGATAATACAGAGGGGTCCAATATTCATGCTGTATAACGCAGCCCCAATTACCCCCAAAGCGTTCTCGCTTTCCTTAGACTCCATGTCTGTCTCTGCCAGCGTCCTCGTTGAGTACCATTTTTCTGGACCAAGTCCTTGCAGACCAGCCAGAAGAATTAGAGGCAAGACCGGGCATAGTTGCCTTGCCATTTCCAGAAATACACAGACCGAGGTGAGTAATTTGTGTAGGCCTTACATGCCTTCAAAATCACCACCGAGGTCATCTTCATCCAGGTCGCCCTCTTGGATCTCCTTGGCCATTTCACGCTCGCGTTCTCGTGCTTCCTGTGCATTTTTAAGCTCAAGGCGGTGCTGGTTCATGGGGAATCGCATAGCCTGCGGGGAGTAAAAATTAGTCGGTGCTTTTACCTGTGTTTGAATGGCACATACCTTGACGCTCTCGTCATGTAGGGTGAGACAAGCACGAATACGGTCGTGGAAAGCCTCGCCCGGCTCCCGTGTGGCATATACATCGCCGACTTCCTTGCTCTTCATGAAACCTCGCTCCCGATCCAGCGTAGCCTCAATAACACCATCCCTGATTGCCTTTGCCACGATATATTCGGCGCTCTCCTCACTACCGAGGTGTAGTCGAATGCAAATATCGCGAAGGGAAATTCGGCTATAGCTCAGACTCATCATTCGGATACCAGTCTTGATCACGTTCTGGCGGAGACGCAAGATCAGGGTGTATGTGCCGTCTCGGCGGAATGCCTCGGCATGGTCGGCAATGGTGGTCTCAAAATCCTCAAGATTTCCAACGCGAACGGCCTGAACGAGCAGGAAGTAGGGGTGCAGGGCTTGCTCCATATTGGCGGCACGGAATGTGGCTCTTTCCGGAATATCACCCATCAGCAGCTCTACTACCAGCAAGAGCTTCGTGGCAGTTTGGGAGAAACCAAGGGCGCAAGAGCTAGCGGGGGCCTTGCGAGTGGCAGCCGTTAGATGCTCATGCGCTTCGGTGTATCGCAGTTGGATGGCGCGAATTCGGCCCAGGTAGTAAAGGTATCGTGCGACCTGATTGTTGGCAGCGTTCTCGGGGAACTGCGCGTGAGAGACAAGGAGGTCGGCCTGAGAAATGTGCGAGGTCAGAAGGTAGCTGCGGAGGAGGAGGACGATGACCGAGGCCTGTGTGTCAACATCCTTGCGCAGGACGGCAGTCCGGAGTGCCGCCAGCAGAATGGGCCGGATCGAGACAATGGGAGACTGAGGAGACGGCGGCAGCGGAGCTAGCTGTTCACAGAACAGGGAGTAGTAAAAGTACACCTTGGCAGACAGTGAATCGAGAGTCCGTCGGTTGAGGGAGTGGATGCGCTCTGAGAGGTAGTTGGAGAAATTGGCACCCTGTTGGTACTGCTTGGTGTCGAACAGATGGACCTGGATAAGAATACCCAGGAAGATGTCGACTTCAGGAATCAAATCTTTGCTCTCCTTGTCCTTCTTGCTGCCGTTCTTGGTGGATGCCTTGGATTCGCTGTCAATCTCCATCTCCGGACCGGACTGGCGGCCGAGGGCAACATCCTGCTTGCCGACAGCAGCCAACAACTGTTTTGCAACGCTCGCCGACGGTGAAGCAGCGGGGAAGGATTCGGCAATGGCTTGTGCAATGATATCGGGAGTGAGGCGTTTACGCAAGGATGAGATGGATCGCAGCGCTCGCAGTGTAAATCTAGCATCAAACAAGGTCACGGCCCGGTCAAGCAGGGCGAAGTTGCTCTTGATATCTGTTGGGCACACTGGGTTAGAAAGAGCACATTGACGCCGGATGAGGGCAAGGTGAGCAGCACAGCAACGTGGGAAGCTTTGGTGCACATACCTATGATGGCTTGGGTGACGGGGTCTACCTTGACCTCGAGCTCCTCAGACTTGTCCTCCTCATCCATGGCAACGTCCCCATCGGCGTCAGCGGCAGGTGTTGTGTTTGACTGCTTGTTGTTTTTCGATGGAGGCACAACGACTGTCATGTCCTCACCCTCCTTGGCGCCCTTCTTAGCCTTACCGCCCTTGGTGGCCGACTTCTCATCTGTCATTTCAACATCCTTGTTCCTATTGACGCCGTTCTCAACGGGCTTGCCGTTGCGGTTCGGTGTTTTGCTGGGCATGGTGTCGGCAGCTGTGAGGAGATTGGCCGAGAGCGTGGGGGAAAGATGTTCAATGGGATCGCGGGTTTGAAATGAAGGTGCAGATGGTAAGTTTGATAAGCGGAGAAGTGGGAGGTGATGATGGATGAACGTCAAGTGCAAGCGTCGTTCGTCGTAGATAGGTCTGGTGGTCCGTCGTAAGTAGTGTGTAGTCGCAGTGTTGGTACCAGTCACCAGACAAGCGTGCCAGTACTGGCCCTGCAGAAATTGGGGCGAGCTTTGCCAGCTGTGCTCACTGCTTGCTTGCTTGCTTGGGCTGGGCTGGGCTGCTTGCTAAGGCGGCCCTCGATCGCGTGCTGGGTGGATCTCTATTTGGGTGGGCGACTTGTACCAGACTACTTTGTCTCGGAGCACCTGCAAAGATGTTCCTAAGGATGATCGCAGTGGCATAGACCAAAAGCAAAAAATTTAGGGATTTTATCAAACAGATTAGCAATTTTTGTTTTGGCCTCTTCTGTAAGCTTATAGCAAGATCCTGGTGTTTGGATGATGGTACAAGTTGCTTGCCAAACGAGGGACAATCAGGTGGGAAGCAAGAGTACCTGTAGTTCCTAAATGACAGTACAGCATGCAGTGAGCTCCCTCTGCTTACTGAATGCACTAGGCGTCAAACGCTGTAAAGGGAGAGCTCACAGGCTCCCCTCTACTGCTACAATTACAGCGCGTGTTTTTGGCTTGTTTCTGCTTGAATCCTGGCGCAAAAGAGCAGAAGCTCATAGATAACTCTAGTCCAGAACAGGACAGGCTCCAAATCTGCAATACTTTTCAACGTGGGCAGGTAGTACTCGAGCTGCTGGTGAATCTATACACAGACATCAAGTAGCGCTCTTGTACCTCTCCCGCCAAAGTGCCGGCGCGTGGAGCCCAAGTCAGCAGCCGCAGCTAAAAGAGTGGGCCCACTGACGTTTGCAATGCTGCCTTGACTGCCTGTTGATTATGGGAGCCCTGACGGCTTGTTTGGATGTCGAATTATTGAAAGCGGGACATTGATTGACTGTAGGCAGGCAAGGAGTTGTGTACGAGCGTACCCTCCAATTTCTATTATAGTTGAAAATATCTTCAACCATATACCTTAATGTACACATAATGCCAATAATAGACAAAATAAGTATTAGGAGAAACAATGCAACTTGTGTATCTTGCCTCGATTCCCGTCTTTGCATATGAATGAAGCAACGAGACGCTAGATTCAACCTCTCCGCCTAGATCAGCAATGACATATTCAAAATGACCAACATAAATGCACTACTTTTTTCTTCCCCTCAGTCTTTTCTATACAGTCGTATCTCTAAAGAAATATGACAGCATATCTCCGAGCAAGCCCTTTTCTTATTCTATTGGGCAACAACGGGGAACAGCTTTCACTGTCGTCGCTTAATAGTACTTCCAAGGCCACTGTCTTTTTGATATTGCATCTCGTCCGGCAAACTCAAATCAGCAACCAAGAGGTTTGAAATATTACTCAGAGTACCATCACAACTGTATTATGTCGATTATGGACTATATATGTAATTCTGATACAACAGTTGAGTGTACAAGGTAGCTTTTGAAGCGTATGCGATTGTCATAACAAAATATCATCAACAAAATCCAATCACATCATTACTTTGTTTTTGATTTATGAAAGCTCGAGAGATATTGATGGATTCGTTATCATTCGCGCACGTATCTGATCTCCCTGGGTATTCTCTGACCTCATGCCCTCCCCCCTGATTAAAAGCAGAAACCGAACACACAACGCCTTTACTTTTGCCGAAAGATGTTCACATGGCAACCCGTATGCAATCCCCCGCCTTGTTGACTTTTCGTAGTGCCACGAGTCAAAGCGAGGGACGTCTTGAAACTGTTTGCAAAGGCCAGAGTAGCTGGCAAAATAAAATACAAATGCGATGTGTCTAATGAATACGAGACAATCAGCGACATCCAGCCTACTCTTCGTCGGACTCTTCAGACATTGTATGGCTCTGATCGGCCTCCTTGTTGTGATGCAATGCTTCGGTGTCCTTGGATATCTGATAACCGTTGATCCGTGAGCGCGGAGCGAATTTGGAAGAACCTGGCGCTATTCGATCGAACTCGAGGCTGGCGCCGTCCAGATTAAGCCCATGCTTTTCGAATCCCAGCTTTCTTGAAACCTTGAGGGGATGTTGACGATTTCCAACAGTGGCCATGCTGGAGATTTGGCGTTTGATCTCCCGGCTCGTTGCGCTCAAAGACTGCGAGACGTTGTGGTTGGGAGCAAGCAAAGACAGATCGTAACTGCCCCAAACCGACTTCGCATCTGTTCGAGGGGTACCATTTCTGACCGACTCGCGGCTTTGCACCGCGCCAATCGGTCTGGATCTTGCAAACGCCATGCCATGATTTCTGTTGATGATGGGGCCTTTCGTCTTGCCTTGATTATCATCGCGGATTGCGGCAGCCACGGCCTCGGGACGATCCTCCTAATTATCGCCTCTGGTGACCTTGGCAGCTTGGACGGCACTAATCTTTGACAACCAGGCATTGCTAGGCTGTGGCTTGCGGACTGTTCGAAGCTCATCCGAGGTATAACCAGGGATTCGAATGTTGTAAACGCGCTCGAGCACGAGTTGGATATCTCGGATCTCAAGAACCTTGGAACCTCGCTCCTTAGCAAGTCGACAGGACGTGTTGATGACATTATCCAAGAAATTGTCCGCGACTTGCTGGCAGCTCTAAGATGGGTTGTTAGTTACCGTAATAAAAAACAAAGAGCCTACTTCTGGTTGGAAAATCTTGCGTAAAGGAAAGCCACACACCTCTTCAACATCTGGGGTCAGATAGTTGCCATCTTGGCCTGGGGGTCCTCCGCCGCAGCACTGGCGAACAAGTTCGTTGAGCTTCTTCTTGTCCAAGATGTGCTCGCCCTCTGCTTCAAAAGTGAAAACTGGGTTCTTCTGAATGACAGGCTGGTTCATGGTGCCGCCGGCAGTTCCAAGGCCATTGCCTAATGTAGGACGGCCAGCGCTGACACCACCACCAGTGGCGACGGGCTGCGGAATCTGCTGGGCCCTTTCGGGCAATACCTTGGGGATCGGCATCTTGGGGACGTGGACAGCTCCACTGGGATGTTGCGCGCCAATCTGTTGGGGGTGTGCGTGCGAATGAACGGCCTGTGGCGTGTTTGCGATACCAGCCGAACCTGGGGTACTAGCAGATACCGGGCCAGCGTGGCCTTGCTGGCCAAGGGTAGGCACAGAATGGGTTGACTTATTGGCCAGCGCAAGTGCGCCTTGGTGTGTTAGAGGTCGGGCCGGACCACCAGGGGGGCCAGCTGTGGTGGGTGTAGCCGCTTGTGCTGGTTGAGCACGAGCCGAATGTGGTGTAGGAGTTCCTGCCGCAGATCCCGCCGCCGTTTGCGCAGCTAGGGCGGTGTTGACGGGAGGCGGATGGTGTTGCTGAGATCCGGCTTCGAGCTTCACTGGGGGTTGAGATGGCGGGACGGGTGCAGTTGGGGTTTGTACTGGAGGTGCTATGGCCTGAGGTGCTTGGGCCGTTGGGCCCGAAGTGTTTGGTGTGGTTACTTGGAGGCCGGCACTTGAAGACGCATTTTTGGCGGCTCCTATGGCTTCTCTGACTGAAGCGGTTGCTGCCTGTATGGGATTGCCGCTGGCGGTGTTTGGTTGGGGACGAACTGGTTGCCCAGTTGGGCCTTGAGCAGCAGAAGGGCCAGCTGGTGGTGCAGCACCAACACCAGCACCAGCACCGTCGAGCTGTCCTCGCAAAGCCTGAGCCTTGAGAGACTCTGCGAAGCGCTTCGCATCGTTGAAAATCTTTCTTGCTGCGTCCGTCTCGCTAGTGTACTTGGCAGATTCCTCGGGGGTAAGTGGCTGACCCTTTTGGGTGCGTTCCTTGGCCATCAATGACAATGATTGCATCTTCTTCTGTTGACCATCCATCATGAGGAGAGCCTTGATATATCTGGCTCGGAACTCCTGTCTGTATCTGTTTGCCTTTTCGGCATCTCCTGCAATGTCGGGCGGCGGGTTGATCACGAGAGCGTTGGCCATATTAAGGATTTGCTGAGATACCTGTCCGGCGATAGGTGCGGAAGGGGCTGGGCGCGGCTGGCCTGGGGCCGCGGGCGTGGCAGCGACGTTCGGATTTCCAGGTCTGGCAACTGGTTGTGCCATATTGGCTCGCTGTTGCGCGGCAAGGGCTGCTTGGTTGGCCTGTTGCGTGTTTTGTTGGCCTTGGCCAGACTGAGCTGCTTGACTTTGGTTTCGACGCATGTTGGCGACCTTGCTAAAGACCATGCGAGAGAACTCGGAGATCTTTGCTTTTGCTGTTTTATGGGCAGTCGAATCCGGGGGGTTCTTCTCCATCGTATCCCATAGCCCTCGTAGACCGCGCTCGTACTTTTCTTTGTCGGTTTCGCTCAAAATCTCCAGGCTCCGCATCTGCTCTGGTCGATACATTGGGATGCGCATCGGCTGCGGTTGGGGCGGCTGAGCAGCGCCAGGCTGGCCTTGTCCCTGCTGGACGTTCATGATGGAGGCTAGCGACAAACTTTTCCAGCAAAACTTTGGTGTCTTTGGAATCAGAGACCTTGCGGGCCCCTTGAAAATGATCGATGTAGCAATGCGCGATGGATAGCGTGTCGTGAACTCTGCTTTGGTTGGGTTTGCGAAGGCGAAAGTGCAACGGGGGAAGTTGGAGAAATCGCAACTGCGAACGGGGGAGGAAATCGACAATTTGAAGAGGGTTTGATGATTGATACGGGCGCCTCAATCTTTCAGCCGTGTCCACTCCCCAGCAAAAAGGTTGGGGGGAAAAATAAGGTGGAAAGTTGAAGACGCCGCAGTCGCGTTGAAGGTTCAACCTTGAGATTTGGGAGTTGAGGTCCGATTGAGGTCAGATGCATGGAAGTACCTACAAGGTGGGCACAAATGTGGCTGGAACAGGTGTGGCGCACCAGGTATACATGTGCAGTGGCAGACCTAGCGCATTGCGAAGATGTACGAAATATCGTTATGATGATATGTTATTCACTCTTGCACTTAACCTGGCACTTTTTGTGCAATATCCGCATTTGGTACTAATTCAGGCCGCAAGTCTCACATGATAAAAGCCAGTCCATGACTCGAGGCGCTTCAATGGGTGGTAGAAGAAGATGCGTCAAGTGTCCATGTCAATAGTCCCACTGTTATTTTGTCCGATTATGCACTCATTGATATACGATTCTCTACAGCGAACTTGACTTGTGACTGAAAATTGGGTTGCTTATGAAATTCTTACAAATATCAAGACAGGCATTGGTTTGTCCGCAGAAAGAAAAATGATTCCTCTTCCAATTATTTCATTCATTCATTCATTCATTAGCAGGGTGTATTTGTATAGATAGCTCTTCCATGTGCGGTGACCTAGTTAAATGGGTGGGTCGACCTGGCAAATATCAATACGCAGCAAGCACCGTTTTCTTTTTCTTTTGATATCAACTTTCTGCAATTCATAATTCTGCACCAAATAAACCAATGAAGGTTTCTCTACTTCAAGCTCGATTCGATTCTATATGCCAAGAAGAAGAAAAAAAAAAAGGAAAGAAGAGGCAAACCCGGACCCAGCTCGCGGGGTCCATGCTTCTATGCATATCATAAACATCATTTGCTAAATCATCTCGCCATTCATATCAACAGCAACCACATTGCTCCAACGCCAAGCTCTTGAGGGGAATCTTATCGTCGACGTTCTCTTTCGCCTTGATCTCCCTCTCTAAACAAACTCCATGCATGTGCTTCCGTAACGACCAAATCTTCATCACTCATGATGCTAGTTCCCTGTAGCTCTCAAATCATAAGCCAATACAACGTGAGTACTCTTGTAAATGGGACGACGCGTGCAAATGCCGAGAGTGGGTAGATGTCGTAATCATCGTAAAGGGGTACTCTTGTACCCTAGTAGTATGCAACAACACGGCGTCGGCAAGCCCGTGAGGTAGTAGTGACTTTCTATGAGTGTCGCCTAGTCAGAGTCAACTTCCATGGTCCAGAAAGGCAACTCTCGGGCTAGGTTGATCTCGTCTTCGTCCCAGACGACTTCGCCATCGCTGTTTGGCTCCTTGAGCTCAATAATGATATCGGACAAGAGGCTTCGTCGGTTGACCTTGCGTCTTAGACGCCTTAGACTACTGTCGCCAGTGTCCCAGGGCTGAAGATCCTCCCGGTCCGAGTCACTGCCTCGCTCACTAACTGTGCGCTTGCCAATGCTGCCAGACGTCATTCGTCTCAATCGTTTCTCCTGACGTAGGGCTCTCTTTTTGATCTCAAATTCGTCAAGTTCCAGCTCCGAGTCATCATCAGAAGAGTAGCAGGTCTTGAGGTCTAGGAAGCTGTCCATGAGTTTTGAGTCGACTTCGTGCAGCGCAGACCGGGAATGCGGGCGGCTGCTGCCCCGATCCGAATCTGGGTATTCGTAGCTGTCAGGTCGCCGAACGTCTTCATACTCATCACCACTGTCCATGGCGTCCTCGTCTTCATCGCTGCACTCTTCAATCTCAAAGGCAGCTTCGACGACGACAGTGGAGGTATGCGCATGTGTACTACTTGTGCTGATGAATTGAGAGAAGCCGGTGCCGTAAATATTTGGCCGTGGTGAGTGCGACGGGCTCGCAGACTTTTCTGACTCGTCGTCAGAGGACTTGGAAGATCGTGGGGAGATGTCTTCTGGCCTGATGCCGAGAGTGTGGTTGTTAAACTGGGAGCCCACACCGCCTAATGGCGGGATGCTCGAGTGCCGTAATCTCCCGCGGCCATGCTTCGGATCGACAGAAGCGGCGCCGAATTTGCGATTGAAACTGGGAGAACCAGTGGTGGTTGGCGTCTCTGGCGGAGAGGTCACATTAGGCTCCGTCCTAGCAGTGTTGATTATGGGCGTATGTGGACGCATCTTTGCTAATAATAAGACAATGGGGGAAAACCAAAGATCTAGATGGTGGATTCCCAAATAGTAGTAATAGTCGACTTTCTTGTGCCGTCCCGGTCAATGTGGGGTCGGGCTTCTTATGATTCAACTTGCGGGCTGTAGGCAGTACGTAGTAGTGCAGTGCAAGTAATAATAAAGTCTCAGATCGGATGACGGAGGCGGAGGGGTGGGCGGCGGGGGGGGAGGACCTTCAGGGCGTTATGATGGGGCAGAGGAGAGATAGAGAGCTCCAGGGTGGAGAATAGGTCGGACTGGTATAACTGTGCATGATAGGTTTGTGGACGGCTGGGGAGATGTTCATGCGATATACGCCAATCTCCTTCGCATCTGAGGGAGCAATTGGACGGGCTGATGAGGATGCAGTGAGATGTGAGCGATTGCGAGAGAATTGAGCGAATGTACAAGAAATAATTGAGACGTCGAGCAAATCGCCCGTGAGCACAAGCGGCGACACTGGCTGGCGCGCGATTGCGAATAAGCAGTGCAGGTAGTGCGGGTTGTATCGCGAATGCGAGAAGGGGAAATCGATGTGGTTCGGGCCAACCCTTTTGGACTCTTTTGACAGGTGAGATGATAATGTAATGTGCGTACAAAGTACACCTGTGTACAGTGCTCACGGTTTACAACTGGTGGCCAATTTTCTCTTGGGAGCGCTGGTACGTATCAGAGCGCAGTGAACAATTCTTTGCCAGCGCGTACCATATGAATGAACGAAGCACACCACAATGTCGAAACGGGGTAGGGTAAGCGGCGGGTTTGGGGGGTCTGGAGCGGCGAACGCCAACTTATAATACCGAGCAGCTATAGAATGTCAAACACGAATGAAAGAGATGCATTCAGCCAGAGCACCGCTGCGGGCTTTCGGGAAAATTTGGGTGCTGTCAGAAAAAGAGCGCTTCCACTACAGATAATCGCCTGCCAGCCTGCCTATTATTCCTAGCCTGTGTCGGAGAATGTCGCAATGCCTTTTTCGTTGGATTCCGGCCGACTTGGGCATCAATGCTCCCGGGGTATCTCCCAGTCACGGCAGGGTATAGCTTGCCAAAAGAGCAACGGCTCGTCTTTGCAGAAAGTATATAATTGTAGCATCGCCATAGGGTCATGGGGAGACGGAAGCAGACATAAGAAATGAAAGATGACGGGCAAACACACACAAGACATCCATCCACAACAGCTACATACTTTGTACCCTTCAAATGTCAATGAGCTGTCAACCATGAGCCAAATTCAACCCTGGCATACACCGAAAGACGATTCGCCCGTCAGACCATCCAGCTTACGGGGCACCAGTTGATTCAGACGTATCAGAGGCGGTACGTCCAGAAAAGCAAATATTCCAGCTGGGGATGAATGAAAATATACATGGGGTCAGGTAGCGAGCGATGCCCAATGAGCAGAGAGAGACAGACAAACTTGCATCATGTACAAAGATGCAGCATGGCGAAGTGGAGATGGGGAAAATTTGCTGCTTGGCTGATTGGAAAGGTGAGGGTTTTTTGCAGCTGTGTTGTTGTGCAGGACGCTGTCCCTTTAGTGTAATGTGGTCAGCGTGGCAATGAAACAAGAAGATTATGAGAGAAATTATCAGTCAGCGCAATCGCCAGAGGTTGGCAAATGGACACTGACTAGATGCTAAGTTACCTATTCCGTAACAGTACGGATTACCAAGCATCAATCCTTGATAGGTAGTATAACACGAGGTCGGGGTGGTGGGCCTCTGATGGGCGGATCTCTCATCGTGTTTGTATGGACTACGTATGGAGAGAGAGACAGCTAAAAAAGAAAGTATAGATCGGTATGTGACTGGCGGACTATCGGACCCCGTAGAAAATCTACCAAGTAACTAATAGTAACTTGCAAGTACCCAGTTTGCTAAGGTTAGGTAGTACGAGTATATCCATATCTATAGCATAGGCCATCCATCAAGGATTTTTGTGTGGTTACACGAGAAGAAGCTCGCGCATTGCATGTCTAAATTGAAAGAAAAAAAAAATTCATGTTGGCAGTGTGCAATCCTTGAATATTATCTATTCGTTGGTGCAAAGTATGATACACTCGTATTGTACATTGTAGTATTCAGAATACTGCAACCCTCTTGAATCAATTCTAGGCATTTTTGTAGAAAATCACTGACTATGACAGTGACGAGATAATAAATACCATGTTAGATAGTGAAATAGAATGACCAATTCCAAGTCATCAAGCTGGACGGACGTTGATTGAATGCTACCTTGACGTTCGGAATACGTACCGTTGTGAGCTTGCGGCTAAAAGTTATGGGGCCGCCTTGATGTGTACCGGCTGCTGGGGGGCCACCAAATGGCGGGGTGCATTGTTTTGTTAGAACATATTGTTAGCAGTGCTTCGTAGCTGAGTCCTAGAGCAGTTTGCTTGAATCGAGGCGCGAAGGAATCACGTCAACACTTTACTCATACGTGAGAATCAGGGACATCATTGCAAGCGTGCCTTTTCCTCTTCCGCTGAGATTGCCGTTCACCAATTTCTGCTCCAAATCCTGCTCCAGACAATCGCTGCGGTCCTGGTCCTGTCTTGTCCTGTCCGAGTGCGCAATCGAGCCGGTTCAATCATGTCTTTGCTATCTGCCCACTTCGAGCAGATTGCCATATCCTGTCAAGGCATTGACAGCCTTCCGTGAGTATGGCCAGCAAGTCTATATACGCTGGGCAGAGCGAACGCTAACCAGTTCGCAGCTTTCCCAAGCCCAAGATCTTCACAAACGCTCTTCTCTCGAGCCACGACATCACCTCATTGATTCGCGACACCGAGACGCATGAACGTGCCCTCTTCTCAGTTCCACCGCCTCCTCCCGCACCGGCTGCCTCTCAAGATCCCGCTCCACCCAAGCAATCCTCCCGACGCCAGACCGTCTTCAATGTCGCCTCGGGCGAAGTGACCACCTCGGGCAGTGCCACGGGCAGGAATGTCGGCGCGCCGCGGCGCCACACCGCTGTTGCTGCCGTGCTCGGTGGAGATCTGCACGACCAGATACGCAAGAGCGAACGGGGCTGGAACAAGGAGAATGTCGACGTCGAAATCCTGCTCAGGGGTGCCGAGAAGCTGTGCGGTGTCTATGCCCTACCCGGCGCCCTCGAGAGGATACCCGCACAGCGAAGCCAGTACGCACAACTTCTTAATACCATGGCCTATTACGAAGCCAAAGTCCAAGAGCAGAAAGACGCTCTAGAACTCATGAATAGGCCCATGAGTGACGAGGAGGGTGAGGAGGAGGAGGAGCCAGAAGAGGAAGACAGTACGATGCTAACCGAAGACGACCTGCGCCGTGAAGAGGAGGAAGTCCGCGATCTGGACAGGAAGAAGAGAGACCTTCAACGAAGGTTACGAACCATGGAGAAGGATCTGGCTGGCTTACAGAATTTTTAGCTGTCCAGCACCGAGAACACGCGCACGGCCGGCTGCAATTGGATTTGGAATCCGAGCACAGTTGATTCTCGAGGGCATCAACAGAAGTCATCGGCGGCTCGTTCCAAATTTCCGCATCTTTGTGGCTGTGCTCGATTGATGATTGCCTTGATCATCTAGGCATCTTTATTCTGGATGGTGCATCAAGCCGTGTCTTTCGGACCACGGAGCAATCGCGCAAATGGACTACCGCAGAAAGTCTCCGAGCTGACTGGCGCGTCAAGATCAGGCATGTCTCTTAAAAGGGGCAGTTTCCAACATTGCTGCTTGACAAACTCTCGACTCTTTTCAAACTCGCACTGGACAACATTGCCTTCCACTTTCTACATCCAGCACAATGAAACAATTCAACATCAACATTATATCTGACCCGATATGTCCCTTTGTAAGCCTATACAGTCCAATGTACTAAGTTAGACCATTTGCTAAAAGTTCCCTAGTGCTATCTCGGCAAGAAGCGTCTTGACAAAGGCATTGAGCTCTACCGTAAAGTCTACCCTGGAGGCAAGGACGACACTTTTAATATCACATGGTCGGCCTTTTACCTCGATCCTGACCTGCCACAAGTCGGAGTACCTCTGGCCGGACATATGGAAAGGAAATTCGGCAAGGATCGCGTTCCCGCCGTTCGGGAGAGACTTCGAAAGCACGGTCTACAAGACGGCATCAACTTTAACCCAGATAGCAAGATTGGACACACGCGGAATGCGCACCGCTTGATCCAGTTTGCAAAGACCAAAGGAAACGAGTCGGAAAACCGCGTGGTTTTGGAGCTATTCAAGGCCTACTTTGAGGACGGTGGCGACATCACGAGCTTTGACTTGCTCACGGACGCTGCTGTCAGGGCTGGCCTGGATCGTGTTGAGGCGCGGGAGTGGCTACAAAGCGATCGAGGGGGAACAGAAGTCGATAAGGAAGTGGCAGAAGCGAACGCTCTGGGTATCCATGGAGTGCCAAACTTTACTATTCAAGGCAAATGGAAGGTGGACGGCGCACAAGATCCCCAGGACTTTATGGAAGCTATCGTAGCAGCCAAGGAGGGAAGATCAATGAGCTCGGTTGATGGTAATACCTGTTGATATTAGTTATTATACTGCAAATCTTGTTGAAGAGCTGGAACGTGAACGTCGTTGTTGATACGGAGTTTAGAATTTGACGTCTCACTGCGAAAGAAAAAAAAAAATACTCGGATTCGGCTCTTGACTGCCCCCCATATCGTTGCATGTCTGTTTTTGAAGAATAAGAAAAAAAAGAAGAAGAAACCCCCCTCCCGTTGGGTACACTAGATATTACTATCATGAAGTTGGGCCCTATAAAGATGGAATGACACAACATATTGACACGGTCATAATGCAGAAAAATTTAGCCATGACCGTGATGGATCTTTGCGCAAGAGATTTCTTCAGATTCATTTTCCGTGCTTCCTTTATCGATTCACTTTCCATGAAGCTGGTATAAAAGAAGAAGAAAGGAATATGGATGTCTCGGCCCACCTCGAGCAGGCCGTTAACAGCGCCTTGGTCACCCGCGGCACTCAACATTAATGACCCTGAGTACTACAAGTGAACCGCTAAGACCAATAAGACAAACTGGAATGCCACATGCCAATTCGGGAATAAACTGGCGAATATATATTTTTATGAGTTACTCTTTTTCGGAACATGCCAGATTCTTTTGTGTAGGTACCAGCGAAGCTTTATTGCGTTTGACTTCTACCAGTAACCACGGAAAGTTCATTGTAAGCAATGAATATGTGCTCAAGCCAAAGTGCTTGGTTAGAGGGTTCGTCGACGCTGTGGTGATTTCACAGGCTATTATTCAAAAGTAAGTTCAAATATTTCTTCTCATTTTGGTTGCTCCATGGCGCGAACTTTGCTATAAATACAACATGTGGCCTGAATTAGCCGTAGCCGTACGACCTTTCACATAATCACAGGTTTTCAAAGCTTTACAGCTTGGCAGCAGCCTTGGCCAGATCAGCGAGGGCATCGCGGCGCTTGAACTTGGCATCCTGGATCACGCCTGAATCAACGTATCAATCAGCATACAAGTAAAATTGGTGCGATGAGTCGAAGGGGCAAGACTTACCGGCATCGGCGTCGCTGGAGAAGTTGCCAGTCCACTCAACAAAGGTGCTGCCCTCGTGAGAACCAGAGGTGACGGGGTAGAGGCGGATAGTGCTGACAACGCTGGTGTAAGTGAGCTCAGGCTTGGCGGTAATGACGCTGTAGGTGATGAAGTGGTTGATGGTCTATATTACTGATTAGTCGCGCAAGCCAGGTATGGTTGCAAGAAGGCCTCAAAGACATACGCTGTGCTCCTCCTGCTTGACCTCGAGCTCAGTACCGTCGTTGAAGGTCCACTTGACGACGTCGGTCTCCTCCTGAGACTTGACGAACTCGCTTGCCTTCAGGGCGGACCAGAAGTTGCTGAAGTTCTGCACTATTGGTTCCAGTTAGCCCTATCACGTGTTTATGGAATATGATGCCAATAAGAAATGTTCGAGGCGAGGCGTTGATTGTAAGCGCTGGGTTATTCTTGAAGATATTTGCCGTTTGTGGTCTATAGAAGTGGAACCTTGGCTGCAATACTCACACTTGATGTGGTGCCAGACATGGCTGAGAGGGGCGTTGATGACGGCGCTCTCAACGACCGAAGTGGAGGTGGGAATAGCAGCAGGGGCAGACATTTTTGCAGAGGATGAGCTTAGTGGGCTATGGTGAGAAGTTTGATTTCCTTTGGAAGCAATTAGCTGGTGAGAGTGTTGCAATGGTCACAATTGTTCTTCACGAAGAGTCTGACGAGAAGTCTGATGGTATTTTTTGGTGGAGAAGAGGTGGAGTCGAGGAAGAAAAAAAAATATCCCAGGTTGTGGAATTAGAGTTGTCACAGTTTCGTTTGTCCTCGTAGCTTCCCATTGGATACTTTCAGTGTGTGTTTTTTTCTTTCTTTCACTTGGCCTTGCACCTTCTCCAACATTCCTTGAGCTGAAAAGGAAAGGGGAGCTGATGATAGGCGTTGCTTTCGGATCTTTTCCTTCTGCGTCCATCCGTGCTTGTTTGTTTGTATGTCTGTCTGCCCATGTAATACATCCTACGTACATTGCTTCCTTTTTTTATTCATGCTGCAGGTCTCAACGTCATTCGACATTGGCAATGCGGGGTGCTCAATTCTCAGGGTCCAGCATCCACCATATATATATACAAGTCAAACACACGTGGATCCTCGCAGCTATCAGGCAATACGAAGACGGGGGAATGCTGCGAGTGACTGCAGGCAGACGATTCCTTCAATATAAAAGTATGCGCATCGTCAATTCGTTAGGAGAGCGGATGAGCCGGCACCTTGGAATAAAAGGAATGTCGTAAATATCTTCCCTCATAGCTTCAACTTTATACCTGTGCCGGGGCAATGGTGGGGCAGCGGGCAGGTACTTACCTATATTAGTTAATGTCAGTTCACATAGTCCGTCACTTACATCGGTGGTTCACGACCCGGAATAACCTCGAGTCCGCGAGATAGAATTTGGCTGGCTGCTCAGGTCCGGTAGTTGTGATGACCTCGAGATTCTAGGCGGTACCTTGGGAGCTGAGGTCGAGGTTAACTCGGTTGATGGGCAAGCTATTCATCTCCGGTGAAGATGGGGTCCACTATAGCAGTTGCATAGTAAATATGTACTACTATTGTGCCGAGTCAAGGCGACTGCTTTCTCTTCACTAGCACGTTGCCTATTCAGAAGCAGCTTGTTCAGCTCGTATGTGGTGCTCTACACATCTGAACCCACATGGACAATGTCATGGGCAATGTCATTGGCAACGTCATTGGCGCACAGCGCGCTTCGAGGTGATATAACTCTAGTTTGACACCGCGAGGTTGTCGACTACGAGATAACAGCTTCATATCATCAAAGAAAATGGAACTCTCCGGACATTCAATGCCTATGGATGCTATGAATTGTTGTCAAACAGCATGGTCATTCTCACGGACGAGTGTTGTCAACAAGGTCAATCGATTGGAAAAGCTCAAACGATCTGCTACTACAGTGGGCTCACCTGCAAGACATAACATATACCAGAGCTGGATAAGGATACAAGTCTTCAAAGGTACGTCTTACAATGTCATCTCCACGTTATAATCCTGATCTTGGTTTGTGTTTGGAGACATGAGATTGAAAGGCTCGACCTGGATTAAACCCAAAACCCATTTGTCGCTCTGGGGAAATATTCTATAGTCTTTTGATCTCATTAAAATGCTATCTGCAACTCTGTCAATCTAGATAACCTTTGCCACACAATCATTATGCTCTGATAGCTACTTTATTGCTTCAACCTCGACGCCAGCGCCAGCTTCCCCGGCGTCCAGCTCCAACTTCTAGCCATCTTTCGCTTATTCCCTCCGACCTGCGGCGGCCCCGGGCGATGAAGTTGTTGTTGCTGCTGCCTGGCCGACGAGGAAGAGGAAGCCTGGAACATTTTGCGCCGAGGAAACACGCTCAGGCTGGGCTTGACAAAGGCGACGCCGTGGGCCGTCCGCAGCGCATCGCACAGGTCGTGCGTGTACACCTCGGCCTTGCGCAGGGGCATGTGCATAAACGGGTGCGGCACCCCTTGGTAGCGGCGAATCGTCGTCTTGACGCCGGCGCGCACGAGCTTGTGCCCGTAGGCCTCGCCCTCGTCGCGCAGCGGGTCGGCGCTGGCCGTGCCGATAAAGGTCGGGCAGATGCCGTGCAGCTCGCCCGACAGGGGGCTCGAGTAGAACTCGGGCAGCGCCGCGGCTTCCTCGTCGAGAGCGGCCGCCGCGTCCTTCATGTCCGAGTTTTCTCGGTAAAACATGATGCGGGCCCAGTTCAGACATGGCGCAAACTCGTTTTCGACAAAGGATGGGAATTCAGAGTCTGATGCCTTTTTGTAGTGCGAGTGTGACGCTGTCACTGGCACACCAAGAAAAGCAAACTTGAGCGGAATCGCGGCGTCTCGGGCGAGCTGTTGCACCACTGCCGCGATCTGGCCCCCGGCCGAGATGCCGCCTATTGATATCGAGTCTTGACGGGCGTTGACCTGAGCGCCATGGTTGTGCATCTAATTTTGGTTTGTTAGCTTGGTTATTCGAGTTTCGGGGGACGAAAGAATCTTCTCACGTATTGCACTGCAGCCCAGCAGTCATCATGTCCTCTGCCCATGGCATGCTCTGCGGGTTTTCATTAGTCTCAGTCTGTCAACAGCCTGGGTGGGTATACTCACCAGGGCGTAACCTGTAGTCTACATCGGCAACCATGATGCCGACCCGTGTCCGTATTTGCATACATATCTTGGCGTCACTGTTGAGGTCGCCAAATGTGAAGCCACCGCCTATGATCATTTAAGTTTAGACTCTTCACAAAAATTGTATTCCCAAGGATACACTACTTACCATGGAAATTGACATGTACAGGATAAGGCCCAGCACCATACGGTGATGTACGCGGATCTGGCTTGTACAATCTCACAGTAAAGGGATACCCATCTGGCGCCTCGAGCTTGATGTCTTGTACAAAGGCCGTGTGCGCGTACTTGCGAGCCTTTTGGGAGTGAAACTTTGCCCTCTGCTTCCGTACCTCTTCCAGTGGCGCGCTATTGTCTGGTGTCGTCCTACCGAGTGTCGAATTGTAAAAGTCTATAAAGTCTTGGTCTAGACGGTCAAGAAAGTCTGGATGAATGGGATTGGCCATGGCCCTGGATGGGGACTGCGAGTCCCGTGCGCTTGGGGAAGGTGACATCTTTCTTTTTGAGTGTGCAGACGATGTTGTGATTAGTATAGAATGACGTCGAGGGGACAATTTAGGCAAGTATAATGGATTATAGGGGGAAAGGTCTTGGAGAGCAACAAAGCAAAGAAGGTCTTTTATTCAGTACGCGTCGACTCGGTCGGGCTGTGTCGTGGCAAACCAAGCGGTTGGGAGAGGGCAGCATCATCGGATAAGCCGATCGCTGATCGGTTGTGGTGTGGGTGAGACAGCATGCACTGCCCAACCACTGGGCACATCCCAGGCAGTATAGAATTGCATTGAAAATATTAGTAGTAGTTCTGATAAGAGAATTTGGTTTAAATGAGAGCAAATTCAGCCACGTCTCTGTCTTCTCGATGATGGTACATACCCGCAGATTCATCTAATGCTAGGGAGAGATTTTCGAATTGAAACAAGGATACAGTCAATAAACAATATAATAATGATAATCATCTGACAAAACTCTAGATTAATCTTTCTAAACATGGTATCATTGTCTTCATGTCTCATTACTGTGCTATGGGAAAATCAAAAGCAAAGTCATCCATACCACCAAATTCATTCGGCCAACCATTTGCCAACTGGAGCCACATACCGTGCAGTAATGCGCGTTTGGCCGCCTCATCAATGACATTGAGTCTCAAGGTATTGTTCAGATATGAGGCTTCTCTCAGAGAATGCGAGCCGTCGCCCGGCAGTGGGCAAAGACCGTTGCCAGGCTCTGGTCGGTACTGGGACTTGAGAAAGTCGTCCGTGAAAGACTCCTGTCCCGGCTCTGTATTAGCCGCCTCTTCATCACTGCCGTCTAGATTGATGGTGATGGGTTCTCCGAGGTAGACCAGACGATACACAGCCGTCCACACTCTGATGGTGTTTCTCCAGGGCTTTGCGACGGCCCACGAGTTCCACGTCGAGATGACGGCGGTGAACAGGGACAAGTATACCTGCGCCTGATTGCGCGTTTCGGGCTGGATACCTTCCAGGTCGCTTGCGAATTGTAACCATAAAAAGGTTGGAGCGGCAGACAACATGGCATTAGCGATCCATACAGACTGCAGCTGAGCCACGCCTGTCGGTCCCGCTTCCCATAGAGTCGATGCTATCTCGCCAACAACAAGCGCGTTCGAGACACAAGTATTGATAAAGGCAGGTTCCCTTCTCAATAGTGACCACCCGCTCGCATCAAGCTTATCCGTTAGCATGGACTGCCCATTGGCCTGCGGGAGATAGAGCTGGTGCGCGACGCAAAAGGCGCTGTGCAGTAGAAAATGCATCGTGGCAAAGATGCCTCCCTGGCCGACGGAGCAGTGCAAGTTATAGTTATCATTGCTCCAGGCCAAACTGGGCGGCAACGCCGACACCCACTCTCGCAGCTTGTGATGCCGCTGATAGAAACGACTGGCGGGGTGTGTCGGTACGGCCTTTTCAAAGAATCGACCACCGCAGATCTTGATATCCGCCACGGCGCTCCACAGGGTCAGCGTCTTGATATAGAATGGCATGAGGCCCGTGTCCGAGACTCGCCCCATGAAACCGCCGACTCCGAGCGTGGCCAGCGTCAAACCGTTGGTTGCCTCGCCATAGGCAAGGGAGGTTTCTGATATGGGCAGGGCCACGGATATGTGCACTTCATATAGAGTCCGTGGTTTGGCCATCAAGAATGCAATCAGACGATCGAAAAGCAGACAGGCCCAAAACGTGCGCCTCCTAATCTCTTGTTCTTTGAGAGAATGTCTCTGATGGAATTCCCGATTTAGCCTCATGATTTGTGCCATACGTATCGCCGTGCCTATGTGCAGCCAGTGGCTCGATCCCGCGTCAGCCAGCAGCTCAGAGTGACCGAGTACGAGATTAGCCTGTATATTAGAGACTGTTACACAGAGACATTCATTAGCATCGTCGCTGCATAGCGAGGTGTATGAATGCATACCTTTCGGGTCATCCGAAGTCTCCTTGGCCAAACTCCTGGCAAGTTGAGTATACTGTGCCCAGACTTGGTGACCATTCTCACACCCAAAGAGGTTATGGGCCTCGTCTGCCGTCAGATACCGCGAGCACAAGGCCACTATAGACACGGCCAAGAATGGCGTCTCCGAGTAATGAGCCTCAAAATCGGGCCGGTGGAGGAATGAGCAGAAATCAGTGGCCCAGTGATACTGGATGAACAAGTCAAGACACCTCTTGACCGCAGGCCACTCGGGCAGGGCAGAAGGCACCGCAGATGGACTGGCAATGGTAGTGACGACGGTTGACGCGACTGGTGAGAGTGGCGTCGCGATATGTGGCGAGCCGTCAGCAGAGTCGTCTGGCCATACACACTGCCGATGACGCGATGCGCAATGGCGACAGCGAGGCCGCACGCCGTCGCATTTTGTCTTGCGGCGACGACTAACGTAATAAAAGTAAAATCTTAGCCAAGACTAACTACACTCGAGTATCGTTGAAGGACAAAAAACTCTCACCATGCGACACAAGCCTGTGGTGTTCTCCTAGCCTTGTAGGATGTGTGCGAGCTCATTTCGTTTGGACGCGATCGGCTCCGGTACCGATGAGGCTCCTCAGCCTCAAGAAATATGGGAAAGGGGAGTTGCAAGACGACATCATGGACTGCGCAGCCGTGCCGGACCATACAATGGATTGGGGGGGAACATTCAGGCTCAATCACTGCAAGGGAGATCGGCAAATCCGATCCGACCTCGTCAGTTCATGTGAAGAGGCTTGGCAGCTCATGGCCAGGGGGGTTGAGCGTTGGAGGTTGGTTGGTTGGTGTATGCGTGGCTGTTACAACTGACCATAATAGGCAGGTCGCACGTCCCAGGTCCACTATGCCTCTTTTATAGGACTCGAGGCCGTTGACAAGTCTGCCAATCAGGTCAATAAAGAATAAACGATAATGTGGATTCTCTGCTCAACCCAAAGACACAATTGAGTTCAATGTTTGGTTATTTGGTCAAGTACCGCTGATGACTTTTATCTGAATAATAGCAGTTTTTAAATCCTTCGCTGGAATATGAGTAAATATCATGGTAGTAATATACAAGAGTACATTTGGTTCTTTGGTTCTTGAAATGCTACACGGTGGCATGTTGTACATCATCTAACGGCAGTGTTGACGTCCCAAACCAAAGAGTACGCCGGAAGCTCATTTTACCTGGGCTGTTGTCCTACGCGTCGTCAGTCTCGCCCTCCACGAGGCGCTCCATGTCCACATCTTCCAATTCTCTCATCGCTTGACGTATCGAGACATCGTCGATAACTTCTGCCTGGGGTGGCTGCTCAAGTCCAAGTGCCTTGGCTTCTTCAGCCTTGTTCTCCTCCAGCATTCTATTTCTCCATCTGCCGCGCCGTATCTCGATATCCATGAAGCGCTGGATCGGAGCTGGTGTTTGCCATTCGACAATTCCATTTGCAGCAGCCTCGAGGCGTCGCTTCTGACCAGCCTCACCGGCCCGACCTAGAACACTACCGATAACTGCAAGACAACGGAAACTGCCTATTGTTAGACTGGAGAAACATGCAAGGAGCGCAGATATGGGAAATCTTACCTGTCGTCATTTGCCGGAATGGCATACGTCACCCATGTAGGCTCTGTGTTGGTATCAATCACACCAATAGTCGGCACGTTTGCCAAGCCGCACTCCCGCAGCATAGGGGCGTTTTCCAGAGGGTTGAAGCACACGACCAAATCTGGTACCAGCGCTCGCCGCGACATTAGGTGCTGATTGAAGCCGCTCAGCTCATTGTCGTGCTGGTCGACGATCCTCATTGGCATGTTCGGCAAAATCTTGTCGCTGTTGGTAATTGTGCCCGGTGTCCACTTGCTGAACAAGTGACAAGCTCCTGCCAGCTTGGCTGCTTGCGCCACAATCTGTGTCTGTCCTGGCCTCGTACCCACAAATAGGATCAGACCTCCTCGGTAGGCCACTTCCTCAACCACACGAGCCGCGCGACGTAGATGCGCCGCCGTCTCTTCGAGGGAGATGATGTGAATTCCCTGCCTCACACCGTAAATGTATCGTGCGTTTGCAGGATTCCATACCGAGGTGTGGTGGCCCATGTGTGCTTGCGAGGCCATGAGGAGCTCGAGGGTGACGTCCTTGGGTCCCGGGGGGTTGCTGAAGACATCAGTCGGCGCGTAGGTGTGCTCAATGGTGGTACCAATGGGCCGCTGTCTCATGCGCGTCTCCTTTGCAAGCTCGTACTCGGCCTTGGTGTTGTCCACGGCGACGGGTCGTTTCCTTGCAGGCTTGACAGTCTGCATATAGAGTGCTGATCGCTTCGGCTTGGTGGGCTTCTCCTGGAACGAACCCTCGACGGCTGGGTCGGCGGAAGCTATGGGCGTCCCTGACGTCTCCGAGGAGAGGGACGAGAGCTGTCGCATGCATCTTGGGCCTTGTCGCAACGATGTTGCCAGGGCTTTGCGGCCTGCAGTGATAGTTACGAGTTAGCAAGACCAATGGATGGATGAAAAAGATCCAACACTCACCCTGACGAACACCAAATTCTCTGATAATCATGGCTGCGGCTGGTGTCCTAATCCTCGTCCTGCGATCTCCCGGCTGCCAGCTACAGCTAGGAACTTTTTCGGGTCCAGCTTGGGAAACGCGACCAGGGCCGGCCGAGGAAAAGTCCGTTCCGCCCCAGACCCATTTTAACCGTGCTTCCGACCAGGTTTGTGCATTTCTATTGGCCAATCTCATCGTATGCATCCATTTCTATTCATATACGTATTGCATTACTGCTTTTAATATAGGACAGAAATGATTATTTAATTCACAGCCCAAGAGACTGCAGTAGATGGGGATTTGAGTATATGCTCCCAATCAACCTCTGATTCTCTGATGCAAAACTAAATAAGGAAATTTTCAATTCAAAAATAAACAAATAAAATAAAAGGTGAGCAGGAAATGTCAAAATATTAACTCCTTTTGATATTGTTCCTTTAATCGAATTGATGGGATACACTTCCTTTCAATATCCCAAAAAGCAAAAGCATAATTGAACCTAGCCCAACACTTAGCTGTATTCAATCCTATCATGAGCATTGAAACTACACAAGCAACAGAAAAAGAATCAATGACACAGGCAATTTGGGTAGGTAAGATGTTCATCAGTATGGCTCTGTTTGGCATCATGTCATGTCTGATTATACACCTGCTATGAGCCATCATGCATTTATGCTCCAGGTTCTATGATTATTTTTTAAGCCTAATCTACCGTCTTGGCATACCCCTTCCACGACCTCTCAATGCTCGCTGGGCAGCTCCTGGAGGCAGCGGCTTGCCTGGAGCTTGCGGCTGTGCACTCTCCTCATTTCTGATTGTCTCATCGACGCCCAGGATCAAGCAACTGGCCTCCGTTGCGGCTTGGAGAGCATTGATCTTGATCAGAGCAGGCTCCCACACAAATCGCTCCATCATGTCGGTGACGCCTTCGTTTTGGAAATCCACACCTGCCCAGACATTGCCCTTGCGGTGCTCTACTCTCAGCTTGTTGAGGATATCTGTAGCATCGAAACCAGCATTGTCGCAGAGCTGGCGAGGGATGACCTCGAGTGCCTTGGCAAAGGACTTGATGATGGCTTGCTGCTTGTTCGAGACCTTCTTGTCGGCAAAGCTGTGCAAGTATGCCGAGATCTCCATCTCGCAAGCACCTCCACCACCAACAATCATGTGGTTCTTGATGGCACGCTTGACAATCATGATGGCGTCGTGCAGCGATCGCTCAACCTCGGCAATGAACTGCTCAGCACCTCCACGCAGGACCAGGGTGCAAGTCTTGGCCTCGGGACACTCCTCGAAAAAGTTGAATCGCTCTCCACCAATTTGGCGCTCCTCGAATGAGCCGCAAGTGCCGAGGTAGTGCGCCTGGATGTCGGAGCAAGTGGACTGAACGGTAGCACCAGTGGCCTGGACAACGCGCTCCATATCCTCGGAAGAAACGCGACCAGCACAGAAGACGTCGCGATCAGCAAAGTATTGGGTGGCCAAGTCTCCAATGGGCAGCTTGGACAGGACGACCTTGGCTCCGGTTTGGTAGATAGCCTCTAGCTTCTTGAAGATGATCTGCCATTCAGCGTCGACGATGGCCTGGTATTCGGACACCTGCTCGACTCGTACTTCGGCGTTATCCTTCTCGGCCTTGAGCTCGAGCTCGACGTTGAGACAAACCACCTTGGGCTTCTGGAAGGACTTGGGCTGTTGCTCGAAACCAGCGTACGAAAAGGTCTTCTTGAAGGCGACGCCGTTGACAAACAGTGAGTCGGTGAGGGAGCCACCAGGAATCTTCTTGATGCCAATGAGCTTCTCGTTCAAATCGTCCTGGTCCAACGAAAGAACAGCGTCCACGACCATTTCGGTGAAGAATCCCGTGTTTCTCTTGATCAGCTTGCTCGTCATGGCGGTACCGGCGAGCTTGCTGAGGGTTTCCCTCTTGTTTGCCTCGTCTGTCCGGACAGCGATTTCCTTGATCTTGTTGACAGCCATGGTGGAAGCTCTCCGCAGGCCCTTGACAATGACCTGGGAGCTGACACCTTGCTCGACATGCTCGCGAGTCTCCTTCAGAATCTCACCAGCCAACACCACGACGGAGGTGGTTCCGTCTCCGACTTCGGCATCTTGCGATCGCGCAATATCGACGAGGATTCTTGCTGCTGGGTGGACAATGTCGAGAAGCTTCATGACGGTCGCGCCATCGTTTGTGATTGTCTGCCGACCATTCTCGTCCACCATTAACAAATCACCGCCATAGGGGCCCAGGGTGGGCTTGATCGTGTTCTGCACTGCGAGACAGGCATTGATATTCGAAATGATCTGTCCCTTGCCCTGAGAAGTGTCGGTTCCTGGCAACCAGAATGTAAGCACGGTCTGTTCTGCTCGCTTGCACCAGAACCCGGCAAGAAAGGATAGAAAGCACATCAGCAGGGATCGCCTTACCTTCTTTCAGAACGATAATGGTGGGGGTTTGCCCGCCAAAAGACATCTTGTCTACTGAGTCCGCTGGGCCCTGCAGCAGTAACAAATCTTCTAGAAGAAAGGGAAGATGAACTTTGAGCTGGGAAGAGCACGGGGCGGGCTTCAGGCGGTAGTAGTAATGGTGGGGATGGTTTGTTGGCTCCTTGATGGATTTTCCCAGCCTTGGAGCTTTAGGAGAGCTTCAAAAAATTGTTGCCTCTCTCCAATGAACACCACCCACGGTAAGGGGGGGAGCCTAAGTGGTGGCCCGCAGCTCGAGGGGATTAGACGCACGGACCTCAAGCCCACCGCCCGAGTAGTACGTACCTCGCGGGCGTTTGCACTACAGATTAGTGGGTCGGGGCCAGCTGCCAGCCGGGCCTGGCTCAGTATAAATCAACCACCAACTTTTTGATGCCAAGACTTTTATAGTCTTTAAGCTACAAACAACATTCTCTGCCAACGCGTCTTGGCTGTTCAATCACGACAAGAAACAAATCACACAGTACTGAGGTAAGCTTTTTCTTTCCTTTTTTTTTTTTTTGCTTAAAATTCTCTCTCTTTTTTTTTGTCGGAAACCTTTTCTCTCTCCGTTTTCTTTGCAGAGTTGGTTTTTGTTTCTCGCTAATAGCTTTCTTTCTCTCTTCAGAGAGGACGATGGCTAGAATCAAGCACGACAAGCTTGGCAAGTCCAAGAGACGAGGAGAAGCCAAGCCTCCCCGACCCACCCCGCGCCTGGCCACCATTTTGCCCTAGAATGGCATGAAATGGTTTGGACGCGGTGGCAGGTTTGCCGACCTTGAAAACACGGATATGAGCAACATTGTCAAGGCTCTGAAAAGCTCATACCCCGACTACAAGCCCAGCACCATGGCTCGTGCCTTTTCAAAGGTCATCAATCTTGTCAGCGAGCACATTCAGGAGTGTGGCGAGCTGTCCGTCGAGCAATTCTTCGACAAGTACAAGACAGAAGTGTCCTGGGCCAAGAGCCTTTCAACCAAGGCCATTTCCGGCCTATTCCGAGCAGCAATCTCATCGCGCATGGTTCTCAAGAACCTTCTCAAAGATCTCCCCGTTTATGGACCGAATGCTCCCCCGAAGAGAGCATGGCTTACAAACTGCCTCACCGATGCCATCGACGGTCTCCACATGACTTTCATTAACGGCTACAGCCGTACCTCACCTGAAGTTCTCTGGGACTGGGGCTTCAAGGACGGAGAGGACACCGAGTTCGGAGACTCGGACGTTGAGAAACTATCACAAGTTGACGAGGCTGAGTCCGACCACGAGCGAGACGACAGTTTCACCAACGAGCAGGTAATCCCAAATCATACTGGAGATTGCTTGAATTGCTAACCTTGCACAAAGGACAATGTCAGCATCGATGGAGATGGAGGGTCTGATTCTTGGACATAGTCCTCAACCGCAACCCATGACCGGAAACCCCATGACTCTGGCTTTCAGAGTTCGAGACAGCGAGTAATATGGGAAGAATGGATGGTACATGGTCAGAGCATGGGAGGGCAGTTTGAACAAGGGATTCAGGTTGACAATGGACACAGTAATACAATCAATGCTAAATGAAGAGCAGATGAATGAATGGACAAATCAATAAAGACCATGAACAAACATTGGACAAATGAATGAATGCATGCATGCCGGAATGAATGAGTGAATAAATGGATAAATATAATAATGAATAAATGGGTGGCTAGCATCGTTGCCTAGTCATTGTGTTCGTTTGCAAACAAGCTGACCTCTTGGTTGTCGTTAATGTCCCTTTCTTTCAACCAAATAAGAGCAGTTGCCTAATGGTAAGGTTCGAGTCCTTACTATCCTACAGGCTTGGGGTTCGATTCCCCGAGCAAGGCGGCTCTCTTAGAAAGCCTCACACCCAGCTGCAAAAACAGATGGGATGGACTTTGTCCAGTGCGACGCGAAGCTAATTTACGACACCGAGTCTGGTACAGGTCCTCTGAAATGTACCGCTATAGACTCGCCTTCGATCAGGCCCTCTACAGTTTCATCCTCGTATAAAATTCAAGGTTATTTTTTTTTATTGCTTTCTCATATACGATGATATCAAGAATAGAGCAAGATTTATTTCGAATTAAATATGATAAGTGGAATATCAGTATTGCGAACGTATAATTATAATATGGAATATTAAAGGATATCGGCTTACGGTATTATCCTAATATGGCAGCAGCAAAAGCCCCTTACGTACCCCTGTACCTACTGTGTAGGTACTCCCGCTGTGATGGGTATTATTAGCGCCAGATCTCCGCCGGCTTAATGCGCCAAGCTGGGCCCTGGGGGTGGTCTTTGGTTCCTAGTCCGGGGTTTTCGACCTGCAGGCTTGTGAATGATGCAAGTCCACAGGTCAACGTGGCTGCTTCTGTACTTCAAGCCCGGAAGCACCAATTGAGCGAAGTGGGCGAAACCTCAAATCCGCAACCTTTTTTACTGCCAGGTTTCAACCAGAGGATTTCCAAAGACACGTTACAGTGAAAATAAAGTCAGCTCACAATGGCGCAGCCTCAAGCCCCGTCCAATCCAAACATGAATCGGTCGCTAGATTATCTCAAGCAGGTTCAGGTGTGTACGGCGATCACCCCGCACATACGACTAACAACAGACAAAAGTAGAGGGGGCCATGGCCGCCAGGGGAGACGGCAAAGGGATAATTGGCGCGCATAGCAATTGCTAACACCACTTTTCGCGCACAGGAAACGTTCAGTGCAGACTCCGAGACCTACCAGAGCTTCCTCAAGATCCTCAAAGACTACTACGACGCCTTTCGAAGCGACATCGAGGCCGTGGTCGCACAGCACCAGGCGGCCAAGAAGGCGGGTGCTACAGCAGACCCGGCCGCAAAGCAGGAGTCGGACGAGGATGTGGCCAAGAAGAGAAACGACCGGACAGCTAAGGCTCTGGAGGATGTCAAGACTCTATTCGTGGGCCACGATGACCTGATTCGGGGCTTTGAGGAATTCCTCCCTGGTCCTTCGGAAAAGACGTCGGTTTGAGCATCACGATGGATCGAATGGCTGATCGCGGGGCCGGAACTGGAGCGGCAGTGACCTGGGCAACGAATATAACAACATTTAACAACTCTACTTCTACGCAGCTAGGATAGTATGGCAATCTCGTGGCCAGAATCAGAGACACCTCTTGACTGTCTCGGGATAGATCATTGAATAAAGAAACATTTGCATGCCTCGTACGTTGCAGCTCCTGCCGCCACAACTACCTTGAACTACTGGGAATTGCAAGGATTGGCGCGCATCCACTATCTTGATCAGAATAGTAAAGACGACACTAGGTAGACATTCCGATGCTATGATTCAACAGGCGGCATTCAATTCATATCTCAGATTGAGATATGGACACTGTAAATAATAAGCGTCTGCATCTTTTTTGCTAGATCTACAGCGCCAATCCAACCCATTGCGACACCATCACTCAGGCGCCGGATCTGCTTTTTCTCGTCTCTCCGGATCCGTTGCACCCCAACACTGAAGTGGACCCTGATGCTGTACCTCAAAGTCCGGCAAAATACTCAAACTCTATAGGCGCGCTTGGATTATGTCACCTTTCAATGGTCGCCCACTACTGCCGGCGGTCCCCTTGCAAATACGATCTGGTGATTTGCGGGGTATGCATACTATTATAATCACAACCAAGGAGGATCAGGCACAAGGCCACTTGATTAACCCACAGGGGTGCCGACCAAGGCGATGGGCGGAGCAGCAGGCCGGGGGTCACTCCCCGTCGCCAACGGACTACGACTCTAGACATTCAGCGCGACTGGTGGACTTTCTGTGCTGAGGTCGTACTGTACTGCTGCTTAGACAGGCCACCATACTCAGTCACTGCCGCGCATGGAAAGCAAATAACCCAGGTCGATAGTGGTTTGATTCCAGTCGATTGGTGTCTTGGTATCATGATGAAGAAGCACGAGGACTATTTAATAGCCCCATCACCCATCATGCACTCGGGATTTCTGGGTTGCGCCATCGCCTTCATCTTCGGCTGATCAGATACATCGCGGCACGTCAACTTGGCAAAATGGTCCCCCTCACAAGTCTCCTGTTTTGCACGGCGGGTCTCGTCCGTCTTGCAACGGCACAGGCAGATCCACCCGTCACCACGGATAACGGCGTTGCAGCATACACTTTCGACATCAGTCAAGTCACACTGAATGACGGTCGTCTCCATGAGAACCAAAACCGCACCCTGACGTACCTCAAGTTCGTCGACCCCGACCGCATGCTCTATGTCTTCCGGAACAATCATGGTATTTCCACCAACGGAGCCTCTGCCAATGGCGGGTGGGATGCTCCCGACTTCCCCTTCCGAAGTCACGCCCAAGGCCACCTCTTGTCGGCCTGGTCTCAGTGCTACTCTACATTGAAGGACACGGAATGTCGAGATCGGGCAGTGTCCTTTGTTGCTGAGCTACTCGAGTGTCAGCAGAACAATGCAGCTGCCGGGTTCAATACTGGTTACCTCTCTGGCTTTCCAGAGTCCGATTTCGATGCTCTCGAGGCTGGGACCCTCTCAAACGGGAATGTTCCATACTATGTTATCCACAAGATCATGCAGGGTCTGCTCGACGTATGGAGGAACGTTGGAGATACGACATCCGAAACGGTTTTGCTTGCCCTCGCCGGCTGGGTAGATACCCGTACGAGCGCCCTGAGCACAACTCAGATGCAGGCAGTGCTGCAGACGGAATTCGGCGGCATGAACGATGTCCTCACGGATATCTACAGACAAACTGGAGATACCAAATGGATCACAGTCGCCCAGCGCTTTGATCACGCCGCCGTATTCGACCCGCTAGCCGCAGACCAGGACCAGCTCAACGGCCTACACGCCAACACGCAGGTGCCCAAATGGATCGGCGCGACCCGGGAGTTCAAAGCAACGGGCACGACGCGGTACTATGACATTGCGCGCAACGCCTGGGAGTTTGCCGTGAACCAGCACACGTATGCCATTGGCGGCAACAGCCAAGCCGAACACTTTCACGCTCCCAATGAGATTGCCGCGTGGCTGACCGAGGACACGTGCGAGCACTGCAACTCGGTCAACATGCTCAAGCTGACGAGGGAGCTCTGGACGCTGAGCCCCGATGCCGACTATTTTGATTTTTACGAGCGCGCCCTCATCAATCACGTCCTCGGTGCCCAGAACCAGTACGACTCTCACGGCGGTATTACCTACTTTACGCCCCTGATTGCCGGTGGCCAGAGGGGCGTTGGGCCCGCTTGGGGAGGCGGCACATGGAGTACCGATTACGACTCGTTTTGGTGCTGCCAGGGTACGGGCTTAGAGGTCAACACCAGACTAATGGACTCGGTCTATGCTTACGACACGTCGTCCTTGTACATTAATCTGTTCGCCCCGTCGACTCTCGACTGGTCCCAGAAGGGCGTCACCGTCACGCAAGACACCACGTTCCCCGTGTCGGACACGACGACCATTACAATCGACGGCGAGAGCACCTTTGACATTAAGATCCGCATTCCGTCCTGGACCTCGGGCGCGACCATCACAGTCAATGGCGCGCAGCAGAGCGTCGCCGCGGACCCCGGATCCTACGCCACGCTCTCGGGTTCCTGGACGTCGGGGACTCAGATCGTGGTGCAGCTGCCCATGAGTCTCCGGCTCATCACGGCCAATGACGATACCTCGCTCGCTGCCGTTGCCTATGGCCCCGTGATCCTCTCGGGCAACTATGGCTCCTCGACCGTTTCCTCGGCGCCTACCTTGGCCCTCGACTCGGTGAGCCGCACCAGTACGTCTGGCCTTGATTTCACGGCTACCGCGAATGGATCCAGTGTTGGTCTTGGTCCGTTTTATGATGCACAGGGGTTCAATTATGTGGTGTACTGGAAGTATTCGGGATCGTTTGCAGCGTAGTGGAAACCTCGCCGCATATCAAGAAGCGTTTGAATTCACTACTGGCACCCAATGTATTCATGATTGAGTATATAGAAATATCAGTATTATGTGAAAAGGCAAGTGAAAGTTCTTTATAAATGTGAGGGCCACCAAGGCGCCAGATTGGGCTCGCCATCAAGTGGACTTCCCCTGAATATCGTCGCTCCCGACTGGATATTTACTACACAACCAAGATGAAATGAGTTGCTCGCCCACGGTAAGAAACTCGTGTCAGCTTGTTTACTACTTGAGCAGAGTGTTCTTGGACGCCCCATCGGGCAGCTTTGCCCTCAGTATCAAACCAGGATACTGTCTCCCGTCGACGCCATTGTTCCAGTTGGGTTGATAAGGTAATTGATTGATATTCATGTAAATATAGCCATCAAAGCCCACGTTTGCGCTGTCTGGCCAGATGATCCGCGGGTCGCGAACGTATGGCATAGCTTGATGCGTAGTAGAGCTTTTGAAAGTCCTTAGCTCTGCTGTGCTTGAAATGATGCAAAAATGCGTGAATGGAGTATGGACTTACTTGTAGATGAATATGCCATTGTGCTCCGGCATCAGCATGTATACATTACCCAGGCTGTCGCCAGAAAAGCCGTTTGCGTTGCCACCGCGCTGTCCAAGGTTCTTAACATTGTCAAAGGCCTTCTTGAGCGACAGAGGATCACTGCTGGGGTTGACGCGTAGATACTTGGTTTCTATGGAATACAAGTAATCCGATGTCAATGGCGAGTAGTACAGAATCTGTCATGATATCAGCCTTGAGTATGATTAAATAACAACGTAACTGGGTCCGAATGCCACTCACATCACCGTAGAGGCTGAGCTCTTCACCATCGAGACCCTCCTGGAGAAAATTGACCGGATGGCCCTCGGACCGGAAATAAAACGGCAAGCCCTGATAGCTCGGGACGTCCTCGGGGGTCCGGAGCGTGCTGGGATGCTGGCTGAGCTGGCGCCAGCTCTCGCCCGTCCCGAGGTCCACCATGATGAACCCCGTGCGACCCTCGTCACTGCTGTCCACAACGTACGCAATGCCCTTGCCCGAGTCCGTCACGTTGGACCGCATATCGAAGCGCAGGTCGTTCATGTACGAGTCTGGGAAGTGCACGTCGGCTGGAAGCGTGTAGGTCGCCTTGATCGTGTCGGTGCTCAAGTCGAATGCCACCAGCTTGGGGCCTCCTGGTTGCCCGTATGGCACTACTGGGCTCGTCGTCTGGTTGATGGTCGGCCGGCCCGTGTCCAGTGCCCACAATGTGTCGTCGGGTGTGACAAAGACGGCTTGCACGCTGATAAGGTGGTCCCGGTCCGCACTGCCGAATGGGATGCCGTTGAACTCGGTCGACAGGCCATCCGGAGGCGTGTTGAGCTCCAGGTTGGGATATGCCACCTCGGCAGTGAGGTTTACAATTTCCCCAAGCGTATAATCGTAGGTACCTCGGGTGTAGCAGGCAAAGATCCTGCCCGTCTTGGAAACGGCAATGCCTATAGGCCATTGGTCGTAGTAGTAGTGTACCTCCTCGACTGGCGGTCCGTACGTCCCCGTGTCTATTCGTACATTATGCGGTCCTGTGGCCGAGAATGTGCTATTCAAATCTACGGGGAATGATTTTTGAGCTATCGAAATGCCGAACAATAGCAAGGCAAAAGTGACTATAGAAGTAGTTGGATGCATTGTGTGGTCACTAGGAGGGATGACTTGAATCTAAGCAATCGTGAATGCTTTTAACAAAATTTGTAGCGCAATTCTGCCATCCTGTCAAGCTATGGAGTTCATAATGAAGCTCTATCACTTGTACGATAAATTGTATGATCCCATCTCCATCTTACTACATGAGATCATTGGTCTCTCAATTGTGTTCATGTCGTCATGACACCCGAGAGCGATGGGGCCACCCCCAAATGTGGAAACCCGATGAATCTTGCCCTGGAGACTTTACCCCGAATCTGTTGTGACACCTCCCATAGCCTCAACTCTAAATCAAATAACAAGTTGGAGACGGCCCGAAGGCAATCTGCAAAAGTAACCCTAGCAGTCCTCGTCCACAATCTATTTAACCTTGTGTATCGAGATGGATATCATCGCTGGACAAAAGTTGACGGAAATAGGTTATTGGTATTGAGGTGGAGTGATTGTTCGCAACAATTTGACAGCTTGCTCATTGGCAGTGAAGAGGATACCGCCAGCCATGACCGTCCTTCCCAGTCTCATGACGGTGCCGCGCCAGAAGCCTTTGAAGAAACCGTCCTCTTTGAGAATTATTCGTACGGCATCCATGGTGCCCACTGCCTTGGCCTGCTGTGCCTTGGTTTTGACCGTGTCGAAGGGCTGTGTCGCCAGCGTAGTGAGCGTTCCCGCGACAGCTCCATTTGCAAATGTGGTCAATGGTGAATTTACATTGATGCCCCGTGACTTTTCCCAGTCCTTGATGATGGAGTAGGTTCCCAACCGAAACCCCGTGGTCCCAATTTGCTTGAGTGTCGTGGTCACATAGCCGGCATACAACGCCCGGCGCAGGCCTTGTTCCGCCGTGAGCGTGCTGATGCAGTTCCAAGGCGACCGAAAGCGCTGCAGCGTCTTGGCATCATCAATCAGGGCAGTCTTGATGCGCTCGGTAGGTGTGACGATGATGGTGGATGACACGACTCCGGCGACCATGCCAGATGCTATGGACTGCGCCGGCCCAAGAGTGTGTGTCTCGGGATCCTCAAACGCCTTTCGTATGCTGTCAAAAGCCACGAAGCGGATGGCGTCTTTACCTATCGAACCCTAGTAGCGAGTGAGAGTCTGTCTGGAGTATTCATGGGCGGTTCAACTTACCACAATCATGGTCGAGCAACCTTTGTATAATGCAGTGACGCCCTCCTCTTTAATGACCTGCCCAACAATCTTGAATGGATTCCTACTACTGCCATGGCCGTATAGTTGCACGCGAGTTTTGGCAAACTCGAATGGATACGTGCAAAAGGCCTCGACACCACCAGCAATGCCGCCAGCGCACAAGGAGATGAGTGGCGAGGACTTCCCGTCGGCCACCATTCTTTCCGTCTATTGAGTAATGTCTATACAAAACGACCTTACAAACAATGCATCAGGGCACGATCTAATAATCTAGAAACAACAAAGCCTTGATCCAAATAAAGTTGAATGTGAAATGGCAATAGAAACGCTGTCAATCAGAACATTTTCTGGATTATACTGGGGACTAAATGGGTATAAGATGTCGCACAAATCCAAGCAACGCAGTTCAAGAGAAAGGTGTAACAATGTGGCCGGGAGTAAGCCAATGATCTCGTATCTAAACCTCGGCAATAAAGATGACGCTCAATGCCAGTGACGATGCAGGGGGTAGTTACATAAATATATATGCATAAATTGTGCAAGGCAACATTGCACTAATCCAGGCATTCGCGGGGCAGTGGGGGCATAAGATGCCTTCCCTCTCATTTTTGGCGCGTCGCTTTGGCAGGCGCGTTAATTGGGAAAGCTTTCCTAGGGTCTAGCGCGTCCAGATCGTGACATCACCCAAATTCGCATTTGCTTCAATTCTACCCAGAGATATTTTCACATTTTGTGGTCAATCACTTCTTCTTTTCAGAAATTTCTGTGGGCGTCAAACAAACTTCTCCAAAAGTCAAGCGCGTGTCGTGGGGAATAGTCGCCAAGATGGGTATCAAGAACCTCTTCTCCATCATTAAGGATGAAGCTCCAGATGCTGTCAAGGAGGGTGAGATCAAGAACCAGTTCGGTCGCAAGGTTGCTATTGTAAGCTCAATTCCCATGAGAAACCAGGAATAAAATTGCTAACATATTCCAGGACGCGTATGTTGAAACTCGACCCTGATGCGACGAATTTGCTAACTTTCCTTTGCAGCTCCATGAGCATTTACAGTTTCCTCATTGCAGTCCGATCCGACGGCCAAATGCTCACAAACGAGGAGGGCCAAACCACTTCACATCTCATGGGCATGTTCTACCGCACACTTCGGATGGTCGACAATGGAATCAAGCCCTTGTACGTTTTCGACGGCAAGCCTCCCAAGCTCAAGTCTGGTGAGCTGGCCAAGCGATTCCAGCGCAAAGCCGAGGCACACGAGGGCCTAGAGGAAGCCAAGGAGACAGGTACCGCCGAAGATGTCGAAAAATTCTCGAGACGAACCGTTCGAGTCACCCGTGAGCATAACGAGGAGTGCCAGCGACTGCTCAAGCTCATGGGCATTCCGTACATCATTGCGCCCACTGAGGCCGAAGCCCAGTGCGCCGTCCTGGCAAGAGCCGGCAAGGTCTATGGCACTGCCAGTGAGGATATGGATACTCTTTGTTTCGAGAGTCCCATCCTGCTGCGACACATGACTTATAGCGAACAGCGAAAGGAGCCGATTCAGGAGATTCACCTTAACAAGGTGCTCGAAGGTCTGATGATGGATCGCAAGCAGGTGGGACATTATATACTCCATTCTAGTCAGTAGCCCAAGCTAACGTAGCCTGTCACAGTTTGTCGATTTGTGTATCCTGTTGGGATGCGATTACCTCGACCCTATTCCCAAGATCGGCCCCTCGACCGCTCTGAAGCTTATTCGCGAACACGGTTCCCTCGAGAAGGTGGTTGAATGGATTGAGAGCAGTGGAAAGTACACCATCCCCGAGGACTGGCCTTATGCCGATGCTCGAGACCTCTTCTTCAACCCAGACGTCCGCAAGGCCGAAGACCCAGAGTGTGATTTCAAGTGGGAAAAGCCCGACATTGACGGTCTGGTCAACTTCCTTGTCACTGAAAAGGGATTCTCCGAAGACAGAGTCAGATCTGGTGGCGCAAGACTGGAGAAGAACTCGAAGAGCTCTCAACAAGCTCGACTAGAGGGCTTCTTCAAAGTGTAAGCATCTCCTTGATTAATACTTCATGTTTTGACTGGCTAACTTTATGTCAAGTATTCCCAAGACTGAAGAGCAAAAGCAAGCCCACAAGCGCAAGGTAGAGGAGCAAAATGATGCTCGCAAGAAGAAGCTCAAGGAAGATAAGAAGGAAAAGGCCAAGCAAAAGGCCAAGCCTCGTGGGGCATAATTTCAGACCACCAGAATCATTGCTAGAGGCTGGATCGAGATCCTCCTTGTTTTCTTGGGCGTTCAGGCGTGAGTGGCATTACGGAAAGGAATGGTGACGTAGCATGAAGCTTTATTGCGCGACACAGATGGCATTCGATTTGCATTTATACAGAGGGTCGCATTTATACCCCATACATGGGCTCAACGAACGAAGACTTGAAACTCAGTTCTAGCCCACGACCAACAATGGATCTATTTTGACCTTTACCAGCCCTAAGTGCTGGATAACTTTTTGAGCTCGTCTGCCACCTTGTCTACGGCTGTAGTCGCCTCTGAACTCCAAGGTGCCATTTGCAAGAAGCCATGAGTGAGTTCGGGGAAATGGTGCCAGTGGACCTGATTGCCAGCTTTTTGAAGTTTGCCAGCGTATTCGACACCAACGTCTCTCAGCGGGTCAAAGCCACAAGTGAACACTGCCGCCGGTGGAACACCTTTTAAATCGTCGGCTTTCTGCATACCTGGTGAAACGTACCTATGCCCGGGCGCGTAGCTTTGATTTGGCGCCCGAGGCAGATAGTGATCAGCAAAGGAGAATATTCCATTGCCTTTGATGAATCAGCCTTGGCTCTTTTGAGAGAAATATAATAATGGTTTTCGAGTCATTTGGCACTCACATTCGAGATAAAAGCCGGAATTATTCGTAGTGGCGGCGGGCGTATCAAAAGGCAGCCTAGCCTCGGGGTACAGCAGAATCTGAGCCTTCATGGGCTTCTTGCCCTCGTCATGCATTCGAAGGGCCAAGGCAGCAGTCATGTTACCACCGGCCGAGTCACCGCCACCAAGTACGCGGTCCCCATCGATTCCGCGTGATTCACCCTCGGGGCCTTGGGCCCAAGTAATAACGGCCTCATAGTCGTCGAGCTGGGTCGGGAATGGCCACTCTGGAGCCAGGTGATATTCAACGCCGATAGTCTGAAATAGTAATGGTGAGAAAATACACCGAGACTTTAAACAGCAAATCAGACGCTTCTGTGCTCGGTTCTCACAATAATGTTTGCCTTTTCCGCCAACAACCTCAGACCATTCTCGAACTCATCGACGCTGCCAACGGTATAGCCGCCGCCGTGCATGTAGACGAGGGCGGGCACCTTGACGCTGCCCTTGGCCATGCCGCGGCGGCTGTCCTCGTAGTTCTGTGGGTAAAACAGGCGAATGGGCACGGTGCCGTGCGGGCCGCCGACGCCGGCAAACTCGACGCGGCCAATGGGCGCGCGCAGCTTGTCGGGCAGCGCGTGGAAGCCAAAGACTTCTAGGTGGTGTCGTCGCTCCTGGTGAAAGTCTTCCTGTCCGCCCAGGTGCAGCGATGGGCGGTCCATGAGGAATTCCTTGATGGACCAGGCGAGCTCGGTACGGGTCCCGACTTCTGGTATGGTATTGCCGTTCATCTTGGTGACTGAAGCTTGAAGATTGTTTTATGATATTGCTGGATATCTATGAAAGCTGATTTCTTCTGAAGATGGTAAATGGTCGCCCATCGATACATGGCATATATTTCAACATCATTAAGGACAATGCCCCTTTTAAATAGTCGATTATCTAAACTAGATATAAACGTCAATATGATTTCCAAGACCATCTCTGAAAGTATCGGTAACAGATGAATCTCCGCCTTGTGACGTTTATCATTTGAACATGGATAATTAACCCCCGTGGACGTCAAGTTGGTTGAGCTATCTTGTGCGGACCGGACCGAGCGGAACGGCGGTATTTTGTCTAGATCCCTAGAAGAAAGCTTATATTCCTAGTTGTGGTTGCCCGATAATTGTATTTGCATGACCGACTACCGACTGAAAGGTCTTGTAGATGATCACATATTGTCAAGAAACAAATAAAAAAGCAATGGCCATTCATCGGGAGTCTACACATTTGTGACCCGGGACTCTTTTGATGCAGGCTTCTATAGATGCAAAAACAAAGCTGTAGGCGTATTCAATTTTCCGGCTTAGCAAGTGAATATTTTTTATTACTCGCAATCATTATAGGCCTGCAAACTATCATCAGTCGAATTATCTCACCGGAGAGCCTGCTGCATCGGCTCAATCAGTACGACGGGCGGTTGGCATAGTCTTGACGTCTTGACACTTGTATACATGGTCTTGGTGCGGAGACCCTACACCCAATACATGTGAAACACGGTCATAACAATCGGAACTGAGCAGTTGTGCTAGACTCCCAAGCTTGGCACCTAACCGCGCGTTTTCTGATACAAACGTTTTGCCAGGTGTTTGGACTTGTTCGGGCTTATGCTCTGACTCTGCCAATTAGTCAGTCATGGGACTCTTGGTTACAAAGTACCGACCTACGGTAACCTACCTACCGTTCCTGTCAGCATCAGCTCCCTCCCCTCAAACCCGCGGGTGGCCAATAAAGCAACACAGCCCCCAAAAGTGCACTTTGAGATTTGATGGAGGGCCTCTATGGCTGAAATTACATGCCAGTTTTACAGAGCCTCGCCCTAATGAGTCAACGGTGAGGGCCTGGGCCAATACAAACCATGACCCCTCGGGATCATGTTCTCTCAGTGTGCGACGCACCCTACACCTCTTTGATCAATACATTGGTACACTGCCCGGCTACAAAAGCCGACCTGCAAAACACCACCTTTGCGTGCGTGGCTTATGACGCCCCCTTTGGAGGCAGTGCGGATGACGAAAACGTGGTTATTGGGCGGGCGGCTGATCCTCAAGTGACAACGCATTCATTTGGTTCACCGAAAATATGATTATCTGTCTGGTTAGTCAAGAGTAATCTGTATGCAGAGGTATCGTGACCATTGGGAGGGACCGGTTTCGTGGTGGTATTATATACAATGATTGCCCTGCATTTGACCTCTGCCCTGAACTTGCATCCGTATCCACTCTCTCTGCACACGACAATATTACAGCCTCGTCGTTTAAACCCTGAATAATATTGATCTTGGTCTTGTCCGATCAGGATCCGACACATTCATTTGTTGTTGTTCTTGAATACCCTTGCCTCACCGAGGAAACTCGCTCGAGGGAAACCTCCCGAAACTCTGTCTTACCAAAGAATGCCGTACTACTATTCGTCCGGTCAAGACTACACATACGCGCCCGGCGACGCCCTGGTCAAGAAAGTATACCGCAATATTGACCGCGCCGGCAACCACCATCATCACCACAACCACCATGGCCACCACTCGTCGTCGTCTTCTCATCGTCGCCACGGCAAGCAGACCATCGTCAATGACGGCACCATGGTTATCGACAGCGACTCGCTGCGCCAAGTCGACTCGGTCATTTATAACCGATCGGGCTCGACCATGTACCTGACTGACCAGCACTACTGGTCTTCTTCGTCGTCCTCCTCCTCATCATCATCATCAGGGGGCGCAAACAAGTCGTACTACTATGGCTCCTCTTCGCGGCCGTCGTACTACAACAGCTCGGGCCTGCATACCTGTCGAGGATGCAGCTGGCAGCGGGAGCTCATTGGGGGCTACTGCCGCGACTGCATCGAGTTCAAGTCTGGGCCGCGGGTTGTCGAAGTCAAGGAGAATCGTCGGGTGCTAGGTGGCCCCGAGAGACGGTTGCTCCACTACCGGTAGATGTCAATGGTCTGGGTTATCATTATGTATTATTTCTTACGTTGAACTTGGGGCACTCCTGGCGCCAGAGTTAGTCGGCATGAATTTTCGTGGAAACGCGGTCAGATTCTAGATTGTATCCGGATACCTTGAGGCATCAAGACCCTCTTTTGAAAACGAATTTCAATATTATTACTAGATAGATAGTTCTACTTTATTTATTTTGCAAATCTGATATCCACATCAACGCAGATATAACGACCTTTGCCGTGAATGTCCCATGAAGTAAGGGTCACAAAAAAGTTCAGGTCTAACTATCCAATAATTCTAATCGAAATCGGTCGAATGGACAGTCAACCCATGTCAACGTCAATGCAGCGGCTTGAATACCTACATAAGTAGGGCATGTTTAAGAAGACCAGTATCGACATCAGCATCTTTATGCATATTGGCAGTTGGATAATAGACGCAAGGGCACATGAGTATACGAGGTCTGAAGAGATCGGAATGAAAAAAAAAAGGAGGTGAAAAAGGAAAAAGGGAGGCAACTCGGAGGATCGAACAAAAAGACTGGGGGAGGGCGAACCCAGCCAGAGAGAGAGTTAGGAATACAAGATTCCTCGGAGCGAAGAGAATACCACTACACCACTGTGACCTGTGGTTAAATGGTCAAGAGCTATTACTTTATTTTGCCTTATAAAGGATAACTGGTTTGAATTGGACAGATCATCTAGGTTCGTGGCCCCCCGAGCCACAGGAAAAGTTTGATGCAATTATGATTCGAAAACGCTAGAGTCCATTCAACGTCACGAGTATGGCTCGCGGTCCAAGCTCGGTTTGCCTCCATATGCCGACCAAAGTAGATTCGGGGTTTCACTAAAAAGGTTTTTCACGCTCAATATCTCATGCCAGCAATGATTGTGCCGCAAAGTCGACCTCCTCAGCAGTTCCGCAGATCAAACCACCCCGCTCGTCTGTGTCTTTGGACGACTTGGAGAGAATATCGCTCCCGTCGACAGGGTCGACAGCCTTGCCACCAGCGCACTCCACAATGAGAGCCAACGGAAAGAGTTCGTAGAGGCGGCGCAGCTTGGCCTTGCTGGCCGCAGTGACGGGCGAGACGTATAAGCCGTGACTCTTGACGAGGGCATGGACAACGTCGGGCACGAGGCCACCGCTGTATCGCAGCGTGTACTTGTTGGAGATGTAGTGGTTGACCAGCGCGGCGTACTTGCTGTCTTCGGCGGCCGCACGTAGGTTGGCTGGAGCAAAGTAACGCGTCTTGAAGGGCGGTGATGCCTGGAGGCGCACGCTTTCTCGAATCACCTGGCAGTCCTGAACGCCTTGCTCGCCCACACCAACCTCGATACAGACTCCCTCTGCTCCTGGCACCCGCAGTGCAATGATGGCTGTCGTACGAGGACCGTATACGCCTAATACGGCCGCGACTTGTCGAGTTGCTGGCGCCTGGTGCAGAGCACTTAGACCCTCCCAGATGCCGATAATGGTGCCAACGGACCAATTGGGGGCAATGATGGAGCTTCCGTCCAGGGGGTCAAAGGCAAAGGTGTACTGCTCGCCGGCAGAAGCGGCAGTGGCATCCTCGCCCTCACGGGTTGATCGCTCAACTGGCTCCTCCTCGCTGCTCGCGGTGACGACGGCGGGGCACTTGGCCGCGGCCGCACGGACAATGTTCTCGGCCGCGACATCGACGTTGAGCTGGTCATCACCAAAGGCGTTGGCGCTGCCGGCCAGCGCGACCTGGTGCGAGGACCGCAGCGACTTTGCAATGGCGGCAATGCCGTCCACAATGGCGGGCAGCACCGAGGAACATAATGCCTCGTATGAGCCCGCTGGAACCTTGGACCGGAGAAGGGACTCTAGGCCCGCTGGTGGAGAAGTGCCTGACATTTTTTTAATTGCCGCAACTCGGTTTGGAGCGTACTTGAACAAAGAGTATAAGCAGCGAAGTTGACAATGTTAGTCTTGTCAAAGGTGAATGGATTTTATTTTATTTCCAAGTGTCTGCCGTCTTTTGAGCCAATGATGAAAGAGGGAAGAGCTGCATTTGGCAATCCAACTAGTGAGGGTCCAGGGCTGAGAAATGACGTTACTCGACGCTATTTAAATTGGGTACAAAGGACGACGATCTTGTGGTATTTTTGTGTACACTTTTACCAAGTTTCATGAATAAATCAATTTCACTTCTGCCAAGTACAAGTTTCAATAGGAATGTCGTTTACGTGTCATATCAAGTGTTGTAACATGTTGACTTCTTACCATTCTCGTGCTGCCGTTAAGCCAGCAGCAGTCATTAATCATAGGTCAACAAAAGTTGGATTATTCTTCCCAGTTGACAGAAGGTGCCAGAGATATGAACGTCAAAGTGAAGAATGCCTTCCTCTTGTAGTATAGGTGCCGTTCTTGACTTGAAGTGTCGTTTGTGTTAATCGCAGTTTCTCCATAGGTACCTTCTCACTGGACACAGACTCCATTTTCAACCTTGGGCAGTGAACCGAGCAACAACTGATCTTCAAGCTGCACCTCCATGATTCTTGGATACTTTTATATTCAAGCTTTGCAAATTATCTCCTTATCGGAGAGATCACTGCCCCTCTAGTCAATATTTATTCAGACAAGCCCACTACAACGCTCCGACACAACTAGTAAATAATGTTTCATCGGGACAACATCGATGCCAGCCCCCTCGAGTCACTCCCCGTGGAGCTATTGTTGATGATAGTGTACGAATTCAACAACCCGCGCGATATTTTTTCCTTGATGAGATCATCTCGCCGGCTACATGTCGTCTACCGGGCGCACATGCCCGAGTTTGTCAAACACTTCATGATCCTCTTGGTCGGCGAAGACCTCTACAAGATTGGTATAATGGCAGTGGAATCACGCTACGTGCTTCCAGGGAATCACGAGAGCCTTGCAGCATTCTTTCAAAACCACGTCCACCACCGAGACCTCGACAGGAGTATGTACACATGGGCCATTTATCGCGAACTAAAGTCCTTGAACAAGAAGGTTGTCAAACTAAAAGGACGCGCCCAGCATTGGATACCCATCTACTTGGGTTTCTTTGGCCTTGGTGGAATTGAAGTCGAGGAAGAATCGCTGACCGAGCACAATCGAAAATTGAGAGGCTACTACATGGTGGGAACGGCACGAAACCTATTCAACATCCCCAGCATGAGAGATCGCAGCGAGCTTGATGCCTTGGGACTAGGCCCCTGGATCGAGAGGTTCTAGGGAAACTTTTCGCCCGGAGAGAGAAAAGTGGCGACATGCGGCGTGGCGCTTTGGCTTCACTTGAATTGTTTCGAGTACGTGTTTAAAGATGCAAATCTGCTGTGCGACAGAATTTGGGCCGCCAGAGGACCACCAGATGCAGACTTCATTGCCCACACAAGCTCAATTGGATTGGAGGCCTTGTGGCAATTCAGAGACGGAAAGGGCAGATTCCCGTGGGTTGCGCATCATCGTGACAGGAAAGCATTATATCCACATGCTCCTGCTTGGCCAGGGTTGGGTCCTCCGGAGATGAACAGCCGGGACACTGAGCCTTACTTTTCAGACGATACAAGTTCCATGAATGAGCTCACGCATTCTTGGACAAGTGAGGAATGGATTTCATTCTTTGGGCTGTCAGAAACTCGTGACATAGTCCACCCTCGACTGTTTGAAATGGTTGGCTCCATCCTGGACGAGGAAAAATTGAACGACCTACGCATAATGCAATCCCAGACACCTGGTAGTTGGTTCCCCCTTTGGCATTCGGTTTCAACCATATATAAACTCATGGAATAAATAGGCCATGGAAAAGGAGCATCCCACGATGATGGCAAACAATTTCTTTTCATTCAGCTATCGTATTGAAAATTATACTTTAAGTTCAATAAAACCTCTCGCCTATTGGAACTGAGGACAAGCTACGTGCACTCGACGTTGCCAATTCTATTGAACACAAAGAATCGCCAATGCAACCATGAACAAGCCGGTTGACAAAACGAATCATTTTTCAGATGCCTCTTGTACCCATGAGCCCAAGTAGGTTAACCACCTTGGGGCAAAAAAAGCCAAGGAAGTAGCAAAAATATTGAATTGTCGCTTCTGTGGATCGAACACAGTGCCTCCAGATATCGTTCCTGAAGTTTGGAGCTTCAGTCTGGCGCTCTCCCAAGTGAGCTAAAGCGACTTTTTCTAGTCAGGTTGATTGTGGACGATTGCACCCGAAGTTGGTCGTCTCGCGGTTCCAAACCACAAACTGCAAGATGCTGGTTGTGGTGAACTGATACCGCTGAGATTGAAAGCCTTGAGATGCAAGTGAACACTTCCTGATTGATGAATATCGACGTCTTTAATTGGTCCCATGTAGACAGCTGTCTTTAGCTCTCCATAGTCGTGCAATGATTTTTCGTCTCGTAACCTACCGGCCTGAGTCCGAGATGGAAAATTGGTCATTGTGAAATGGCTTTGTCAGAATGGGGGCGGAGTCGAGTCTTGAGAGGGGAAAACGCCGTGGAAGTCCACGGCGCCGGATCGCCGCTCAAAATGGTTTAGCTCACAGTGGGATGTGGGGACTTTGCATACACGGACAAGTCGTCGCAACTCCACGGACATGTGATGACTGATGTTGTACGACAAGAACACTGCCGTTATCTGACAAAATTGCTTTTTCGGGACGCTTCATGGTCAAAGGGTGGAATTTGAAATCAAGTTCTAGAACGCGCATCAATCGACATGATGGACCTGTATATAAGCTCCAGGTTGACTTTGGATAAGATGACTTGATGCCAGAGTCCAACAATCATATATGAATATCATCATCATTGAACAACCTAACTTTTGAATTACCTATAAATTTGAATTAAAACTTGCAATAAATAATGTCTTCAGTCGAGTCCAACCGCGCAGCCTGGCTTGTGGGCGAGGGCGTTAACCCCCTCGAGGTCCGACCGGGACCTGACCAGACCAAGCCAGAGGCAGGCGAAGTTATTATCAAAGTAGCAGCAGTTGCCATCAACCCATCCGAGCCGATTGTGCAAGACAAGCCTGTGATACCTCTGGCCTACCCACACGTTCTGGGCAGCGACATTGCCGGCACCGTCGCCAAGGTCGGCTCAGGCGTCACCCGCTTCCAGGTTGGCGATCGCGTCATTGGGCACTGTCTGGGTCTCGTGCACGGCGGCGCCCGGCATGGAGGTTTCCAGGAGTACACCGCCTGTCTCGAGGCCGGCGTGGCAAAGATCCCCGACAGCCTGTCGTTTGAGCAAGCCGCTGTGCTGCCCCTCAGCATCTCGACGAGCTCCGTTGCGCTGTACGAGCACCTGAAGCTGCGCGAGCCCGCCGTTGAGCTCGGCGGACAGAAAACGGGCAATGAAGCCGTGCTCATCTGGGGCGGCGCCACGTCGATTGGGTGCTCGGCCATCCAGCTCGCCGTTGCCTCGGGCTACAAGGTCGTGACCACGGCCAGCACCAAGAACCACGGCTTTGTGCGGTCACTAGTCGCAACCGGCGCCGAGGACGTGACCGTCTTTGACTATGCCGACGCCGATATCACGACCAGGATTATTTCCCACTTCAAGGACGCCGGACTGGCGTTTGCCGGCGCGTACGACTGCATCAGCAAACCAGATACGGTGCGCGTGTGCGCCGACGTGGCGGCCACATTTGGCTCCAAGCTCGTATCTGTCGTCTTGTTTGGCGTCGAGAGCCCCCGTCCAGATGTCGAGGTGCCCACCGTGTGGTCCACCAATGCCGTGCTGACCCCCGAGGGCAGCGGGCGCGTCTGGGAAAAGTTCGTGCCCGGGGCGCTGATCAGCGGGACGCTCAAGGCCAAGCCGGAGCCGCAGGTTGTGGGTAAAGGTCTGGGGCAGATTCAGGATGCGATGAATACGTATAAAAAGGGCGTCAGTGCGACGAAGATTGTTGTCACTTTGTGATTTGGAGGATGCATTATTGGGATGAACGTTTTGCTATAGACACTTTTTGAATTGATTCAGTTTAACAATGGGAGCGTCTGCGGCAGAAAGCAGTGAATACAATGACTGCGAAACAGCTGCAATTGCGTCTTTACCTAGAAATCTCTTCATCGACTTGTTGATCTAAAGTGACGAATTGGACTGTTGATGGAATAAGGTGTTTCGGACCCTATACAAATGTCATGAGACCATTGCACAATGCCGCAGAGTTCATCATTTTGTCACCATCATGAAGGTTTTTGGTGATGCGTCGACGAGTATGAAGAATAGGTCAGGCGCACGCTGACTTGACTCGGCTGCAGGGGGACGCGATGAACCTCGGCTGAAATAGTGGATCGAGACTCAGACCCTTTGTCGCGTGCTAATCTTTAAGATTGGCCATGCAAATGCAAATGCCGTCTTGGGTTTGGGATAGGACGGAAGCCCTTTATTTCTCCAAGTTTTCTCCAAGAAAATAAATGACATCAGTTCTCCAAAAGCTGGGGAATCTGGGGGGAGGGACCGAACAGCCAGGGCGTCAATCACATGCTTAAAGTTCCCGTCTAACGTAACAAATCGAACCCTTCAGAAAATGGACCGAACACATGACACGACTCGAGCCATAACCCGAGCGAGTTTCGTTACGGGGATTGGAGACCAGCAAGCACAAGGTCCCACCTCATTCACAGCCCGTCCGTCTCCCCCACAAACAGTGGAATGGATACCCCCGGGGAAAGACTCCAGGCTTGCCAGGTGCGCTAATGTAAGCACGGCGTCCTAGGCGGATGCTAGTGGTGATCCTCGCTGTAGGAATGCGCTGTAGAGCCACTTTATCGTTGCCAATTCGGCGCCGCTGACTGGTGCTTCTCTTTGGTAGTATCCCTAATCTTTCGGTGCTCTGACGACGGGTCAACGAGCCACAAGCCCACACCCCAGCACTGGCACTGGACTGGACTGGAGCTCTTCTCTCACATGTGATTCTAAAATGATGCCGACCTAACGAGCTCGGGTCAGCTCTTCTTTTTTAAGAATGCCATGACATCCGGCATTTCTGGCCCTTTTTCATTGTGGATTTGTATTTCTCTGACCTTTGTTGAACTAAACTTCTTCTTCTCGATACCATTTCTTCTTATTCTTGTGCATACATCCAACCATTATTATACATACATAGATTGGATACCGGCGAAACCATGTCCCAGACTTTCAAGGCCAGCGACGTTGCGTCGCATAACAAGCCGGACTCGTTGTACATTATTGTTGACGAGGACGTCTACGATGTCACCAAGTTCCAAGATGAGCACCCTGGTATGTATATGCATCAATGTCAGCATATACTAATCTACATTCCAAAATTGCTAACAACACATCTTCTCTCCTACCAGGCGGCAAAAAGATCCTGCAAAAAGTCGGCGGCAAAGATGCCTCCAAGCAGTTCTGGAAGTACCACAACGAGGCTATCCTAAAGAAGTACAAGTCTTCGCTGCAGGTCGGCTCGCTCGACACGAAAAAGAAGGTTGAGGAACCTGCCAAGCCAGATCCCGCTGTTGCAGCACCCAAAGCTACACCCGCCGCATCCAAGGCTGTTGCAAATGCCAACCAGGAAGAAACCGAGGCCCTGGAACCTTATGGCGACCAGATCCCCTTTGCAGACCCCAGCTGGTACCAAAACGTACGTCTTATACAAACCGCTTTCACATGCAAGAAGCTTTGTATTTATATATATTGACTTGGCACAACAGTATCACTCTCCCTACTTCAACGAGTCGCACGCTGCCCTGCGAGCCGAGATCCGCGAATGGATCGAGACCGCCATCGAGCCCAATGTCACAGAATGGGACGAGAAGAAGGAGGTGCCACGGGAGATCTTCCTCGAGATGGGTCGCCGTGGCTACCTTGCCGGTCTTCTGGGCGTGCACTACCCCGTCGAGTACACCAAGAACTCGGTCAAGGCCGTGCCACCGGAGCAGTGGGATCTCTTCCACGAGATGATTGTCACAGATGAACTGTCCCGCGTAGGCAGCGGCGGTTTCGTCTGGAACATGATTGGTGGCTACGGCATTGGTGGCCCGCCCTTGATCAAGTTTGGCAAGAAGGCGCTCAAGGACCGCATCATGCCCGGCATCCTTTCGGGTGAGAAGCGGATATGTCTTGCCATTACCGAGCCCGACGCCGGCTCTGACGTTGCCAACTTGGGCTGCGAGGCCAAGCTCAGCGAGGACGGCAAGCACTACATTGTCAATGGCGAGAAGAAGTGGATCACCAACGGTATCTGGTGTGACTACTTCACCACGGCTGTGCGCACCTCGGACAAGGGCATGAACGGCGTGACCCTGCTCCTCATTGAGCGCGACTTTGGCGGTGTCAGCACGCGCCGCATGGACTGCCAGGGTGTCTGGTCGTCGGGTACGACCTACATCACCTTTGAGGACGTCAAGGTCCCCGTCGAGAACGTGCTCGGCAAGGAGAACCAGGGCTTCAAGGTCATCATGACCAACTTCAACCACGAGCGCATGGGTATCATCATCCAATGCCTGCGCTTCAGCCGTGTCTGCTACGAGGAGTCGGTCAAGTACGCCAACAAGCGCCGCACCTTTGGCAAGAAGCTCATTGACCACCCCGTCATCCGCATGAAGCTCGCCCACATGGCCCGCCAGATCGAGGCCTCGTACAACTGGCTCGAGAACCTCATCTTCCAGTGCCAGAAGATGGGCGAGACCGAGGCCATGCTGCGCCTCGGTGGACCCATTGCCGGCCTCAAGGCCCAATCCACCCTCACCTTTGAATTCTGCGCCCGTGAGGCCAGTCAAATCTTTGGTGGTCTCTCGTACTCGAGAGGTGGCCAGGGCGGCAAGGTCGAGAGACTGTACCGTGATGTGCGCGCTTACGCCATCCCCGGCGGTAGCGAGGAGATCATGCTCGACCTCAGCATGAGACAGAGCTTGAGGGTAGCCAAGATGACGGGCATGAAGTTGTAGGGTCGAGTGGTTTGACGAAGTGATGAATAGGATTACCGATTAAAGAATACCTTCCTGTTATATATTTAGTCTCAAAACTTTCTTTTTGTATTAATCCAGACACATTCATGTCTTGTAATCTGATTACTTCCTTTGTGCCTAGGTAACAAAAGTATGCCACTGAAATTACACAAAACGGTGTGTTTTCGTTTGTCAGGGATGAGAACTCTGAAGTGTCTTAGGTAGAATAAGCTTGACTCCTTGATACATACTGATCCTTTGGTTGCAAGACTTGATGAAGAGGCATTGCTCCGTGATCACCCTTACTATATTGGAATACGATTGGTGGTTCATCAACCCAAAACTATCGTACTGCGGCTAGCAATATTCACACCTAGAATCGCTTCCTTTGAATTTTCTCTTTCCCTTTTCCTCCAGAAGAAATGAAATTAAAAGGAAATATCCGTATCATTATTCAATCTAAATCTGAGAGCAGATCAGACATAAATAAATATGGGACGTTTGGCAGATTGGATAAATTGAACACTCAACCAAACTTCTCGAATTCAATCTTCATTAAGAGAGAGGCAATTGCCCGAACCGTTATGCTTACGATTATCCCGATGGTGAGTAGTGAATCGTGTCGCATAGCATAATCCAGGCTCTCTGAATCTCAATTAATTTCAATATTGTTTTCAGCAATGCTTGAATTACAACACCAAAGGACAAGCATTTTCGATCGATTTCAACTTCGAAGAAGGCACGCTGTTGAAAAGATGTAGATGCGATTATGTAATTCGAAATTCATACGGTACATTTTAAACGCACTTGCCATCTTGGGATGAAAGTGAAGCTTTTGTGAGACAAAATCTGCCTTTTACTCTGCAATTTTAACACTCACCAAAGCGATGCGACACTTCGCCACGTGGGCAGGTGGGAGCATATATAGGCTATTCTTTAGGTACATTACTCTTCACTGCAATTTTAACCCTCACAAAGGCCATGCAACACCTTGCACACAGACAGGTGGGGAGCAGATTGCGATAAGCCTATAAGAATGATCTCTCACAATACAGAAAACAATCCAATTAGACAGCTCATATGTGGCCCATCACAGCCATCGCCTAAATTCCTTTCACTGCAATTTTAACCCTCTTAAAGGGTAGCTTGACCTGCGCTACCTTGGTCGGCATCCAGACTCATATATTCAGGATCATAATGCCTCGCTTATTATTACTTAGCCAGCCGCCACAAATATACGAATTGATGTAGTTTCAACTTCGCAGTTGCATCAACGTTCAATGTGCACAAGTACAACCAATGTGGTAAACGATTCACCGCTCGATACGACTGCGTTAGGGCATATTTCAAAGTTGATATTCCAACCCCCCCAAGGCTTTTCAACTCTCTTCATTATAGGCGATCTTATTGTCTAGCATGTCATGTCTTGAACTCAGGATCTTTAGGATCTTGCACGCCCCTAGCACAGGTGTTCTTATTAGGAGTTGACATTAAAAGCTCGTCCGATTATAGCCCGTCTAGAAATACACTCTTCTTCCAAAAAGACGTCTCCATTACATCTTAATGTCGAAACTAGTACCGCAACCACAGCTACTCGACGCCGCAGGGTTATCCACAATCTTGAACTGGCTACCAATGAGCTCCATGGTAAAGTCGAGCTTGGAGCCCTTTAGCAAGTCCAGACTGGGGACATCAAGCACAATCTTGGGCGCCGTAGCCAGGGCCTCCTCACTCCCTTCTTCCACCGGTGCGTCGTCTTTGGCAAAGGCAAAAATGGTATCATCCTCGGTGAGTTCTTGTTGCAGAGAGTCGGTACTCGTGGTAGTCGTCGTCGAAGGCGCCATTTCGGCTTCGGCCTCGGGGGACGGCTCGTCGGGTATCGAGGCTTCGGACGAAGGGGCCAGCGACTGTGGTAACGTTACCAGACCCATTCGGTACTGGAAGCCGTGGCAGCCGCCGGATTCTACTTGTATGCGCAGGGCGAGATATGGGTTCTCATCTTTTTCCATGATTTTCGTGAGGCGCTGTTGAAAAATACTTGTAAGAAACGAGTGTTGTGATTCCAAGTAGACCAGAGAAACCTTACCTGAGCTGCACGCGGCGTGATCTCCAGCATCATTTCCTTGCCCTCCTCGTCCACCTGTGGATTACGAATCGCCTGGGTCCTCCGCCGGGAGCTCGTACTGCTAAAGGCGCGCCGGGCAAAGGACCGCGACGAAGCACTTTCGAGTGAGGCATGGTGTCGGACGGCACGGTGGTGAACGGAAGGGTTGCTGCTCCTGGGGTGTTGTACAGTTGTGACTGTTCGGAGATGTCGGATCTGCTGCTGTCGTGGGAGGAAGACCTCGAGAATGGAGGAGCTTTGGCGGGCGCCGGCAGAGAGCTGCACAAACAGCCTGGCGGCCGAGGGAGGGTTTATACAGCGAGGCGGCATCTTGAGGAATGTGGACTGGGTTGTTGTGTTTTATTCAGGTTTGTGTCGGCGAAAGATGGTGAGAGCGCGCGCGCGTAAAAGGGTTCGTGAGTGACTGATGAGAAGCTGTTGCGAAAATCGGGTTGGTAATGTGTAATGTTTAGCCGGCAGCTTATTATGCCTGCACCACTGTTGGTTGGCCGTCGCCGAGCTCCAGGGAATAAAGCGGGGACCGGAATGCCGAGCTTGAGAGAAATCGAGACCCATCTCGTGGGGAAAGATACTTTGGTTTTATACTCGACGAGTCATTGTCTTGACTTGCTGTATTCCATATATCCTACATATCAATAAATCATAGATATAGTGATTGGATTTTATGTCTATTTCATGCCCCAAATCTCTAGCTTTGTGTGTAAGCATCCCCTATTACTCACATGGCAACCAGAACGACATACGCCACGTCGGAAAAGTACATGGCCCTACAACATGGAAAAGTCTTTGCACGAGCCAGGCAGAGGCAGGCAACACGACTCTCACTTTTAATCGTAGTGGCTTTACTACTAATAATTTGTTCGAATTTTCCCTTGTTCCATTATTAAAATCAAAATAGGGGAATCTTTATGCCGCAATCAATCGACACCGGAACGCCGTATGAAAGAATAACCGTAGCCCGCCAAACAACTTGAGAGCAAGATTCAAGTTCACAAAAACTTGCTCTTGAGACCGCCAAAAATCATATTTCTCTTCTGTTGTCCCACCCACTTGGAGGCATCCTCGGCCCATCGCTGACTGGTATCTGCTGCATTTTCCAATGCGTCACCAGTGAGGTTCAGCTTCTCCGTTCGTTCATTGAGTGACCTGGTCAGGTATTCACCCCATCCTTCTGCTCGCCTGGCATCAGCGTAGACCGGATTCATCTGTCCAGATGCGCCACCCTGCTGCTCTGCGGCTGTAGCAGCAATCATGCGCTTGCTAGGTGGCCTATCTGGACCTCCAATGAGCAAATCAAGGTCGGTAGGTGTTATGTACTGCGTGCCCGATAGCCACTGGACGTTGGAGATTGTAGGGCGCGCCGGAATCCGCAGTCCTGGGTTGATCAGAATATCTGCCGTGTTTGAAATTTCTTGACCGGCACCCCACACGTTCAATATGGCAAGTTCCGACGGGCCCGTCCAACAGAAAACGTTGCCATCTTCGTCGACAATGGTGTCGGTGCTGCGGCTGCCATCCATCATCTTGAGTGGTGCACTTCCAATCTCCTTCAAGCCTGGAAGCGAAAAGGCCCGAGTCATGCGATCACCAAACACACCCACCAAGGCCATGCCATGCAGATCGAGTTCAACAACAGACGCCGCATCGCACAGGTAGTCGTCAAATGATTTGGAAGCACCCTTGGCGGACGCGGGCTTGAAGATGCGAGCTTCGGTTTGGGTCACTATTTAGATGGGAAATTAAGTTAGCATCAAGTAGGTTTTGGCTAGGCATTTCAAGGGACAACATACCGACAACAAGCAATCCATTGACCTGCTTGCCCTCCCGCAGCCCAGCAACCGCATGACCAGTGGCGTACGCTGGCTTGCCAGTATCTGCCACGATTGGGCAGATGGCTACGACCTTGTCGCTCAGATGGGTCACTCCGGCGACCTTGGCAGTGTATCCATTGCCTGCCGGGAGGAGGGTAAATGTAATGACCCGCCCTTGGTTCGTACCGACAAAGCAGCAGATGCTGGAGAATTTGTCATTTTCCAGGGTCATGACACCAAATTGGATGACTGCTGGCCATTCCTTGGCACCTGCTGGGCCCTTGTCGCCCCTCAGAAAAGACGATCGCTTGTCTTGTTTGGCAAACTCTGCCATGGACACCTGTAAGATGACTGTAGGACCTCGCATATCAATGATGCTAAAGAAGCCATTCTCTGAGCCCACACCAATGAAGCCGACATCGGCAACTTTGACGACGGTTATGGGCCCCTGCATCATTTCATACAGCGAGTATGGCTGAAGACCTTGCTTCAGCGAGGGCTCTGCTCGGGAGCTGATATCTGTGAGGCCACCAGGGTTCGGGTCCAAGTGCTGTGTCTGATTTTTTCCATAGAACCGGTTACCATCCCATCGATATATAACCACTTCGCCACCGCTCGTGCCCACTGCAAACTCTCCAGTGTTGGAAGCCATGCTCATCGACGTGATGTTAATGTCGTCAAAGCGATTCAAGGAGCGGGCAATGTCCACCTGCAGCTGAGTGGGATTCTCGATTTCGTCGCCATGTCCAACGTCCCAGATGCGAATTGTGCCGTCAGCGTGAGCTACCTGAATGATGCTTCTTCCAACAAACTTGCGGTGCGGCAATGGTGCCTCTTTGCCTCCCTTCAACAGAAGCTCGCCTTGGTTGCGAGTTTCAATCATGCCCAACCACCTGGAGCGCTCCAGGGTTGTAACGGTAAACTTGACTGCAAAAGGATGCACAAATGACAGTGAGGGATGGAGCTGGTTCGTTGGCGAAATGGGGTATCCACTGGGGAAACTCAGAGTGAGCAGTTCGCCAGATGACAGGAGGGTCATGACAGCAATCGGGTCTTGCGCGCCAGCAAAATGAGGCGAGTATCGTGGCATCAAGTAGAAGTCGACAATCTCGGCACCAGACGGCGTCTCGAGGACATTTTGGCGTTTGCCTCTGCCGTAGTCGGCCAGGGCTTGCCAAGAGGATGTCTGATAATTGGGCGTGACACCGAGGTCGATGAACAATAACGCGTTCGCCGGCTGATCCAATGTCTGACCACCGGCAATCAGAAGTCCAGAATCCTCGGGGTTCTCTTTGCAGCACCAGGCGATGCGGACATACGGGTGCTTCGCACTTGAATTTCCAGAGTTTGGAACCGGCTTGTCAACATTGAAATCGTACAATGTTCGGGCCATGACAACTCTACCATCCTTGGCATCCCAAAACACGAGACTCCCATCCTCGTGAGCCGTAAGTATAAAGGTGCCAGTTGGATGCCAGACAGCGTGGGTGACCTTGGGCTTCCTCATGGAATCGACAGCAATGGTGTTGCCTCCAGGAGCTCCCGGCGGGACCTGATATTCAAAGAACTGGGTCGCCTTGTTCTGCTTGAAGGAGTAGAGGGCGATGCCATGGGTATATGCAATCATGAGCTTGCCAATATCCCGGGGGTGCAGCTGCATCGACACCAAACCAACAGCCCTGGCCTTGGAGTCATACTGAGGCCAGAAGTTGGGAAGCTTCAGGGGCGAGAGCCGTTCCCGGTCCAAATCATATGCGACTATCTCGCCGCTCGCAGTTCCCAAGAAGCACCAGTCCAGCATGGGATCGGTGACCATGGAAGTAATGACGCCCGGTGCATGGAAGCCCGTGATTCGCGACCCGGTGTCGAGGTTCCATATTATGATTTCGTTCTTGGTGTCGAGACTGATGAGCCGGTTGGCGCAGAATTGTAGGTCGGCAAAAGAGCAGGGCCGCGGTGGCACGAGGAACTTGTGTACTCGACTCTGGCCAAATACCTCGATACGGCCGGTTCCGAATTTCGACTGCTTGGTTCCGACTGCAATGAGAGATTGAACCGGTTCGTATGCGATACAACTACAGGTTTGCCAAGGTCAGTCATCCAACGAGCGTGCGCTCACCAAGTCTCACAACACGGTATGGTCGACACGAACCTGATCTGAGAGTTAATTCCGTAGCGAAAGCGATCGTCGGGCGCAAAGAGCTCTGGCAGGATGGCGGCCGACAAGTCATTTGACATGCCCGCCTGCTTGCCTCTTAGAAAGCTCGACATGTTGAGGTGATGTGAGAGGGCTGTTGTATGTAGACGGGAAGCTGGGAATGGATACAGACAGACATTCGCCGACCTGTGGTGGTTCTCCCTGGCCGTCGGTCGGATCGAGTTCAGTCGGGGATTCTGAATCAACAATACAACCGCCTTGCGTGTTTAGGCCACGCAAGCTCCGCTGTTTTGTTTGTTAGCTTTGAGGACCCTGAAATGATTGGGACCTGGGACCTTCATCAGCCCTTCAACTTTCCCGTCTCTCAAGTGGAGGGGTTAAGGTACATGGACTGACTGACTGCTTCTGCGCTTGAACGGCACCAAAACTGGAGCAAGTTTTGGAGGGGCGCGACGTCATTGGCAATAGCCAAGGGGGGCTTGGCTGGGCACTGTGCCGCTACAACCGGCAAAGCAAAACCAACCATAGCATAAGGGCTGGAGGGCACCATGTCTGCTATTCCGCCTCACTTAGGTACATTAAGGTACATACTAAAAATCCTTAAGCACTGCTATTTATAGGACCATCTCTACATCAAGTACCGACAATTGCGACCACATTCTTGGTCGGATTCTCCTAGGGCTTGTTGACATCGTCGGGTTTTTTCATAACGTGGAAAGCGTTGTCCTATCAAGTCACAATTGATTTCAATTTACATATCCGTGGCAGTACAATTCGCTCCTAAATCCTGACATTATTTTCCTCTTGCTCTCCCGACTTAAGTTTTCCCTCAGACTAGATGTCGAGTCTAGAAAAGTCTTGTGCCAATCGAACAAGCAAGTCATCATCCGCCTCCGAGTCAATGTCAAACGATTCAGCACAGTCCTCCTTGTGATTGTCCTGTCTGTCAATGATGTGCTCTCCGGCAGGCGCATCACATTCGAAGCAGAACGTTGTGCAGGCTGCTTCTCTTTCAAGACTGAATGGATGGCCGTTGGCACATACATGCCAATACCCAGTCTTTTGAAACTCTTGACCAGACTGTTTCCATCTCGCACGTTTCGTTGAGCTGGATACAATGTGCCCAAATTTTGAGCTGGATAGCTCGCCTTGCACTGCTTCAACATCTTCAAGCAGATACGAGAGGCTCTCGTGTTTCAATACGAGGTCACGCGCTTCCTGTAGATGCCTCTCGGCCACTGCCGTGTCCTCTAATCCATTGGCGTGCTTGAGGGCACCAGAAACCTCCCTCGCGATGGTGATCATTTTTGCAATCAGAACATGAGCCTCCACCTCGTGTCGAGGGTAGCATGATTGACGTGCAGTCGATACCACGAACTGGCACAAAAAGCGAAACTCATCAAGATTGATCGAGACGGTTGGCTTCTGCCCTTTCGTCTGGCGTCTGAAGCTCAGGAAATCCGCTAGTAAAACAACATTGCATCGGATCAAAAGTACAACTGCACTCAGCATGCTCTGGAGTCTGAGGCAGCAATCAGCCTGCCCGAATTTTGCACTGCGCTCTTGACTTTTGCCATTGGAAATCAAGTTGTCAAACCGTTTCTCTTCTGCTGTCATCTCACGCAGGAAATTATTCATCTGCAGCATCAGAGAGACTGCCGAGATGTAACGCCCCACGATCGCGTCGTGCACAGTCTGAATCATCTTGAATGGCTGGCCATCAATGACTAATCGGTTGTCTTTGCTTGCTATGTGCGCAACCTGGTTCACCGAAACTGCATGAAGCAGAGACTTGTGCAGTGCATCTTGCTCGTCAAGCAATGCCAGCTCTAGAGCGACCAAGCGTCTGTGAGATGTACTGATGAAAGCGATCAATGATTCGCAGATACCGCTGTCAATTTTGGCCAAGTCATCGGCGACATGAAGAGCATTTTCGGTATCAAGATGGTCCGTTCCTCCCACTTGCTGAAATCTATTCTCGGCTGTGGTGATTGACACGCGAGTTTCTGGCTTGAGAACAGCTACAGGCTTCGATGCGTGGTTCTGGCTTGACGCTGGTTTGGTTGTTGGTGAAGGTTCGCGTCGATTTCCGGCGGCGGGGCGCAATGTACTCCCGGCTGACGAAACATGATGCTTTTGATTGCGATGTGAAATTGAATCGCAAGGGCCACATTGTTTCTGAAAGTGGCATGATTGTTTGCATTGATGGCCGCAGGAAAGAATCGCGCCACAAAGAGCCTGGCATTTTGTGGTGTCGTGAACGCCCTTGGTATGGCACGTTTCCATGCAAATATGGCTACATTGCAACGGCCTGCCGCACTTCTCTTTGCAACTCCCATTTATGAAGTGCTGCGCAGTGGACGCGAGAATTGTTCCGCCTTTGTGCCGCGGACATGGCAGTTCAAAGCTCGTGCCCACGTTCCCATCATTCTCCAACGTCTGTAGGACTTTCCACCACATGTCACTATGGACGTAAGTGTCAGAGTTGCCGATGATGATCATGCCATGCTTGGCGCGTGAAAGAAGGACATTGATACGGTTCTCTTGGTCCAAGAAACCACATTTTCCTTGCGGGTTACTCCGCACAAGTGACACAATGATCACGGAGGCTTCTTCTCCTTGGAAGTTGTCAACTGTTGCGACACGAATGCGCGGCTTCCCGAATGCTTTCCCCATGCTCACCATCAAGTTGCGGGTTTCGAGCTCAGCAGCGTCAAGATCATTCATGGTGATGTCATAGGTAAGCCCCAGCTGGGCTTTCAGCATTTGTAGCTGGCCTGCGTATGGAGTGAGTACTGCAATCTCACCACCACCGTAGACATTTTGGCGGTGCAGATGGGCGAGTACGGTCTTGACAACCTCCACCTCGAATCGATTGTGAAACGAAAAGTCTCCAGACCCACCGGACTTCGACTTGTCCTCAAACCTACTATGATGGTAGAAGTACAAGCGCCGCTTGAAACCGGCAAGGGGTGGATAGTCCTTGACGGTTTCTGCGTCCTGCAAGGTCGGGTACAACGTTGAGCGCACAAGATTAGCAATGGACGGGTGCATTCGACGTTGTACGTTTAGCGTGTCAAATGGAATCCTCTTGTCGGAAAACATCAGCGGCTTGACCAACCTCTCGAACAAAGAGATGTCCCAGGACCACGGTTTGCCATCGGGGTTGGCTACCCGAAATGCCCAATTGTCTGCGCGTGGTCTGAGTTGTTGGTGATCACCAATGAGAATTAGATGCTCCAGATTCGGCATGAGCGCAGATAATGTGTGTGCTTCAAGCACTTCGCCTGCCTCTTCACACAGCACCACTTTGCTACCCACGCTGCTGAGCATATCGCGGAACTTGGCGAGTCCGCTTGTTGTAACACCAACGACATCATACTCCCGGAGAATCCTAGCCCTGACATTTGACCAGCCCTTGTCAACAGCTTGGGCACATCTCTCGAATTCCTGGTTGAGTCTCATGATGACATCTTTCAGACCTTCGCGGCCGCCGTGATCGGCCGCGCTGAAGTCCTCCAAGGCTCTGATCACCTGTCCGGCCACTTTTCTGCGGGCCTTGGACCGTTTGCCGTTGGCGACCAATTCATTCTTCAGGGGCTGCGTAGTCTCCATGATCTTGGAGAGTGTCATCTCTCCGACAATGGCTGATTTGCTGAAGGCTCCCAAACGAACAATTCGACGGATGCCTCTTCGATGGTACAGATGCTCCAGCAGCTGGTCCAGAGCATGGTTCGTTTGGCAGATGCAAATGATCGGCCCGAGACCTGCTTTGGATTTATTCGCGAGAAGGATCTTAATGATTGCTTCTCCAGTGAAAGACTTTCCTGTCCCCGGTGGACCCTGGATAAGAGCAAGGCGACGACGCAGGGTGTTCAGAACTGCCGTGGCTTGGCCTTGGTCCAGAGTTGAACGTGCACATAACTGCTCCGTATTAGGCTCGTTTCGAACACAATAAGATAAACTGCTGTCGTTCTTTGTAAGAGACCGCAGGTCCAGCTGAAGATTTGTTGTGTATGCTGGCGGCGCAACGTGCTCATCTGCCCTGCTTTGACCTGCATCGCCCACGAGATATTCGCTCAGAGGCGCATGCCCATCAGCGTACATGGCTTGTAGTGCCATGAGCATTGGCTTGAACGAAGGCAGGAGGACAGATGGAAACTCAACCAAACGTACTCCCTGTACTGCACCACCTGAGAAACTCAAGATGAAATCTATATCGGCGTTTACAGGATTGATGGGATTCAGAACGGCGTACGCATGTGTACTGGATGAGAAGAGGGTTCTTTTTGGATCGTAGTTTCGAGGGCGCTTCTTCTTGTTCTTGTCCTTCTTCTCATGCAATTGGGCAAATGTTCGACATGTCGCTCGAGAAACAAGGCAAAACATGGCGTGAGATTTGCCAATAATGACTACCAGTCGTTCCCAGTCAAGGTTCTGTGTATCTACCCACCATTGTTCCCGATGGGCCGGCGTGCGGCGAGCGGCAACCTCGGTCGGTTGGTCGGTAGAAATGTGCAGCTCAAATCCATCTTGTCTGTCATAGGAGACTCGAAGGCTTCTCAAAGTGTACTCATTTGTTCGCACATGGTTGCCTTCGCTGTACGTAGAAGTGCTGCCTGAACTTTTCTGCAAATATTGCTTGATGACATTACAGATTGGGCCCAACTGATCTTCTCGTAGAAGGCGAAAATGCCTATCAAGCAATCCCCGAAAGCCGCTCACATGCCACGATGATGAGTCGTAAAGTGGGGCATATGGAAGTCTCTTTGCAAGAATCTCACCAACTGTGGGAAGAATGCGGATATCCATGATACTCGCGTGGTCATTGTCGTGTCGTGGTCCGCGAGGAGAGAGTTCGCCCGGAGGATCATAACCAACAAAATCCTGCTGCTGAGCCAGGCCTACAGGATGCGTCTTGGCTTTTTTGCGGGTCTGGAGAATGTGATCCAGAGTTTCCTTGGCACTGCTCAGTCGTTGTAGATTTCCGGGCAAGTTGTCACAGTGACCATGAAGTTCTTGCACTGTTGTGCGCAAAGCAGAAGACAATGAGTCCACCGATGTATCGCTCAGGATTTGCTTGAGAATCTTTGACGAAAGATCAAGGAGGTCCTCGACAATGACCAAATTGGATCCCTCATCCGTCGCGATAAAAATGGAAGTCACGCAACAGACATGTTTGTAAACTGCTTCGATGTAGTTCGAAGTCGAGTTCAAGAGAAAATCGTGAATCGCGCGAAGTGGGCGCTCATGGGCGGTTGTGAAGGCATCGCGATGGGCGATGACCTGGAAGAATGGTTGCAGCAGCAACTGCCAGTGTCGAACCTGTAGTCTGGAAGTCTTTGGGATGGCGTCAATCATCTCCTTGATGCGTTCTAAGCCTTCATCAGAGGCGAGTTTTCGAACGACGTGGAGATGCAGGGAATCCTTCGTCTTGGCTAGCTGCAGAGCTGTTTGAAAAAGTTCCGCCAGCTTTGAGCCAAGAGGTTCAGCAGGGCCTTTTCGCATGAAACTGGGAACTGGAAAGAGTTGATTGAATCGATGAACAGTAAGCTGCAAATCATGATCCTCGGCAACCGATGCTGCTGGAGGAGGGTTGAATGCAGAGCCACCGCTGTGCGGCGATGGCGTCGGCGTCGGCAGCATGATTGCAGGTGTCAATGGTTCAACAAAGAATTGAAGGTATGGCGAAGGACACAAGACATTGTGCCAAAGACTTGGGAACTCGAAGATGGCTTCTTGATGAGTTGCACAAAACACGGTGGTTTAGCAGGAGGGGAGTAGTGTAGAGGAAGGGCCCAGCACAACCAACATTGAAAGGCGGAAAAAGATTTTTTTCTTTTGGTAATTCCCACGGTCTGACTGGGAAGGCGCGCCGGTGGATGGCGATATCGCGTTTGATAGATGTGAAACCAGACTGGAGTAAGTAGTTGCCTGGCTTCGAAGCTCTTGTCATTGTTATTCGCTGCTTGATTATACCAACGGAATAATAGATCCAGCCTGGCAGTCTCTTTCTCTTTCAGTTCTCGCGTTTCACTTGATTAACGACGCGCTGTGGGCCTTACCCATAGAAGGAATGTGTGTTCCTCTCCATTACTCACAGCGCCTTTGGCCTGGCTCAAGCATCGGAGTCCAGTATTGAATGTAGTGGCCGAATTACGCAGATACCAATGAGTACTGTCAGGATGGATGATGGTCGTGACATGCCTGGAATATTTGATACAGCTCGTTCCTTCCTTTTCAGTGCAAACCTTCGTGAACCCCGTAGGATTGATTGATAACCTGAGAATCGCTACCCGATTTCAGGATCATCATGCCGTTGGCTGCCCTTTTCGTGACATGCCCTTATTATTTGCTATTGTCTTTGCAAATAGAATAATTAAAATTTTAATAATGCAAAAGGTAATGAAGTCAGCCATTTTCTTTTTGTCTCTTTCTCTTTTTTCTCTCTTTCTTTTTCTTTTTCTTCTTTTTTTCCTTTTCCGTCTTTACGTGTCTTTTCCCTACTTTTGTCTTTTTTTTCCTTTCTCTTTTTTTATTCCTCATTGAAAAGAAATTAATTAGCTGATACATTAATAAGGTAACTCAGCGGAAGTCAAAGATCGAGCGTTTGGTTCGGCCACATCACGTCGAACCATGAGAAGGGTGCCAGAACCAAATAAACCAAGAACGGGGTTCTTCCACCGGACCGGTGTCCATCAGGACTAGATATGGCAAAGTGTTTTAATGTTCAACTATGCCCCTTGGTTCTAAGTCCCTAGGAACTGTGCGTGAATCCATTCGTCCTTCTCGAGATAATACTGTCAGCAAGGAGCCATGGACCATGTCTCCTTACTCTAATCGGCAAGCCAGCTACAAGGCTTTCCACGGAAAGACATTGGGCCTGACATGATCTGCACTTTTGTTTTGAAGTGTGGTCTTCCAAAATGTAATAAAGAACAAGCATCGATTGCGCATAGTTTTTTTTTTTTTTTTTGTTTTTTTTTTCATTATCAATCATTGATTTCATCCTTTCCCTCGCCCTGGAAAAGTCATTATTCATTGTAGATGTCTTAATCGCAGAGTGTTTCGTAGCTAGCGCAAAGATGTATGGAATATGGCTACCCGGCATCGCGACCCCGCCTTTTGCTAAGCTCCGGGGTCAGCCGGACTTGAAACTATCCGCGGCCAAACCCCGAGCCGGGGCGGGATTAGGTTGCTGATCTCAAATATGAATATTTATAAAAGAATACTGCTTTCTTGTCTTCATGATCCAAGTCTGAAACGACGTCTCCACTAACTACAGCTGGCTGAATAGTTAAAATCTATAACCATGGCTTTAAACACCACCCGTAAGTTGTCCCATTGGCATCCTTTGCCTGTCGAACAAAAAGCTAACATGAATGAAAGCACCCAAACGCTTCGGGATCCTCTTGTATCCTGGGTTCGAAGCTCTCGACGCCTTTGGCCCTATGGAGGTCGTCAATGACCTGTCCCGCGAGCATGACATCACCTTGTCCGTCATTGCCGCATCCAGGGACCCGGTCTCGACCTTGTGGAAGGGTGTGCACAAGGTTGGCCAGAGCGTTATGCCCACGCACACCTTTGCCGACGACCCAGAACTCGACGTGCTCTTGATCCCGGGAGGCGTAAGTAACTTCCAGTGTCATTTCTCCCCTTCTCTGGGTTGTCTCATGAGCAAGCATTGCCCAAAATGGTTCTGCAAAAGAGCAGACTTGGACAAACTGCTCAAAAGAGCTGCTTCCAGCTCATTTATCTACCCGAACAGGCGATTGCTAACACATGTTGTTGCAGTGGGGCGGGTTCGAGTCGGATGCGGCCACGCGCGACTACATCCGCCAGGTGGTGCCCAAGCTGGGCAGCAGCCTCATCACCGTCTGCAACGGCTCTGCGCTGGTGGCGCAGACGGGCATCCTCGACGGCAAGACGGCCACGACCAACAAGGCCTACTGGAAGGAGTGTACCGCGAGCGGGCCCAAGACGAGCTGGGTTGCCAAGGCGAGATGGGTCCGCGACGGCAACATTTGGACTTCGTCGGGCGTCAGTGCCGGTATCGACGTGACGCTGGCCTTTGTCGCTACCTATTTCGGCGAGGATGTGGCGACGAGCATTGCGAATAACATGGAATTCAGCCGGGCCCCGTCGTCTACTGATGATCCGTTTGCATCCTTGTACAAGTGTCAGGATGTCCCACCAGTATCTTCGTAGTCTAATTTATGGCAGGCAAAAATGGAGTCGCGATGAAAATGCATGTGGTGGAATCTTTATAATTGATAAAAATGAATTGAATCAAAGAACAGGACGAGAAGGCCGGCTGATGAAATCCCGTGACTAATTCAAATTGACGATAACCAAAGATGGATGCAAAAAGTGTTGCGGATACACTAGCTCAATGTTAGGGAAAGACATTGCGATCATACTCCATAGCCCTATAGAAACCGGCCCCGGATCCATCCTCTGAGCTAACTCTCTGATTGGTCGCAAAACCTTATATGGCTAGACAGAGGGGGCACGGCCGCCGCATCTGCGACCTTTCCGAGGTTTACTCGGGATTTGTTTGGTTGAATTCATGGCTGGGGGTGCCCTGGTGATGCACAGTGTTTCTGTGAAACAAATCCTGCGCAGATCGTCTACCGCTCTAGCGAGGTGTTGTACAGGTGCGGAGAAAGCTTACCCATGGACAAGATCTTGTTTTTTGAATACCAGAATTAAAATTATCTTGCATTAATGTCTATTGAGATTCGCAATCCACATTTCTCGAGATAAGAAAATTGTATAAATAGTTCATTTGGTTGAACTTGAACCCTCACATTGTAAAACATTTGTATTGTCACTTCTTCTCTTCGTCATGGATAAGATTGTCAAAGTCGGCGCTGTTCAGGCTGAGCCAGTATGGCTCGACTTGGAAGGAAGTGTGGATAAGACAATTGCTTTGATCGAGCAAGCCGCCGCTGATGGAGTTCAAGTGCTCGGATTTCCCGAAGTTTGGATCCCTGGATACCCATGGTGAGTAGATCCTCATGTGGAAGTACTGCCAAAGTGCTCATGCTTTAGGCAAAGGCAAATGTGGACGTCGCCAGTCATCAACAATGCCGGCTGGGTACACGAATACATGGGCAACTCAATGGCGCGCGACTCGCCCCAGATGAAGCGAATCCAAGACGCCGTTAAAAAAGCCGGCATGGTAGTTGTCCTTGGGTACAGCGAACGTGATGGTGCCAGCCTTTACATGGGCCAGTCATTCATCTCGCACGAGGGCGAGATCCTGCACCATCGGCGCAAGATCAAGCCGACGCATGTCGAGCGAACCATATGGGGCGACGGCCAGGCCGAGTCCCTGAAGACGGTGGTTGACACCAAGTTTGGCAAGATCGGTGCTCTCAACTGCTGGGAGCATCTCCAGCCGCTGCTCCGCTATCACGAGTACGCACAAGGCGTCCAGATCCATATCGCTAGCTGGCCGGCCGAGTTTGAGATGCCTGATCCCGAAAAGATTGCTTGGCTCTACCATGAGACTGGTGAAGCGAGTTATCGCGCCAGCCAGTTCATGGCCATTGAGGGCTGCACGTTTGTCGCTGTCTCTTCGCAGGTCCTGACTGAGAAGAATTTGGAAAAGAATATGTTGACAGGCAACCCCGTGACCAAGACGGTGAGTTTGAACTCAGGTGACTATGTGCAAATAATATGCTGATCAATCTCTGTCAGCCCGGAGGTGGCTTCTCAATGATCTTTGGGCCGGACGGCAAGCCGCTCTGCGAGCCAATCTCTGACGGGGAGGAGAAGATTATCACGGCCGAGGTCAATCTTCGGGATATCGACAAGCCAAAGGCGTTTATAGATGTTGTTGGCCATTACGCAAGACCTGATTTGCTCAGTCTCTCGGTAAACACTAAGGTTGCCAAGCATGTCAACATCAATGAGTAGCTCTCATCAATGGACTGTTCCTCAGTCTTGTACCCTTCCTCGGCGGAAAATGAGGTGGAGAGTAATCTTGTTTGAAAACATAGAAACCAGCATAAATTCATTTTGAAACTTTCTCACTGCCAAGATCATCTACACAAAAGTGAGATTATAAGCAGGAAATACAGGCTCTGTTATCTCAACTATTTACTCAGGGACATATATAAAACAAGAAGTGAAAATTTACATAGAACTGCCATGACACTCAGAATATTTGTTTGCTCTCTTCATGGCTAGAAGACATTCCTTGCCGGGACACACGGATTTAAGCGTGAACGCGGCGAGCATGGCCTCTCTTCTTGTGCTTTCTCTTCTTGCAGTCGGCGCTCGAGGAAGACGAGGTAGCCGCAGCCTCGACAGTCGCGGTAGCAGTCGTCGAGCTGGTCGTGGCAGAAGTGACAGCGGCACTTGTGGCGACAGACGCGACGGCGGAAGATGTGGCCTTGGATGACGCAACAGTAACGGCAGCAGAAGAAGAAGAAGAGCTCGAGGCCACAGCAGATGAGGTCACAGCAGCTGCGGACGAGGTAACGGCAGCGGCCGATGTGCTCGTGGCTGCAGAGGCAGCCGAAGTTGCGCTGGAGCCAGAATCACCGCCACAGGTGAAGACGGTCTAGAAGTTTGTATGAGTATATCGAGAAATATCATGATTCATGAAAGCGAAGCAACGTACCGGGCCAGGGATGGGGTAGGTGCTCTCAGAAGAGTCCCAGACAATACCCGGGTCAGTGCTCGAGTAGGCACCCGGGAAGCTGACCAAATCGCTCACGGTCGTGGATCCGCTCGAGGTAACTTCCAGCTGGTGGCAACCGGGGTAAATCTGAACACCAGGGTATGTGTTGGCCACAAAGACGGCGATAATCTCGTGGCGGACCAGGTAGTAGCCAGAGGCAAGACACTCGGGAATGGTGTAGGTGTAGCCAGCATTGCCGGCGACCTCGAGAGAGTCGACGGCCCACTCATCTGTAGCCTTGTCGATCAGACCGCTCTCGGCAATCTTGAACCAAACGGCACTAAATTACAAAACATCAGCGACCAATTCAAGGGTGTGGGTTTTTACGGAAGCCAAATATACTTACTCCGAGTAAGGCATGTAATCATTGCAGCCAGTATCAGGGCAGCGAGCCATATAAGTGACAAGCGCGCCAAAGTGCGACTCGGGCCAGAGAGTCCAGAAGAGTGTTACATCTGAACCGGCCTCGGCAGGTGCGTGAAGAGCTGCTGGCGACGATCCGTTGATACCACCATCGGTATAGCCACCACACTGAAGGTCCTGGTATGTTACGTCCTGGACAGGTCCATTGCCTTGGATAGCGCGGGAGATGCGGTCGGGTGTAGGACTCGTGTAGGGATCGGTATAAGGCTGGTAAAACTCGTACGAAGTTCCTCCAATGGTGCCGTTGGTAACGTAGCCATGGCCGGCTGCCAGCTGAACTAGAGCAGCACCAGTGACCGTCGAAAGGATAGAGTTGAAAGTCCTCATCTTGTATGAAAGTTCTATATTCCGGGTCCGAAAGTAGAAAGTGAATGTCTGCTGTTATAAGAATGATACAACAAGTACAGTAAGTGGTACAGAACCGAATGAAAGAGTGGACGACCCGGCGTCGAATATGGTAGTCAACCAGGACTTGGAGAGAAAACGAATGAACAACACAGAGGTCCTCGAAAGAAACGTGAGAAACTGTCAAAAATAATTCCAATCAAGTCGAGAGGAACTCATGCTCTAATAATACTATCTAGTCGCCCACTTGTCATCCCATGTTACGCGGCTCTGCTCTAAGCGATGCCAGGGGCTCTCGGTTGGTACCGAAAAGATTGATTTCTGGGGTCGTAGTGGACACTTGAGCCCCAAGCGAAGTCCTGCTCGATATTACGAGGAAGGATTCACGATCCATGGTTAATGAACATGAAATGTGTATGACCGATGTTGACGAGAGCGGGCGCTAGTCGTCGCGATCCAAAAATTGCAGCGAATTGTGGTATCCTCCATGCCGATGAGTTGTCATGCTTCATTCGGGATTCCATAACACAGTTGAAGAAACCAATGTCTCGCACTTTGGCCAACAACAGGTGAAGATTGACCTGCGCCCTGCGGTATGTGCTTGCGGTGTTGTGTACGCCGAGCCTAATTACGAAGTACAAGCGCCGCGTCTGAAACAAAAGGGGGTGTGTCTGATATAGTAGGGCCCACTACCACCCCGGAAAGATGGAATTGCGCCCAGAATAAGATGCCATGTCAGAGGAGCTTCGCCCTGATTGAACCATACGAAAAGTATACTGTCAAAGAAAAAACCGAGTGCAGAATCCATCGATGGAAGTGCAGATCATAAGGCGAAGATTATAGGATTGGCAAAACAACTTCCCATACTCTGTTTCTCCCACCCATACTCAAGTTGGTGTACCAACAAAGCCAGATGACTATGATCTTGCAGGTATTTTCGAATAGTTCCCAGCAAGGAGTCAAAATAGTGGTCATCAGGCAACATGAAAAGGATCGATTATACATTTGCTCTGATCTCGCCCACTAAGCCAACATTGGGCCCGCAGGCCGCAAACATATGCTGGTGGCTGGCTGGCTAGGAACAGAATTCATTTGCTCCGTCGCCGACCCGAGATTTCCAAGCAGAAACTGCGGGCAAGCCCGGTGCTGGGAGTGGGACTGTGAGAGAAGCCGGTACGACCGACGGGTCACAAATACGAATTCCGGCACATAAGCACCGGGCTGGAGTACTCGTGTGGCAAAGGACTTCTGGAAGGATATATAGGCAGTAGAATATACACGAGCATGCCAAGCCTGCTGACAGCTGTGGCGCGTCTCACAACCACGAGAGTTCGTTTACCCTGCCCGCCGTGTACTTCTGTGCGTCAGGGTGTCTCTTTGAAGCATCTGTGTCTCGTGGCCCATATCCGACTAGGGGCGAATAACCGCGGAGGCAAAAGAATCGGTTTCTTGTCATGATTGCCGCCCATCGGACTTGCAAGTGCGATGTCCATTCGGCGATGAGCTGCCCTACCACTGCTAGCAAGCCCAGACCAGTACAACGGTTTGCAGACAACCCCGGTTACTCAAAATGGGATTCTTTCGGCTAGCCCACCGGCTAATCCTGCGGGAAATCTTCTTGGTGCCGGCCGGAGAAGTCCGGCAGCTGATGGACTTGGCGCCGTCGCGCGTCCCTCGTTTGGTGTCACCATGTTATTGCTCTTTGGCAATTTCGATGCCCAACATTTTCGTTGTTGAATGGTCGATCGCATGTACGGAATAATGCTGCCATTGCACTGGTGAAGATTTTTTTTTTGAATCAATGCAGGCCTAATGGTCCCGGGGTAGCGCACACCGACCCCATGCCATGCGCGCTCGCGGAGCTCCTCTCCCTGGCGACGACACTACCAACGTACATACAACGTACCCTGCCTACCACGGCAAACGATGCGCAAACGATGAAAGCCACATCATCAGAAGATCGACCTTGAAACCTGCTGGTTGGAACGGGGGAGCGAATCAGGAGACAGCGAATATCGCTTGGTCGGCGGTCATCAATCCCCATGGGTTGTGTGTGTCGTCGGAAGGTGTTCGGGAGGACCACACCTAGAAGGACCAGACCTGACCAGACCAGAATTGCTAGCATCAACTTACTTAGCCTTATCGCCCAGCAACCCATCATTGGGAGGGGCAAGCAAAGAGGATGCCGCTGGATGGATGCATGCAGGGGTTGAGAAAGTTGCAGTTTCTGGGGTTTCGATTCGGCAACGCGCCGGGCACCATTCACCGCAACGCCAGCGACTCGCGGCCCCTCTATAGATCTCGAGCCATGACTGGCTACCGACGACGACAGTAGTCATATCAATCATTTCCATCGAGCAATACTGACGAGAGAGATTCAGGGACCGCATAAAGTTATACCGGGCTTGTGAGCAACTTGTGTCTGCCGTCTGGGAGCAGCGTGCCGGGCTTGTCAGTCTAGTCCGGCCAGCGTCGGCTGTGATTGGGTCTGGCGGCCTCAGCAGGTGGGGGACTGTGGGGGGAGGCAGCTTATCGGGGGGAGTCAAGGGGGAGTCGAGGGGAGTCTGCAGGACGCGCTACGACGCTGGGCCCTGCTGATGGCCAGTGCCCAGTCCGCTAGTGACGTAGGTTAACGAAGCACTTTTAGGTACATAGGTGGGATTTTTTGGGAATTACAGTGGGAGGAAAGGTGAAAGTGTGAATCATCGCTAGAATGACTGACGTCGGAATTGATCATTGAAATTGGAGAGTTGACGATGATCTTGGTGCTGATGTGAGTGACGATGGCCTCTCTTTTTCCCCCCCCTTCTTCCCCTCCCTTCTTGACTATGTTGCTGCGGCTGAATGGTGGGTGAGAACCCGGCCGACGGGATTAGAGTTGCTGGACAACCTAGTGTCTCCTCGTACCCGCGGTAGCACATGGCCCCAGAAAGTCATCAGGCTCGTTGGGCCATCATCAAATCGTTAATTTTGATTGATTTGGCATGCCGTCGGTCGTATGAACTGTATTCCTCATGGTGCTATTCCACAGTAGAGTCAGCCCAAAGCGGTGGCTTATCGCAGAAGGGGGGTCCCCTGGCTTTGCGTCTCGTTCTCGGCGAGTCCTTTGTCTGGCCTCGGGTTTACTTTTACCTGCTGCTGTCTTGTCTATGAATGGGACATGCGCGAATGTATCACTTTATTATGGAGTCTCCAATGTACATGCGCGTGGCGTTTCCTTTCGGCGCCCCAACGCCGGCAAACGACAATCTTTAGACGTCTCGAATTAGGGAGATGACAGCGCAGTACCTGACATTTACCTTGCCCACCTTAATGCTGGGTACATGCGTACATAGTGTACCTACTTGCAGAAGCACGATCAAGGATGATGCCCAGCTTGAGCGCGGCTCAGGTCCATGCCAGCGGCCCATTGAATGAATGAAATGTCCCTTGCCAAGTTGCCCTGTGTCCGTCCGCCTGCCACCCACTCTTCCTTTATTTGGTGACTTACAGCTAGAGGTACCTTGAAGTCGCTCTGCTCGTTTGTTCACTGCCTCACCCCACTGACACGAGCCTTTCTCTGGTGTGCCAGGCGTGAGCGATTCGTACCGTAGTAGACAAAAATAACCCACGGTTTACGCCGTCGATCGGACTCGGCCCATTGAATTCAAAAAGAGAGAGCACTGCGCCTTTTTCTTACATAAAAGCGCTTCCTCGCAAAGTTGCATTTCTGCTTCCTTTCCCAAATTCTATTTCGCTTTCTGCGTTGTTTCTTCCCTAGTATACACTTCTTTGTTGCTGGAAGTCCTTTTACCTGCCCCTCTTCAAACAAAAAAAAAACAACCCCTCACAAAAACACCAAAAAAAATCATCACAAACATGGTGAGTCGCCGTGACCCCTCACTGGCGCTGTTCCGTGACGTCGCCCCAAGGAAAACGGCAGGAACGCGTTTGGAAGCAAACCGATTCTAACACGCGCAATGCGAATAGGCTGCCGCTCAGACATCGAATCAGGTTGTCCTGAAGAAGTACCAGGACCTTCCCCAGCAGGGGTCGATCATGGCCGAGTACATCTGGATTGACGCCGAGGGTGGTACTCGTTCCAAGTCCAGAGTAAGATGATTCAAACTTTCACGATTCCCCGGCCTTTCAACAATATGCGCTGACCATTCGTTCCTCAGACTCTCGACTTCAAGGAGGGTGGCTACACCCCTAAGGACCTGCCCGTCTGGAACTTTGACGGTTCCTCCACTGGCCAGGCTCCTGGCGACAACTCTGGTGAGTATAATCGTTCCACAACTGTTTAATTCGGTTCATTGCTAACGTTGCGCAAAGACGTCTACCTGCGCCCCGTCGCCGTCTTCCCTGACCCTTTCCGCCTGCACGACAACATCCTGGTCCTCACCGAGTGCTGGAACGCCGATGGCACACCCAACAAGTTCAACTACCGCCACGAGGTTGGTTCAACTACGACATAATATACAAAAGTTACATTTCGCTAACTAGACTTGAAAACAAGGCTGCTAAGCTCATGGAGACTCACGCCGCTCACAAGCCCTGGTTCGGTCTTGAGCAGGAGTACACCCTGCTTGACCTTCAGGACCGCCCCTTTGGTTGGCCACTCGCTGGTTTTCCGGCCCCACAAGTTAGTACTATTGCCGTTTCATCCCCTTTCGACATTTCTCCGGCATCACTACAGAAAGCTGCATCTTTCTACACCTCAAGGATTATAAACGTCAGATCGCCGCTTGCCCCACGGCAACGACCCAGCACATCCCATTGGGAATTTTGCCTGCAAACTGAAGCCAGTCGAGTTGGAGACGCAAGAATCGGCGCATAAGCCGGTTGTCTATGCCCGGGACTGCGCCGATTCTTGTGTCAACAACTTGCCGGTTTTCTGTTTACTCCCACAAGAAATGCTAGAAATTCCCATAAGCTGTACACAATCAGCATACATATGGAAAGATACCCAGCAGATCAGAGGGCCAACAACAGGTGCAGCTTTGTGCCGATCTCACGTTTATAATCCTTGAGGTGTACACTGATATGGCACTTCATGGGGTAGAGTAAGATGTTCAGAGACGGATGCTGTATTCAAATCCTTCCTCCGGCAGAGGGGCTATTCATCAGTTCTCTGGCCATCAGCTGGGTGGGGCACGAGCTCGCCACGTGATTGGCTAGCCGTGGCCGCCCCGGCCACCCTGGCCACCCCGGCCTTCATGCATTATACACACTCCTAACTTCGCTCCCATATGACCAGGAGAGCAATTACTAACACGATTTGACAGGGTCCCTATTATTGTGGTGTCGGTGCTGGAAAAGGTAAGTTATTTACTGTTTTCTCCGTCTCGACATGTCCTTTTTTGTGGTGGTTGTGGTGGTGGTGAGAAGGGAGGGGGTATATTTTACCCTACTTCGACTCCGATGCGACCCAAAGAGAGCGATTACTAACACATGGCGTTAAAAATAGTTGTCCAGCGTGACATTGTCGAGGCTCACTACAAGGCTGTAAGTTACGATGACTGCAAATATGCGTATGAGGCAAAATAAAGCTGACTCTGACGATATAGTGCCTGTACACTGGTGTAAAGATCTCCGGTACCAACGCCGAGGTCATGCCTGCCCAGTGGGAGTTCCAGGTTGGTCCCTGCGAGGGTATCGAGATGGGTGACCACCTCTGGCTCGCCCGCTTCCTCCTCGCCCGTGTTGCTGAGGACTTTGGCGCCAAGGTCTCCGTTGACCCCAAGCCCATGCCCGGTGACTGGAACGGTGCTGTAAGTACTCAAAACCCCGTGTTTCTCTACTTCTCCATGCTTGACCGCGAAAGTCTTCCTGGGTACTTGTATCCCGATTCTACATGTCATTCCAGGAACGAATTCTACACGATTTCTACAATGTCATGAGAACAATAAAAGGCTAACTATTGCAAGGGTCTGCACTCTAACTTCTCTACCACCGAGATGCGTGAGGAGGGTGGCATGAAGCACATTGAGGCCGCCATCAAGAAGCTCGAGGGTCGCCACATGGAGCACATTGCCGTCTACGGTGAGGGCAACGAGAAGCGTCTGACCGGCAGACACGAGACTGGTGCCATTGACAAGTTCACCTACGGTGTTGCCAACCGTGGCGCCTCCATCCGTATCCCCCGTGAGACTGCTGCCAAGGGCTACGGTTACTTTGAGGACCGCAGGTGAGTACTAGAAGTCCATGACCTTCCCAAGAGTGAGATGCTAACGTAAATCCCGGCCAGACCTGCTAGTAACGCAGACCCCTACCGAATCACCCACATCATCATGGAGACACTGTACGCATAAGTCTATGGCTGAGGGGCCTTTGGATTTGGGGAACTAGGTGTTTGCAACAATGGAATTCAGTATCTAAATTGGGATTGATGACTTCGATACCCGGATGTCTTTCCTGGACGACTTGACGAGCTGTATGGTTGAATCTGGATATACTAGATCAGATCAATACTCTCTACTACAACAGAATGTTGGTAGATTAATGAACAAACTAAAAAATGAGTAAAAAGGATTCTAAACTATCAAGAGCGGTTCTTATCATTGGTCTCTGGTTGCGCTTTGATGTGATTCCGATCAACATTCACGATTCAATTGGGTTGTTGATATTAAACTACTGCTTGTGATTTAATTTGATTCTGATCAACAACATTCATGATTCAATGGTGTTGTTGATATTGGACTGACTCATGGTTGCCCACTATAAGTGTATAGTCGTCGGCTAGTGGGTCCAAGTACCGTTTCCCGCTGCGCGCAGGCCAACGACCGACCAGTAGGCGGCACCCCAAAAAAATTCCCAGTCCAGTTCTTGGTTGATCCCCCAGAGTTTCCCAGACGGGCGAGGGACAGGACCCCTACTTTTGATGCCCAGCCTCCTTCCCCCTTCTTTCGGAGGGTGCTGCTACTGCAAGGTTTTTGGGGGGAGATTTTTGGCTTCAGCTCGGAAACGAATGATATCTTACCAAATGTCATCTCGAGATCAAAACTACCCTTACCCCCCAAGTCCGAATGGCTAATACGCAGACGGGTACTGGTCGGCTCTGGGCTAACTTTTTTTTGCCCAAAAGATAACCGCACCTCCGGTCCCTTTGCCGTTAGCTTATTGGTCCCCACCATTTGGCTGATCCGAGATCGGCGGGTTGGGCGGTTTGGTTTGGGGGGGGTTGCGAGGAGGGTGGGAAAAGCTGAGGACTTTTGATTAACCCCCCAGATGGTCCCTGAAAATCGCAGCAGTATGGATGTACGACATGGGAAGACGGCGCCTGGCACGCATTGCACTACACTAGGTGCGTGCGTTGCCTTGAGTGCGGACATTTTTGTGTGCACAAGCCATTTTGACCTCTGATCCACTTTCTTTGTGATTGTGATCACTGATCGTCACACGTGGTAGACAGGTGGTAGGGCCCAAGGCCTATCTGTGTATCCATTGAACAGGGCAGATCATATGTTTTGTGTGCGCGTCTATGTGTGCATACGTGTGTTGCGGCCGTTTTCCCATGTGGTTCTCTGTCAGCAGCCGCCAATTTGCAGGTTTCCTTTGTTGCTGCTCACCTCAGCCCTTCACCGAGGTGAGTGTTTTGATACTTTGGATACATTACACAAGCAGATATGCCAAGGACTTCGTTGCTGACTCCACACCCACTCCCTAGTATAGTGCTGATACTGGACATAGAGTCCAGGCCTAACCATGGCGTCCATAGCTTGTCAACTTTTATATCAAATGAATATCCACGCTTGCCTTCTACTTGCCATTGAATCTGGGGATCGCTGAGTCGATGTGGTGTACTGCTCAGCCGCTTGCACATGGACTGACTCGTCCTTTCTTTCTATTCTCAGTCCCCAAAGATTTGTGTCTAGCCTCAAGGAGAGCTCCGCCACGATATCCAGTGGATCCTTTGGGTCGGATATATACATATCGAACAATGCTCTGATCGGCTTAGATAAGCCGGAGGTTAGGTTTATTATCCAACCTACTTTCGACTCACTTACCTTGTCATGTTGCCATAACAGAGGCATGAATGATAACTTGTGTTACAGATCACTTGGAAGGGCGATTTAATTGCAAAGCTCGCAGTATTAGATATATCTAACAATGTAATTATTCTTTTTATTTCCATCTTTTCTTATTTCTTTTTTCTTCTTTTTTTTCTCTCCTCTTTTTCTCTCCTCTTTTTCTCTCCTCTTTTTCTTTCCTCTTTTTCTCTTCTTCTTTTTTTTTTTACTCTTTTCCCTTTCCGCATGTTTTATAGTTAATAATAAGGTGACTTTAGCTATTCGCGGCGCAATATAAGGTTTTTTAACAATTTGCCCTTTAGGCAACCGTAAGAATTAGACACGCGCAAAGTAAGTACCTATGCAGAGGAAAGTTCTTTTCCACAAAAGTTGATTTCGTAGAAGCGTATCTAAGGCATAACTTGGCCACAATCTAGAAGAATACTTGCTGGCTGCCGTACGTACCATTGTATCCTCCGAAAATAACCTTGAAAAGATTCTTATACTCATGAAAATGCTTTGATCGTTATCATAATCGTAACCCATGTCTGTTCCAGTCAATTAAAGCCGATGACCAACGGAAACACTGAGCTGCTTCTGACCCTCGAGAGTGCCAAGACTCCAGACTCCTACCAAGTAGATCATGGAAATGAGTAGGAATGTGGCCCTCCAAGGCAAAGAAAACACTCTAGTGGCCTCCATGACCGCCGCCTCCGCCGCCTCCGCCTCCACGGCCGCCGCCACCGAAACCACCACCGCCTCCATGGCCTCCATTGTTACCACCACCGAAACCGCCACCCTGGTTGCCACCCTTGTTGCCTCCTTGATTGCCGCCCTGGTTACCACCCTTGTTACCTCCCTGATTGCCGCCCTTGTTGCCGCCACCGAAACCACCGCCGTTGCCCGGCTTGTTCGTAGGCTTGGGTTCGAACGTTGGCTTGGGGTTGAATGTCGGCTTGCGAGTGAACGTCGGGCTGGTGTAGGGCGTGCGGCATATGGTGGGGATGTAGTAGTCGCCAGTCGGGGTCGCATAATCCTCAGGCGGGTACCTGCTAATGGGCGTCATGATGGGCATAGCGGGCTGCCAAGGGATGGGAACCTCGAAGCCGCAAGGGGGGTGAAAGTCGTCAGGCAACTCAATAATGTCGCTGTAGTAGTCGGGAAGCCTCGAACCACCCCATGTGTACTGGATATCAGGCAGGACGGAGCGGCCATTACGCACCAGCTTCACGTTGGGCGCCACAAAGGTGTGCTTGGTGTACTTGTAGTCGCTAAAGACACCGCCGTAGCTTTGATTCCAGAAGTATGCCTCGAAAGGGTCCTGGGCAATGTATTCGTTCCATTGGCGCTCCTTGTCTCCCGTCTTGCGGGCTACGACTGACCAGACGTTGGCACCCACATCCCAGCGACCCAGCGTGTGTAGGCCCCAATTGGCTTCGACGGATGAGAGCTCGCTGTAGTGGTTGTAGTAGTACGGGTCATGGTAGCCGACATACTCATAGGGAATAGCACTGCCAACTTGGATACCAGCCACGTGGTTGCGTAACTCGGGGTATTCACCGTTGGCCTGCCAGGTGACATAAATGAGAGCATTATCGTTGACGTAGTCGTCGTCAAGCAAGCCTTCAACAAATCCTCGGACCCACTTGCAGGAGACTGTACTGTTGGTGTCGTGTCCGTTGTTGTACAAGTTGGGAGTGATGAAGACCCACTGTGGGAGTCTTCTGTTTTCAATGTCCTCGTAAAACCTAGATGTGAAAACACTTATTTAGACATGACTTTAATCCGAGATTGAGGGAGTACCCGCTTACAAGGTGAAGTTCTTAATTTGAGCTTGGCGGTCGGGATAATCCGTGACGGATCTGAATCGTTGGAGGAGATTGTGCTTTCGAGCATAGTTGCCCTCTTTCGGGTTGCTGTATTCAAAGCCATTGAAGCCGGTGTAGGGCAATCCCTCGTTGTAGTCACCCCAGCTAATACCCTTGTCCTCAAGAAGGTCTACGATGGTGGAGATGTTTCTGTCAACCTCGAGGAAACTGTCACTGTTGAGGCCAAAGGTATCACCACTGGCTGGGGAAATGTAGTTTGGCTGACTGGGAGCGCCAACTCCGTACTCCTTGGTCAGAAGTATACCTCGCTCATAGAGTGACGCGCAGTCCTCTACCATTGTATGTCAGTGCTGCCTTTGTCATGAGAAATAGTATCACTCACCATTGGCAATGGCCTCGTCATAGTACGTAGTCTCCAAGTATATCTGGATAATACGGTCAAAGGCCTTGCCCTTCACATAGGAAGTGGGTGACTCGGTCAGGGCAGTAGCAGCAGCCCGTTCAACGGCGCGCGTGCCAGTCGCGGTGTTGGAAACTTGTTGACCAACAGCCACGCCGGCGGCGGCGAGGAGAGCGAAGGCCTGAGAATGCATCCTCGAGGCCTATCGCTAGTAAGAAAATGTTGGGAAGAAACAGGGTAAGGTGTTGTAGATGCTACGGCGAGATTGCCTAGTAATCTAATTACCTTTGCTCCGGAAGAATATACGGTCTTATATACACGTTTTCGCTGCTATATGCGTGGAAATGCTCGTGGTACATGTTGCTTTTTTCTTGGCAGGAGAAATGGAATGTCCTTATTCCTGTTGAGGGAGATCCGAGTTTCAGGACAAACGCAAATATTGCATCAGTATTCAAGCATCGGGCATTGAAAATGTTCGCTTTTCCACATTGAGGAGCCGTGTAAGTTGAGGATCGACCAGGAAGTTGCAAGTAATGAGTTCAATACTAAGTTTCAATAGACGTGAACCTTGCATTCAACCGAATTTCACGTAGGTACTCAACGACTTCCGACTTCATCCAGCAGCGGCGGAAAACGATTTTAGGAAACACCGTGACGTGATATCCTTTCACCCAGCGACTTCTGCCGTTGCGCTAAGGCGGCCAGCCTCGTGATACAACAATTGATGGCCGTTGATGTTGGCAACGAGAAGAATTTCTCACAGTTTCTAGCATGCCTCGGGACCCATGAACATACATTTCTGACAGGTGTCGGCAACAAATCGCGTTTAAGGTTCAACAGTGACATCCCACGGGACTGGGCTAACAAGCTATAGACGTCGAGACGTTGACAGGCCGCACAACTGAGACGAACCTACCTTGTCTTGTATAGACTTAAATAACGCCAAAACGCCTCGACATGCGGTACCCCTCACTAATTTACCGTTGACCGTCGGGGCGGTAATTGCAGGCAGGGTCTACCTCCTTCTTTTTAAGGTTGTCAAGGCGTACGGCTGAGGGTAATAAGTATAGGGCTGAAGCCCCGGAAGAGCGGCGGATTTTAATTACAGACATGGCCACCGGCTCGGTGGTTTTGACATGAGCCAACCACAGCCGTCAACAGAGGTCATGCATACAGGAGACGGCCAGTTGCCTGCATATACCTGCGGTTCATCTACGACACTCTGTCCAGTTTAGGTAAACGCACGATGGATGAGGGGACTGCAGCACATCGGCACGAGAGGACACTAGTCTGGTCCCGCCATTTACGCCGAGAGAAAAGCTGTCCGTTCCGGCTCGGGATGGGGAATGCATGAGGCCAAAATCAGGCACTCCAATAACCCTATCGCCCCTGATCACGCCACAAAAATGGCAAAACATTACTTGAAGCCAAGATCGCGTTCGATGCCGGCAGTATTCTCGTGACACATCATTCACCATGCAGTTGCCCGGATGCAGTCGCACGGCACGTTGAGGTCCACATGTCTGAGGTTAGAGTGTCTTGCTGGACTGCCAAACACAAAGTCTTGTGGGCCAGAGCTGTTGGCATACATCATGGAGGATAACTGTCGGTCGTTTCTATGTCTAACAAAAAGCAACAAGAAGGCTCAGATTGCAACAAGTGAATGGATACATACCTAAACTAGGTAGTTGTAGACTTTTAGTGTTCCAGAGACCACAGGTGAGACATATGACCGAGAATCGTGAAATTAAGGATCTCAAGGTAGGTATTATTGTTAAACCGATGAATTAGTGCAACAGACTGGCTGGCTAGAAGAGCTCGACTGACTAGTGGCTATGCAAATTAACACATTCGAAGAACACCCACAACATGGAAAAGATTTAATTCTGAACGTTTGGAAACTTGTTACGGGTATGAATCTTATGCGGCTCTATAAGACGTCCCACCTTGGCAGCCTACTTGTGCACTGGCTTCCCAAGTCGATTCTTGGATGGCGCCTGAAAGAGAAGTAACATAGAATGACCGGCAATTTGATGCATGCTCAAATTTGGCTGGCGGTCTCAACATTTCATACCTTAGGTTCATCAGTTTCGATAAACCTACTTAGCTTATAAGTATGTAGACTGGTGAATCATCGCTTGCACATAGTTGGTATCGACTGCGTGGTAGGCCAAAGTTCAATTTAGCAGAGTAAAGCAGGGAAGCAGTGATATGCTTCTTACAGAAAAACGGCACCAAGCTTCTCTGAATATGGCTTGATACCTTACATGCCTTATAGACGTGATTCAACAATGCTCTCTACCAAGGTGGCTGTGGCCAACTATCCAGAACAACCTCATCTCCAACCAACTGGAATGACATGGACGCTTGCATCGGGACATCCAAGAGCAATTCATAATCGCCAGGATACAGCACAGAATCTCCAGCAGTATTGACACGGGCCAGATTCCCGAGGGTCAGTCCAAGCGTCGCAGAGGCGGTCTGATCCGGAGCAATATCACGGACGCGTGTGTAGCTAGCAAGCCTCTTGATGGGTCGTGGCTCTGGACCGTGTGCGCCTGCAAGAAAGGCGAGGGCAACATAGTCCGACGTCACGGTTCCCTGATTTGAGACGTTGATGGTCAAGTTGCCGAATGGGCACAAGTCGAGATATGGTGCCGCACATCCGGACACAAAGTCCGCGGTACTAAACGTCATTGACAAGTTGCCAGAGCTTTTGCAGGTTGTCAAGGTTGCGAATGAGGCGTTGAAATTGGTATAGTGAAGTCCAAATCCAAAGGGCTGCACCGCCTCATCGTAGTACATGTAGGTTCGACCTGGGCTGGAGTTGCTGGGTCGAAGGCTCATGTCAGTCATAAGGACTTGATCGACGTAGTCAGCAGGATACTGAGTGACGGGCAGTCGGCCAGCAGGGGACGTTTTTCCCGTCAGAACGTCGAAAGCTGCGGGTCCACCATCTTGTCCCGGATAGCCTGCCCAGAGCAGCGACGAGATGTTGCCGTTTGTCAAGAGAGATGTGTGATCGACCAGGTCCCCAAACTGCACAACAATACACGGCTTACCGAGGGCGCAAAGCTGCTCAATCTCGGCGAGCTGTGTTGTGGGCCAGGCGATTGAACTTCTGTCGTTGGTTTCGCTCTCAGTAGCGAGATCGATGCCTCCAAAGTAGAGGACAACATCGGCTGCGGTGGCTGCCTCTAGAGAGAGGGACGAGTTTCCCGACGATGTCGCGCCAGCTGCAAAGTGGACTGGAACTCCCAATTGCTCTGCAGCAAATAGAGGGCTATGATAGAAAGGTGAGATGCCAAAATAGGTCCCCAGAAGCTCCCAAGTAACGTTGGCCCACGGACCAATGATGGCAACTGAAGGGATTGTAGAAAAGTCGAGCGGAAGTGTCCCATCATTATTCAGTAGCACCATACTTTCTGCTGCGCTTCCCCTAGCTAGTTCTTCGGCGGCTGGTGTATTGACATCCTCCCAGGTCAGATTCTGATACGGGTTGCTATCGACGGGGTCGTAGTATCCCAGTCTGACTAATGCCTCTATCAATCGATTCAAGGATTGGTCGATGTCGTCCTCCGATAGCAAAGATTGCTGGTACGCATCTAAGACATCCGTCGATGAGGCCGAACAAATGTTATCTGTGCCGGCTGCGAACAGAACAGAGACAGCTTCTGCCGCCGTATTGGTATAATTGTGCTGCTCATAGGTGTCCTGAAGCGCATCGCAGTCAGTGACGACGTATTGACTGCCATCCGTCCAGTTCCAGTGGTCGCGCAGAACTGTTTTCAGTAGATAATCGTTTGCGCATGCGGGAACACCGTTGAGCGCATTATACGAGCACATTACAGATCCTGCCCGAGAATCGCGGACGCACTGCTGGAATGGTGGCATGTAGTACTCGACTAGCTCTTGAGTCGAAATAATCGCGTCAAAGTTGTGACGAGTGACGCCGTCGGAGTCCTCCATGTCGTAGCCGGCGAAATGTTTACACGTCGTAATGGTCTTCTTGGGCACGGCATCGGGAGGACCCTCCATCCCTTCGACAAAAGCATTGACGTAGCCCTTGATTCGCAAGGGATCCTCGCCGGGGGTTTCCATGCCTCGGCCCCAACGAGGATCTCTATAAGGATTGATGTTGGGTGTCCAAAAGTCGAGACCAGCTCTGCCATAGTTGCTGAACGCCCTCGCCTCAGTGGAGATGACATCTGCAATATCCCTGATCATGGCATCGTCAAAAGCAGCTGCGAGCAGGATAGGATTTGCGAAAGAGGTGGCCGACGAAAAGGGCTCGTCGAGAGGTGTTACGCCAATGGAGAAGTTTTGCCCAAAATCCACACCTTCGGAGAAGCCTAAACCGTGTAATGCCTCACTCCACCATTCATACTCGGGAACTCCCAACCTCGGAGCACCTGATGCGTTGCTAAGTAAGTGTTAGATAACATGCTATAGTTTACAGCAATGGAAGCTTACTTGAGCAGATTTCCCACCTTCTCGTCAATGGTCATAGCGGCAGTCAACGCTGCCGCGCGCTGCGACGGTGGAAGCGACGTGTTGCAGACATCATTACTAGCAAGCGGGAGGGACGAACAGTTCGGTCGCGTAAGAACCGCGAAAGTGGGTTTGGCAAGGAAGAGCCAGCACAGGCCTAGGAGTTTAGCAGCCATGATGTTCCGATCTAGAACACGAGTGGTCTCTCTTCTCGTGGTCGCATGTCGGCAGTCGAGAAACTATGATGATACAACGAAGCATACCTACGTAAATATTTATAAGTGCAAACTAGGGAGTCTAGACATTGCTGCGTCTGTAGCTTCATGGATCCTGACATCACTGGGTTGCCTTTGCACCAGGATTATTATTCGGATGCAAGGCAACATTTCTCGGTACGCCTATAAGAAGGCAAGGTGGTGAGGGTTACTATCAGTAAACGGTCCATACAGCTCGGGTCTTCAGGGCGAGCCTAGCTTGATGATTTTTCGTATCGAATGCGAAATTAGCAGCCACGCAGTGCCAGGTACGGATGCCCAGAGGGCAAACTATTGAAAATCTAAGATTTGGATAAAACCACCCTATTTACAGCAGCAAAAATCCACCCCTTTGGCCCTTCCCTTTTCTGGGGGGCGGGGGGTTTAAAAAAGAAAAAGAAAAAAAGGAAAAATAGGGGAAAAAAAAGAAGAAAGAAAAAAAAGAGAGATTTTTTATTTTATTTTTTATTTTTAATATTATAATTTATTATAATTTTCTTATTATAACCACGGAGCGGTAAGCGTATATGGCAAAAATCGCGTTTTTTCAACAGTTTGCTCTCTGGTGCTCCGTAGCCAAGGGCCCGCCCGTCACGATGCTACACGCTTATTTGCTACCGGTTTGAGCCCACTGGCTTGAGCCCTTTAAATATTATACCTCCATTTGAAGATCTCAATTCCCGATCGAATCATAAATACCCCATGATTTATTATAATCAGTTTTTCGCGCCATAACTTTGGTAAGCAACCATAATTCTGAGGGGCGGAGTCTCGCTCGAGGTCTTCTGAAGTAAGTCCTACGATCGCATGTGATCGCCAGTATTATAGTGTCTTCTTCGACGGCCCTGCTCGTGACCTTCGTCATGCATTATACCGAGCACCTCAAGATTCATCACCAATCATATAGCCAATTACGCCGATACGCGCCCTATCTGTATAAGCCAACTCTCCAACTCGGCGGCGAATGCTTCACCCATCGAATCGTCCAAGACACCATCTTGCCAGGTGATTCCAACGCACAATGGGCCTCCCAACACGGACATGGCGGATGTCATAAGGGGCGCCGATGTGACTTCGGCACTCATAGAGAACTGCGCCCGAGTGATTGTCCATTTTTCGCTCTGTGGTTCGGACGCTGTCGCATCGGTCTGCAGCCCCCCGTCAATGGCTCCAATATTGGAGATGAAGTAGGAGTACTCTCGGGGGCGGCGTGCAGCGTCCATGACCTGCTTGCGCCAGTCCGGAACGAACTTCATTATACCGACAATATCGTCCTTGAGATTCATGTCTAGCTTGTGCCGTATCTGCCTATGAGCCTGAGCCGAGATTGACCAGATAGCCTTCAGAAGGTCTGCTGACAAGGTTTCGGTGCTTGGATCAGCCGACAGCTTGACGCGGATCTCAGATACAAGACTTGCTGGCCAGGCATGGCCCATCACGGATACATAGTTTCCCATGGTTCTCTGAGGATGCAACCAGGGGTACCTCTTAGGGCTCGACGGCAGGAAACGCCGCAAGTCTACGGCCGTCTTGGTATGGAAGCCAGGAGCGCTGTTGGTATCCAAACGCGATGCAAGAAAAAGAATCCCCAGTGCATGGAACAGGCCAGTAAGCGTCGTGTTGTTTTGTCTGCAAGCAGCGAGAATGCTTGAGAGTATCTCCTTCCCAATAGAGAAAACACGGATATGCGACTTGTAGGAGGAGGTTTGTATCGGGGCCCAATGGGCTTCAGTGTCGTCTTTAGTGAGTACCGCCGGCCCGTGCTCTTTCAAGACCGTCTTGAAAACATGACGTGGCGTGAGTGGGAGTTTGGCAAGCTTCTCAATTCGCGGCGGAAGATTTGGGTCAGCAGTTGGAAGTTGCAATTTGCTTGCAGATAACAAGCTGCCGTCATTGTTGGCATTTGGGCTGTTGAGATGCTCAAGCAGATGCTCGTGGAACTTTCTTCCGCTCATACCATCACCAAGTGGATGGTTCCAGGTGAACAGTATCTCCAAGAATTGAGGATCCTGCTCATACATGATGGTTACTCTCCACGACGGGCGTTTCTCAAGGTCAGGGTATTCGGAATCCAATTGCGAGGCAACAGTCTCTTGAAACGTCTGCTCAAAGGTCCCAGCATCCAGAATGTGCCAGGCAACATGGTGATCGAGGTCAAGGCTGTCTAATTTGATCCACGATGGCTTCTTGGTAGCCGCACCCTTGATAGCAACTTGCATCACCGGCTGACTTAGGATGGTGCGCGCAATGGCCTGTAGTATCGTCCTTTTGAGCTCGGCATACTCGACCTTGTGAGGTACCGAGTAGCGACAGGATACAGAGGTGCCTCTGTAAAGCCGCTTCAGGTACATTGCCATTTGGTAGGCCTCACTGCGAAATGTTAGAAACTTGAGCACACAAGAGGCGAAATTTTTGTCTCTTTCTCACTTGTTACTAAATCGCTGCAGAGTTTTTGGCTTTTCATGGCTTTCCGATCGGCCGTTGTGTTTGTTTTGTGGCTGGCCATCAGGACCTTCATCTTCAACCGCTGTTGCCATTGGAGCATCGATATTCAGAACAGTGCTTTCAAGTCAAATGCAATCAAGATTTCCTTCCAGAGCACTTGCAAAGGAGGGACGGGACCTGGGTCTCCAAGTATGAAAATAAGAACAAAGTTGCGAGACAAAGGGGCCGAGAGCGTGGAAGGGAAAATATCAAGAAGATGGGCACAGAAGGAAGTAAGCACATCCAGATGAGATTTGACGTTGGTTGGTTCGTACCTAGTCCAAAGGCCAACATGGATTGAATGCCATTGATTTACTGCAGGCAATTGAGGCCAGGCCCATTCTGTGCTGTAATTAGAACGGAACGGTCGCCGCCTCAACTGTACTACTTCTTGGCACTTGGAGACTGGCACCAACTGTAAAAGCTTTTGCCTGGCTCTATTCAACTGGACCCTGGCGCCAGAGCATAACGGCAGCCAGGGGCTCTGATTTAGGCAGCGGAATAATGCACTCCACCTTGGGTACAACCAAACTGTACCTGTATTCAACGTTGAACTCTTAAGAGAATGCGTTTTCTAATATTGGAATTATTCCTAGCCGTTTTTTTTAATATTATGAAATTGGTGAATTTGCATATATATGGCGTAGTTTTATCGGGTAAAGAGATGCAAGTCGCCTTTAAATGTTTCCGAGAAACTTCGATTGCCTCCACAGGGGTCCTCTTCCTCCCTGTGCCTTCGCCCCAAGCGATATTTGCCAGTACTAATTCGTAGGTAACTTTTTATCCTTTTTCTTTTCTTAAATTTCTTTTTAGTTTTTTATTTCGGGTTTTAAATAAAAGAAATTCTTTTTTTTTCCGTTTCTCTCTCTCTTTTTCTCTTTTTCTCTTTTTCGCTAGGGCTCTGACGTAAAGGCAGTAAGGGTATAGCGTCCATTCTCCAGTATGATCCATCCCAGCCAGTAGTTCCAGGTGCCTGGGGTCGCCCATCAAGCACTGGACATGGTTCCTGAACTGACTGGATCGTATAGAAGCTTATGAAAGCATAACAAACTTCTGTCAAGCTGTCCAAGTACCGGTCATAGTCATGAGGCCTATAAGGCTATGAGGCCCAATGCATAGATAAATAGGACCAATCATCATGCCTTCGTAAAAGTACATGCAATGTGACTACGTCTCTCTCGAGACCTTACCACTCTACCTTCCCATCTTCTTGAGTCTCCGGCCGCGAATCCGCTAAACCGTTGTCTGTTCTCATATCTTAGTGAGCACCAGCTTTGAGCAAGCACTCATAGACGCTCCGATTTCGAGTTACATGTGCCGCAATATCTAAGGCCGTCTCCCCGAAGTCACCTCTTGCGTTCAGTTCTGCGCCACTCTTGATCAAAAGTTCAATCAGATCTGGGCTAGCATCTTTTGAAAATACCGCACAGTGCAAAACTGTCCAAGAGCTGCGATATGGATATTCCCGATTGTTGATACGGTTGGGAATGCGAGCCTTGATTTGCGCACCAGCTTCCAAGAGATTCTCGACGACTGGAATATGGCAATTCTCAGCTGCCAGGAAAAGAGCATAGTCTAGCTCATCTCTCACACCATTTTCAATTGCAAACTTCACAACAGAGATATTGCCATAATATGCAGCCCCTACTAAAAGCTCTCCGTTGATACGTGCACCGTGTTCAAGTAGAAACTGGAAACTCTTGTCTTGATCCATGGCTGCAACAAGGGATGTTGGACCTTGGTTGATGTCTGCAACATTGTCAAGAAGTACCTTGATGATGGACAAGTTGCCTAGCTTGGTGGCCAGGTACAGGGGATGTGCATAGCTGTATCTCATTGGCTCCCTGTCGTCGATTCGTTGCCCGTGTTTGATAATCGGGCGCGGGCCATGGACTGAGAGGTCCGCGCCTTTTCTTATGAGGGCTTGTAGAAGAGCTTCCTGAGCGTTGTCAATTGCCCACCATAGGGCTGGATGCCCTTCTGAATCAATGTTGATGAATGTCCAATCCAGAGGCGGCACGACTGCGTAGTTTGACATAGTTGCTGGGGTTGTCTGTGTCATCTGCAAAATACCCTTCTCATCTTGGAACAAGTTCAAGATTCTGAGTGCTTCTGGATGTCTCAGTATAGATATGAGAACTTCATCGCATATGCTGATGTCTTGTTTTCGATAATCCAGGAACAATTGCAGCAGGTCCAAGTTGTACTCAATAGCATCAATTACTGCCGCAACAAGCCTTCCGCTCATTGGCAAGTACTTTGCCGTGGTCTTCTGAAAAAGGTATTCAAGAACCTTTGGTCCCCATGTCCTATTCTGAGTCGTTGCAATTAGAATTTCTTCGGTAACAACCAGTTGCTTTGATGCAAAGAAGGCATCCAAACTCATGAGGTCGCTCGGGGTTTTGGCTGCCCCCAGTGCGATATCTTGGTTTATCTGAACGCTGCCGGCGAGCCTTTGAAATATGATATCAATGAGCTCGTCTCTGGCTTTCTCATTTAACAAAATCGCATCAGAAAGCTCCGCTGTCACGATAGTTTCGCTGGGCCGGAAATGCTTAATGAGACAACTCATGATGGGTCTCCCCTGGGCAGGGTTTCGGGCAGCTGCAATGAAAATGCCCAGCGATGGGCCTATACTCGATGCGTACGGCAGTAATAAGTTGCATACAGCAGGAGCATGCGCCTCATTCATACATGCCGCAATGACGATTTGCTCCGAAATCTGAATCGGTCCTTGGCAAAAGTCCAACAGCAATTTAGTTAGACCTGGGCCATGATGGATGCTAGAAACAGCATAGCTCAACATCAACGGCGTAATTTTGATCGAAGTAGGGTAATGGTGCAATATATCTCGTACACCGTCGATATTATCAGACTTGAGCAGGGCTATCAAGACCCGCAGGTGCATGGACTCCAGATCGTTCAAAAAGGCGCCCATACTTGGGTACAGAGAGTCGGGCAAGGAGCGGCGGTCGCACATACACATGTGCGCTATAGCATCGTTGATCACCTGCTGCACGGGTTGCTCGTAGTCCACGCCGAGGAAGTTTCTGTCGTCGCGGAAACTGCAAAGGCCGCGTAAGGCGTAAATCCTATCACGGTCCAGTGTCGACTCGGAATACCGGAACTTTTGAACAATGGAGAAGAGACTCCGGTCCTCTGACCACCATGAGACGGTCCTCGAACAGGTGGGCATTGCATCTAGGACATTGCAGCAATGTTGATTGGCCTGTATGCCCAAGAGTCGAGGTGCAAGAGTAAAAGGTCGACATGCAACCACGTGCTTGCCGCATTGGACTATTCCCCGCCTGGCGTTTGCAACTTCCTGGATAATCCAGGCGCGACGAAACCATGGTCTCTTCAATAGGTCGTGTAAAGCTTCGCGCATTCTTCCAGGGGCGTTCAAGATGGCAGGATGCGCCTCCAGAGCCTTGACGACTAGTTCCCATGCGCTCTGCTCCACGATAGCCAGCCGATGCCACCCGTAGGACTTGACAGTTCGGTTGAATAGATCAAGAGCAGTCATGAGCAGAGTCACATTCGGGGTCGTCTCTCCAAGCCAAAATATGACGCGTCGCGCCGATGCGTATATCCTCCGCATCTGCTGTACTTGATGACCTTGCTCAATCTTGTTTTGCTGATCGATACAAACAGCGTCGATCCAAATGATGCGATTTTTGGTTGGGTCGGCATGTCGCAGATGCTTCAAAAGTCCAACAAGACTTTCTCTCACCAACAAAGTTTGGCCGTTGATGAGAATGGTGCCTGGACGTTGTTTGGACCCCCAGCAATACGACACCGCTTCATAGTGCAGCTTGCTATAGTTTGTGTTTGTGTGGAATAGTTCGCACTCCACGATGTCGCCTTGGCCGCCGAGGAGTCGGAGGAGTCTGAAGGCATTATCTCCTTCCAACGGAGCGTGGGCGAACTCCATGGTCCCAATTAAATCCGCATGATCAAATCAATATTTTTATCAAATGGCATCCTGAATGTTGAAGCACAACAGATTGGGTTTAAATACCGAGCCAGCTGAAATACCCAACTAGCACAGCCTCCACCAGGCGCGGGGTCCAGTGTCCGTAGTCCAGGCTGTGTGCGACCCTCAATTTGTGGTGAGAGGGTGGACGACTATATGAAATAGGTAGTAGTTCTTCAACTTCCACACCATGATAGAAAGCCAAGAGAAAAAAAAATAACTATTATTTGCATTTGAGAGCCCAAGAAAAGCCAGAAACGGTTGGCTACGTATCTACTTATGTATGTACCGAGTTTGACTTACCCCTAGGTAAACAGATTGAGTACTACATGCCTACGACTACCTAGTTCTGAGTGCTGCGGCACCACGCCAAGGATTTCTTCGATCGAACCCTGAAGGTTTCCACGTTTACGCCATGCGGCTTACAGCACTTGAGGCACTGTCCAGCCTACCTAAATATGATTTCGGGTAGGACACACTACGTGCCACAAGGCATACCCATGTCTGAGCACACAACTCACAACCGCCTAACCTAGTAGTATGCACAAAGACGCGGAGGCGCTGTGGGGGGTCGTTCGCAGGAAGAGAAATAGAAATTTATCAAATACTATATTTTTATCTTTTTTATCTTTAATATTATAGTTTATTATAACTTTCTTATTATAACCACGGAGCGGTAAGCGTATAAGACAAAAATGGCGGGTTTTCAGCAGTTTGCTCTCTGGTGCTCCGTAATATAAATTGGAAAGGGTCGAATTCTGTCGATTGCGCTTAGAAAAGACCTGAATTATGGCTTATGATAGTGGCCATTTTTGACAGCTAAACAGTGAATAAGATCGTATGGTCTGATACGCAATCTTGTCGTCTGATCGTCACCCTCGGCCATGTTGAAAAATATAGTGTGCCAATATTTTCAGAGTTTCGCGCCAGAGCACAACAGTCACTCAGGTGGTGCACTCAACAAGCAGCTTTACGGGATTTTTCCGACAGTATGGTTCGAAGTCTTGGCAGATATTACATAGGACAATACTATTCTGGCGTTTTAATGCCATTGGCTCATTGTTTCCCCGACATCAGCAATCTCGTCGCACGTAGTGATTGGCTACAGATGCAGAGCTGATATGGTTTTTATCATTTCTGTCACGGACCTGCTCCGGAGAACTGAGAGCTACTTTTCACATCTCGCGGGGCAAAACTGACAACTTCCGTGCTCTGCTCTCCGGTACTCTGGGCCAAGCCCGGGGCTAAGAAGCCTGGCGTCGTCGAGTCTACGTTTCCCCAGGAAACAAACCCCCATAACAGTCGCTGACGATCCACTATACCCCAGGTTGCCAAGCTTTTCCCCGCCTCTCCAATGGTCTGGTTGAACCGCTGGACTGGGTGCGCTTGCGTTATGTAGGGTTGATGCATCGGACTTGCGCCGGACTCTATTGTACACTTGCCTTTGATCAAGGAATACCCACATGGACAAGATTTCATAGATAAAAAGGTGGCGCCCAACCGCCTGAATCGAAGATGTAACCACGGACGAGATTCTTGAGGTCTCATGGCCTATGTGAGTGACAGTGACAAGGAGCAGCACATCATGTCAAAAATACACGATGCTACCGGACTCAGTCCGGAGACAAAGACATCCTTCGAGGAAAAGATTGAGCACGTTGAAGAGCAGGATCAGATGCTACAAAGATATGACCTTCTCAAGGATCTAACCGCGGAACAGCGAAAGGCCATCAACAAGAGCTTGGTCCGGAAGCTAGATTGGCGGTTTCTCCCCTGCATCACTATGATGCTCTTGATGAAGTATGTCTTGATACACTTTATACTCTGGATTTCCTGTATCTCCTAACTTGGCTGGCTGTAGCTATTTGGACCGCATCAATGTCTCCAACGCTCGACTCGCCGGTATGCAAGACGATTTGGGGATGAGCGACACGCAATGGTCCTTGGGAATCAGCATGTTCTACGTCGGATACATCATTTCCCAACTTCCTGCCAATATCATTCTCGCCAAGGGCCGACCGCGCATCCTTCTTCCGATATTCATGATCGCCATGTCCGCGGTGACCATCTGCATGATTGCATGCAAGAATAGTACAGGCTTCATCCTCTGCCGCTTCTTTATCGGAGTCATGGAAGGACCTCTCGTTCCTGCAGTGTCTCTGGTGACATCGTCATGGTATACAAAGGAAGAGTCGCCACTTCGCATGAGTATATGGCATGCAGGAAACATTATATCCAACGTCATATCAGGATTATTGGCTGCTGGTATTCTGACACAGATGAAGAATACTGCAGGTCTATCGGCTTGGCAGGTAAGCACGTCCGGATTCAAGTTCGAATAAAAGGCTTTATTAATCTTTTTCACTTAGTGGTTCATTCTCATCGAAGGGATTGCCAGCGTCCTAATAGGTGCCGTGTCGTTCTGGTTCATTCCCAACTGGCCCCACAATACTGGTACATACATGTTCACTCCAGAGGAGTCTCAAATGGCCCAATACCGCCAATTGGTCAATGCTGGTGGTATTACCGAGGATGATGAAGGTGGTGCATGGGAGGGCACCGTCATGGCATGCAAAGACCCCTTCACTTGGCTGTTCACGTCTCTACATTTCTTCGTCATTATCGGACAATCCTTCAAGGACTTCTTCCCTTCGGTATGTTCTCCTTCTTCCAACCTATCAGATGAGGCAGATGCTAATTCAATTCCAGATCTTGGATACCTTTGGCTTTGACGAGACTGGCACCTACCTTTTACAAGCTCCGCCATACGTCTTTGCATACATTGCATGTCTCGCCGTGTCTTGGAGCAGCAGTAGGTTCAAGGACCATGGCTGGCACATAGCTATAGTCATGTTACTATCTCTGGGGGGTACGGTCATCTTGATTGCCACGCTCGACCGGGCTGCGAGATATTTCAGTCTGTTCCTGCTGTGCACCGGTCCCTTTATTGCCCTCAACCTTCATATCTCCTGGGAGACGGCAGTGGTACAGCGACCCCGCACCAAGAGGGCAGCGCTGCTCGCCATTACAAATGCATCAAGCAGTGTCACACACTGGTTCTCGCCTTACTTCTTCCTCACTAATCAGGAGCCCCGATATGAGACGGGTGGAGGTATCATCATTGCTGGCTGTGGACTCTCTGTCTTCAGCTGCCTCGCCTTGAGATGGTGGATCTCCCGTAAGAACAAACAACTTGAAGCAGCCCAACGAGAGACGGGCGAGTTTAACAGTTGGCGTTTTGTAAATTAGCTGATTATCATTGAGTTCCCCGGTCACTGCGATAGAGTCAAAGATGAACACCCCAATAAGTCCTCGCACTGTTTGGGACTGAAAGTAGAATCAACTAGATAGGAAAGAAAAAAAAGGCCATCTACGCAAAACGCCGGGACCATGGTTCAGTACCACTACATGTATTTTGTGTGTCGTTTTAACGTGATCGACTATTGCGCCAAAGCTGGCTACTAGATGTGTTGAAATCTAACGCGTAATTCTCCTCAATAGTAGTACAACTTGAACGAAAACTCCGCTCAGCATCAATGCTGGTCGTGAGCTTCTGATCAAGTGGACTGCCCATTTGACAAGCATGTCGATTCTTCCTGGTCCTCATTCCCTTTCGGCGCCTTTCTGTTCATTTTTGTCCGGAGCATAAAGTACTATGAATGGGAGAAATCTGTCGCCCATTTGCGCAAGGTCCCCATATCCTTGCTCACAATATGATGCAGAAAGCGAAAGCAGTAGTTTCCATACTCTTGATCGCCAGCCCTTGCCCGACACACATGGTGCATTAGGTCTTTGCGAATGGTGACGTCTTGTCAGTGGCTTCTTCGATGGCCGTCACTCAGGTTTCGAGCCATTCACGACTTTTGAGGGAATTCGATAAGCTTGGAGGCTAATTTGATTTATCCGCTTTCCGAGTCTCTCTCTGCAGGTCAATCGCTGCGCCCTAAGACTCAAAGTATTGTCACCACCGGCTGGCACGAAAAATGTACTGTGAACACGATGGCAGTGGCCGGGCCCCTGAACTACCGAGAACCTAAACACAGTACCATTCGGGGGGGCCTTTTGCCGAAGATAGCGGCTTGCTGATGCTAATATGGAATCGTATTTACTGGTCGTGTTTGCCGACCTGCTTACTACAACTTGTGAGGCACTTCCGGACAAGAGAGGCATGGCGCAAACCATGTGGATGGTCCAATCCTAGGGTGAAGAGTCTGGGACAAGCATCAGAACCAATTGCGGTAATTATATGCACATTAGTCAACAGCTCCATGAAGTTGTTCTCAGGGTCCAGAAAGACGGCTGCCTGGGGGTGGGGGAGCAAGACAGGATGCAGCATCAAGCTAACGGCAGCCCGGCTTCGCTAAAAAGCTTGATCTAATGTCATGTCGCACTATGTGACGGGGGATTCCCTGGGAAAGTGCACGAGGTCCCAAGCCCCAGATTGGATACGACAAAGTTTCCTGCGCCCCTGAACATCACAGAGTGCCGATTTTCCGCTTGGCGCCGTTGAATCTTGGTGTTTGGCTAGTAGAAGGCTTCCATTGCGCCCCTCTGGGACCAGCTGAAATGTGCTCGTCTTGTATAGATCGAATGAAGCAGAGAGGCAAGAGTGTCTTTGAGAGTCTTGGCGTTTGTTTTCAAGTCGGAGCTGGTCGAGGTTCTCAACACGATGAGTATTGGGATTCTCCAAATCCGAGGTTGTAGCAATTTTTCCACTTCTAAATTCATCCGGGAGAGACTGAATACTGTACTTACATACATACCATGTGAACGGTTCCCAACTGCCGCTTACCCGGCAGCTAGCTTACCTTGATTGCATGTAGTAGTGCGATGTGCGTTGTTAGGGTACTTCGCCTCGACAGGCTAAGGAGAATCTAATACTGCGGTCTTCGACCAGCGCATCTCTATGTATTAGCCAGGAGTAATCCTTATTACAGTATCGACAGGCGCGAGTGATTTTAGCCAAGGATGGAATACTAATCTATGTATCTATTTAGAGAAGCATCCAATGGCGTGGAAAGTTCCATCCTCTTATTTACTCCCTCTTTTCAAAGCGTCGTGATTTTTGCTATTCTGGTACTTGTTGTTCCTTTATTTATTTTTTCTTTATTCACTCATTTATTTTCCCAAATTTCTGTCTAGATTTCACTTTAATATTGCCGCCTTATTAGCCCTCAAAAGGGTCTCGCCCATCGTCCCTATCTCTATACCCTCATCCAACATGGCCGACATTACGGAAGATTTCCCCACCATTGTGCCTCGCGACGAGGCCAAGATTTCTGGCATGAAACCGGGCGAAATAGCAAGAGATGGCACGGACCTTGCACTCATTCTTACAGTCTCCTTGATTCTCTATTCTCTCTTTGCTGGTCTGTTACAACGCGGCCTACTCCGGAGGCTATACGGCGAGGTCTACCAAGCGTTGGAGGAGACTGTTCCCAAAGGCAACGAACGACAGCGCGTCTCCTTCATCTACCATCATATTGCATCGATATGCTTTGCAATTATCATATGCATCGGAGCATACCCGGTTATCTCCTTCACGTGTGGCTCCGGGACTTTGTCGACGCCAATGGGCAATCCAAATGGAGCCACGATTGGCGACGTGCTGTCAATCCTGCTCCAAGTATATTGCGGCTACTATCTATTCGAGGTCACCTTTCGGTCGAAATACATCAGTCTCATTGCATTGGCGCACCATATCGGGCTCCTGATCATTGCTCAGACTGCCGCGCTCCTGGGATCCCGTGCATCCAAGAGCGCAGAAGCAACAAAAGAGTTTTACCTCTGCATGGTCTGGGGTAAGTATAAACAAGCGCTGTCCAGATTTGGTGTTCTTGTTTGCCATACTAACAGCAGCTTTATAGGCGCATTCGATCTGGTGACGGAACTTCCGCTGCACATAATATTAATCTTTTGGCGCATCAGACGGGATGAGAGCCGGCTCTGCTACAGGATAGCCTGTGCATGTGCCGTTTGGGTAACGGTCATGGCGTTGAGTGAAACAATCGTGACGGCCTGGCTCTTGAGTCAGTCGTGGGCGGGATGGCAACTGCATTGGCGGATTATCACGCCCACTCTGTTTACTCTCTGGGTTTGTACGCAGCTTTATGGTGCTATAATTTTTTTGAGAATGGCACGACAGCAGCGTAAGATTTGTCGCAGCGGATTATAAGGCAATTTCGAATTTATGATAGACAAAAGCAATTGTAATATATCGGTTATTCTATCCACTTTGTATATAAAAACTTATCTTTCTTTTCTTT